GTCCAATGTTCTAATATGCCTAGGAATTGCGATCTCCTAAGGCTTTCCAATACGTCTCGAGCGCTAAGAGTTTTATGCGCGAGGATTCCGTTCCAATCGCTGTTCGTCACTGAATCACTAGAGATTCAGGGGGCTTTCCAATGAGTGCCTAGGTCGCTTTCCTAGGGCTTTTCCAATAACCAATGATACTTCTAAGTGTAGAAGGAAGCTTTTTGTATGTGAAGGGCTGAAGCAAGACTTGATTCAATCTAACTAGGCCAACATGCTGTTTACAAAAAGCTTAAGGAGGGGAAGTTTATCCTGCGCGTTCTCTACGTCAACATGCCAAGGTCTCGTGATACACGTGACCTATATCGGGCACTGGCCCGTGACAATTTATATCTAATATATAGTAATTACTAGCGGATTAACTCGGTATTAAGTATAGACTCTTTACCGCGTATTACCCGTAAACTAATAGATAAACAAAAAGAGTTAACTAGACTCTAGAGTAGTATCTACGATACTACGTAAACTATTAGTAAAACGACTAGACGGGACTACTACTAATAGTATAATTTATATATAATAATATAATATACGTAACTATAAAAGAAACACTATTCTTCGCGAATTATAGGTTTAATCCTACTATTCTCGGAGAATTAATCGATAAATAACTACTCGTAGAGTTATCTCGACTACTAGCGACTAGGTTAAAGTAAATATATCTTTAACTTTTAAGGAATATTAAGTTTCTTAATATACGTATAAAGTTCTATTACGACTAATCGCGCTAAGAGGCGCTAGACTTTTAAAGGGGGAAGAAAGTTTACCTTTTACGACGTAATATTCGTATTAGACGACCTAGTACGAAACTCGACTATCTTAAATTAGGACTATTCGAAATTAAAGAAAGAATAGGACTACTTAATTATCGACTTAAGCTACTTAATAGTATATAACGTATCTATATAATATTTTATATTTTATTATTAGAGAAAGTACCTAAGAACACCGAAATCGCTACTAATATTAAAGTTAAAGAAGTATTAAAAAACGAATATAAGGTCGAGGAAATCCTAGATACTAATAAAATTAGCGGAAGACCTTACTACTTAGTAAAATAGAGGGGATATAATACCTTAGAAAATATATAGGAACCTATCGAGAACCTAATAGGCTACTACTAGCTAGTTCGATAGTTCTATCGGTAGGAGAAAGAGACCTAGAGGCCTCGATAAGCTAGGAAGCGTCTAGGTTAGCCTAGGAGAACGATAGATTATTTAATAACTAAGTTAGAGTAGGATCCTCTAACGTCGCTATAAGGATACGGTCGTTAACTATAATAGTAAATCGAGGTACCTCGCCTATAGCACGAGTACTCTCTACCTTACGATCTTTTTACTTAGAAGTAATACGCTCTTTTTTAAGACGCTCGCGCTCTTTAATCTCGCGACGCTCTAACTCTTCTAACTCGGTAACTTCTTTAAAATCCTAAGTAATAAAATTACCTATATATTTCTGTAATAAATATTTTTATTTTCGAAGATAAAGGAGTTTAGTAAGAATAGCCTCCTCCTTCTCTTTAATTTAATTTTAAGACTTAACTAAACAACGCTACTCCGTATTAGTAAATAATAGGAATAGTATCGTATACTTTATACTATTATCGGCGCGGATATAATTACTATAGCGGTTAGAATAGTCGGTACGAATATATACTCTTTTAAGGCGAATATAGCGTTCGTAGGGGATAATAGATTAAAAACCTTCGTCCTCGATTCGACGGGTTAAAGCGTTTTTACGGATAGACGCTTTAGAAGATATAGTTAGCGAGATAGGCTATAGGGGGGAAGGAAAATATTAAAAAACGGAAAAATAGTATATATACCTAAGGGGGGTACTAACGTTTAAATCCTTTAAGGATAAAGGATAGGGGAGGAGGGGATAATATTACGGACCTTAAAGAGGCGCGGGGGCCGTAGCTATTTAAGTAGTAACTATAAGCTAATTATCCTACGGACACTAAGGATTAGCGTTATTACGTATATTTCGGTATACTTAGGTAGGCCCCGAGAGGCACTAAGTAGAAGGGTTTAGGGTAGGAGCTAGAATCGACCTACGGCTAACCGTTATAATTAATACCCGCTTACTCTATAGGACGGTTAGCGCGAAGTAGGAAATAGCCGCTTTCTTAACCGTATCTAGATTATACCCTAAATATAAGAATACGGTAAACTACGTAACTATATCCTATTAGCGATAGGATAGACTTATTAGTAATAAGTCCTATTATATTAGTAATAAGTCCCGACTTATTAGTGATAGGAAGAACTAAATATATAAGGATACTTATTTAGTACTATATATTTAGTTCTTCGCGATTAATTATATATTATTACTTAGTTACTACCTTTAGTACTTTATACTTTATAGTTTATCTTTAAGATAACCTAACCTATAAGTAGGGGATTTACTTAGTAGTAATACTTAGTAATTAACTTACTTAGCGCGCACTTCTAGTACGTTCTGTAAGATACTTAATAGGATCTATCCCGTAGTAAGGCCTTACGAGGCAACGGTACGATTAAGAGATACTCTTAGAATTCGAAGTTATACCGAGAGGGCCGGAATCAGCCGTAATAGCATATATCGTTATTATACCTAATTACAACGACGACTTAGGTAACTATTGCCCTTTCTGCACTTACTCATAGTGACCAGTTGGCTTCGCGTAACAGTAGTCCTATTAAACGATATAGCTAAGATAAAGTGGACAGAGTAATAGTCTTTAATAACCTAGGTAAATATATAGCACCGGAAGCGAGAGATCTTCTACATATTAAATAAGATCCGCTATCTTACGATCTACGTGAACGTAAGTTCTTAGCGTCGGGAGATATTTAGTAATCTCTAGACTAAGGATATAAAGCTTATACCGATCTAGGATGTGAAGACTCGGTGGAATTCAATATTCCTAATACTTCGTCGTGTAAAGCGGCTCTATACTATCTTTACACCCTTCTACGTTAAGTATAATCGTGAGGATCTATTACTTAATAATAAAGAGTGGCGTTAGGTCGACTATCTTCTTTGTATTACTAAGCTATTCTTTGACTAACTATACCACTTAGCTTTTAAAGACTCGAGATATCACTACGCATTATATATTTAGAGTTTATAATAAACTCTTTAAATATCTTAAATAGTTAATGAAGTAGCTCCGGCGAAAGCGTGTCCCCTAGAAAAAATATATACTTAACGCACTCGAAGCTAGTCGATTAAAGTTAGATGAGTATTACTCTTAGACTGATAACGTTCGAGGGTATATCTATACGGTTAATATAATGCTTGCGCCTGTTAATAAGTTTTAGTTCTTTCTGACTGATGATTAGGATTAAAAGTGGCGCGATACTTATCGTAAATCCTTTTAAGAAGCTCTCGCTCTATACTAAGATCGTCTTTCTAATACTTAAGGCTTATAAGTCTCTAAAGTAGTAGTTAGACTAAGTTCAAAACTTAACAAGATGTTAAATAGAAGTAAAAAGCAGCTAAAGGTAGCCGCTGATGAAATAATATAATATCTTGATAGTGGTATGTTTTAACGTAATTCTGATTTAAATAGTATTAACTAATTAATAGATATAATTGATATCGGGCCTCTTACGTTCTGGAGAGAAAATCAGTGCCGCTTTCCGGCGATTGTAGCTCTTACGCGAGATATTCTCTTAGTTCTAGCAATCGGTGCTAGTGTTAAACGACTGTTTAACACTACTCGAGATATCTATTATTATCGACGAGGAAGGATGAAATCCGAAATAATTTAAGAGCTAATGATGTTCCTTTATACTTTAAGGTTTGATCTTAAAGAGAAGGAGTCTTATCGGCTAGAGAAATTCTTCTCTCGTGAAGAGATTGAAGCAGTAAAGGAAGAGAAGGACGAAAGGCTTGATGAGGTTGAAGTGGAACTAATTAGTGATACTAAGGAGTTAAATAATGAATTGAATAATGAGATAGTGGTAGAAGTGGCTCCTTCTTCTACTATCTAGGACCACACTGAGCCCAAAATGCTAGAGAATAACACTTAGCTACGGGCTTCAGGACGGAAGCGTAAGAGTCGAGAGGATAATGCGTTTGAGTATCATTGATTTGTGATAATTATTTCAATCTATTCATTTTGAATTTAAGCTGTAATCTTAATCTCAATTGCTTCAACATTTTCTAATCGAAAGACGAGATATAAAGGAAATACTCAATATTACAGCCAGAAATTGCATAAATTATGCAGTCACGGAACCTAGGCAGGTTTGTACTGTTTATGGCCCAATTGGGGGCCCAGGGCCCATCATGGGCTAAAGGTCTCGGCCCATGGCCCACTGTGGGCTATAGAACTCGGCCCAAAGCCCAACCCATTCGTGGGTTGGGCTGGGTTGGGCCTAGGCCGACGTGGGCTCTGATGAAGCCTAGGCGTAACTGGGTGCTTAATAGATGGCTCAGACAGACGGATCTCTAAGTAACTACTTAGCTAATCAGTGAGCTGACTGATCAGACTCACTGAGCGCCCTCTGACTCTGATCAGCTCTTTGGGTCTGAGTCTGGCCTGATATTTACTCAGTGAGTCTGACTCCGAGCGCCCTCGTACAAGCGGCGGCATCTCAGAAAGAAAAGCCCCACCTGGCAGAGGAAGAACGTTCGGTAGAGTGACCTACCTAAGTCGACCTAGTTGCAGCTCCGGTTATTTCCAGTCCACTCAATTGTCCATCTGTCCAGGCCCGAGTCCTGCACTCCAGGATTCGGCTACATCATCGGCGGCACCCTGCGTTTCTGGCGCTCTCTGGTTGGCTGCCGGGGGTGTTTGTCTCTTTTGCTCTGTTTGTCTTCGGACTTTTGGTGATCGGCCCCGACAGACATTATTCAACTCCGCCATCGTCGCAATTGTCTGTGCTGCACAATCTTCTTGTGTTTGACCAGGGACATATTGAAATTTCTCGGAGACGTTCTCAAGTCACTTACCCAAAATGAGTTTCGGAGCCCCCGGAGGTGGTTCGGTCAACTACAAGCCCACGCCGTCAGTCTTTACCCACGCCTTGATCTTTACCTTCCCTCTCGATTGCAATGCGCCGGTCTTTGATACTTTGTGACATGTGATTTTACTGACGATATGATGTTCCCAATATAGACCTGAGCGCGGCAGCTTCCCTCTCGACCACGAAGGTATGCTGATTACCCCGGCGCAAACGACTTTATCCAGACAACCACAACCCAATACACAAGAACGTGGCTAACGATAGTTTCCACTGTCCAGGAGAGTGCAAGCATATTATTTCCGGTTATTTGAAATGCATCAAACTTAACCGAGGCACCAACGACGAGGCATGCCGCAAGCTTGCCAAGGAATACCTCACCTGTCGGATGGACAAGTACGTGGAGTCAATTTCCAAGCTCTATGGATGCACCTGAGCCCGCGTGCCAATGCACGAGGACAGCAGAATGAGCATTAACGAATACTGTGCTGACCCAGAGTTTATATCTAGGAACCTTATGGCGCCCGATAACTTCCAGAACCTGGGACTCGTGTTCAAAGATGACCAACAAAAAGGCAATGATGCCACTACGAGTACACCGCAAGCACAAGAGACAGGCAGGAAAGACTGAGCAGACAGGCAGGATTGATGGAAGGATTTTGTACGATATTAAAAGGACATCAGCCCACCTGCGAGTGGCGGGGGCTCATATTGGCGTTTATCGAGGGCATTGCACGCATTAAAAATTGTATTATATACCAATTCCATTCTCTTATTACAATAAACATAACTAAGAAATAATCAAACTTCAATTTATCCCACTCGCATACGGCGTGCTGCACTGAAGTCTAGAGGCTTTGAACTGTGTCATGCGGGGAAAGCGGTTCCGCCCAGGACCATCACGCTTCTCCAACGTCGCGCCCCAGCCGATCGCTAACGCACTCGATGTCGTCGATCGCACGCCCCCCGGACCCATGTCTAGTCGCAATCATTCTCATCGTTCGATCGCGTACCGGCCCGCGCCTCGTTTTCCATTACCCTCCGAACCCACTGAGCGAGAATCGCCTGAAGACCACCACCAAGGGTGGCCGGCGCATCTCCCGTACGCGCAGCCGACAGGGCTCCAAGAATACCGACTCGAGCTCTAGTGATGAGAGTGGGCTTAGCTCTGACGAGGACGAGGATGACCGAGAAATTCATGCGGGTGGGAACGTGAATGCAAATACGAACGCGACTCTCAGTGTGAACCTGAACGCCGGGCTCGGTCGACGGGCGAGCAACTTCGGCATCGATACGCTTTCACTTACCCCAGATGCTGCGTCGCCCGGTGGCACGGACACGCAACGACCTGGATCTTTGGGGTCTGGCAGGGCTTCATCGCTAAGGAAAAGGGGCGGCGCATGCTCAGACCCGGAGGAAGATGCCGGATCGGATCGCTATGAAGATGGCGCTACGGGAGGTTCGTCGCGGCCGCCTTGGGAGTCGCTTCTGGGCTTGCCCGGCAGCGTGTGGGAGAAGCTACTAAGTCCATCTCGTTCTTGGCATAAACGACGTTTCGAAGTCGGGATCAATGATCTCGCACTAATCGGATGGCCAGTCTTTGTGCGCGAGGATGGGACATGGCGTAAGCAGCGCCGCAAGAAGGCAAAGAAGCCCCGTGCAGAATGGGAGGGCGGGGAATTGGGCCATAATGAGAATGCGGAAGATGGTCAGGGTGAAGAAGACCCGGCCACTTCGCCTGGTCTGGGTGGGAGTGTAGCTACGATTACCGAGTTGACACTGACGGCTTCACCCACCGAAGTCAAACGGACTTCGGCGGCGAGTGGGAAGTTTGGCAAGCAACCGGAAGATAGTCTTGACCCCGAGGATAAGGACCAAATGACTATGTTCAATGTGGTGTTTGTGATGGATCCTCCGCTGCTAGAGTATTCGATGCGAGTGAAGGAGATCTACGAGAACGTCATTAAGAAATTTGCCAAGGCGCTGAAGTGGGAGCAAGCTCGAACGGACTATGTGTGGAGAGAGTCGCAGCATATCCTGCAGGTTAGGAGAAAAGCGCGAGAGACGAGTATGAATACCTCCCATTTTCGTAACTTTATGCTCCATACTGACGACACGACATTAGAAACATCGATTCATAACCTCTATTCAGAGCTCATTACTCAATCGTCTTTGGCCAGGGCAATGTACACGGTCTACACCAGTATCTCGGCGTCAAAGATTGCATCGGTCTCACTCAGTCCCGATGTCTCCATCTCGCTTCAGATTCCTCCACTGACCTCTACACCATATCTGGCCGGCCCAACCGACAAAGCATATCCTGGCCTCTGGTTAACAACCTCAGACAGTGCAACTCCAGTCGATGATCCCGGTACTGATGAAAACAATTCTCCTCACCAAGTACTTGCGAAACACTTTGCTCTACTTCTCCTGGATAGCGAAGCAGCGATTATCAAGGATGTCGAGGCCTCCGGTGGCGCTCTTGCACCCGCTTTAGCCCATTATATCCGTTGTTCCAAACCTACGAAATCATTTGCGCAAATATCAGCCTCCTCGGGGATTTCACTGTCAACGATCCAGATGTTGGCGAGCCACCTGGTCTACTGGCGTCGTGCCCGGGCCATTCCTCCTCTCCACCAGCGAGACACCTACATCGTGTCGCCTAATTGCGACCTGAGCAAGCTCGAGATTGCCACAATCGCCTACCAGACCGCATTTCCCACATTGCCCAGTCTTCCGAAAATGCTTTCTGCGCTGAGTGGTACGCCTCGACCCTATGGCAGTTTCATCCCCAGCAAAGACCACAAGGATACCTACTTTTCCATCCTGGCATGGCTCCTTCGCGGTGGCTGGGTCACGCAATTGCGAACATTCGCCCGTATCAAAGTCAATCCCGAAATCAAGTTGGCCGTGGAAATGGCCCTTCGGAAAGAAGAAGTAGACAGATACCTTGCCAAGGGCAGCGTCAGCGACGGAATCGACAACGAAGACTCTTCGTCCTCAGAAGACGACGACGCAAACTCCTCCTCATCCTCCTCCCTCGCAAGCCACGGCAGCGGCGACGAGACACCCATGCCAGGCACCCGTCTCGACCCGCGCGCCCGACTACGCATCTCACACAAACTACTGGATAGATCTACCGCCCTCCGCTTCTCATCTCTCATTCTCTCCCCGCACCGCGCATCCCCGCTCGAATCACGTTGGCTCGATGAGATCGTCGCCCGCTTCCCGGATCGAGCGGTAAACATTCCAGGACTGGAAAGTCCCAGCTCGGATCTCGCGCCGAACGAGCTCCAAAACATGCTGAAGAAGTATTGGCCCGTCTTCCTGAAGTACTTTAATGGCTTTGATGCACTGGAGAAGATTCCTGTGCGTGAGAACTTGAAGCGTAAGCTGGCGTGGCAGGTCCTCATGCGCATGGGGTTTGTCACTGGCCCAGGGAACTCGGTTGAGCCGGACCCGCGCGAGCAGGTGCTTGTCGGTGTGCGACATTGGTAGAATGCCCGGCTTCAATATAATTTTGAATTTTGGTAATGAATGTAGGAGTGGGAGTTTGGCTTTCGTCCTCGGCGCAGGGGTTTTATACCACTTGATATTTTTTTTTCGCTATCTACATCTACATCTCACCCTCTACTATGGCCATTTCGTGAATCCAGAAAATTCTGCCCGTGATCTTTATCCGGGCATACACAATAAGAACTCACTGACACGAATACTGCTTCTTACTCCCATGCTTCATCTATACTGGCCGAGCCAGCCGTGTCGCGGGGAGTAATACAGATACGACGCAGCCCACGGTCCCAATTGCCCATAGGCGTGGGGGTCTTGGCCAGATTGTATTTAGATTACCCATCTCCACCCACCTTCCGATGGGTTCCGCGTGCCCTCCCTCAGCCCTAATCGCTCGCCTGCCGTATCTGACGTCCAATTCTCCGGCCGCGACTGGACGATATCCGGCCCGGCAATTCTGAATATGGATACAAATATACTACAAACAAATTGCGTCTTAGTCTTTCAAGGTTCTCCCCGTAGGATCTCTCGGGATGTCTGCCCCAGCATTACAAGCCAGCGGGCAGCATCGGGCTGGACTGATCACGTGGTCTGACCAGAAACCGTTGCATTCCTCGGTCGCACAGAATAACCATGGCGATGGCTGGACTGGGCTCGGGTAGTAGATGGATCTGGTAGAATGAACTCAGCTCTGAACGTAGCAGTAGATGATTCACCCCGTATACACCACTATCTTGATCATATGTTATTACTGTAATCAAGCCAGGAGCATCTTACCTTCTTAGGAACTCGTCATCTTGGACTGGTAATACGAATACCGCGGCCCCGGTAAGACCATCTCAGGTACCCGAGGGACACTTGGAGTGTATATCCGCTTCTCCACGGCTTGTGAAGATTCCCCTCCCGAGTCTCCGTCTGGGTATGACTATTTGCAATATCGCCATTGCCATTTGATGTCCCTGATGCGCTCGCCCTAGCACCTTCATATTGCTTAAAACCTGTAAATGCAGTAATAATGCAAAACAATCAAACCAACACCCCCGTTGCACCGAAACCAACGAACTGGCAGTGTGTCATGTCGCCCAGAAAGCCAATGATCGGGCAGCATGGCTCCGGTGGGCCCCGCCAGTAGGGTAATGATAATGCAGAAACGAAAAGAAAATGTGCCGGGGAAGAGAATGATTGATTTAGTCCCATACTCTGGTATTCATGAGCCCCGTACGTACTCCGTATAGTAAGTATTAATCTTCATAATCTTTTGTGTCTGACGTGGACGCCGTACTGGGGTTCTTCGGGCCTTCTTAGCGGATACCGGCCGCTTAGTTGTTAACGGCGTGTCAAGTACAGTCCAGTCCGTACGGTGACGAAGGATTTATGGTTGTCTATCCTTAGATTGAGACTCTCCATCGTTCTGGTCATTTATGATCATTAAATATCAATGAGGGAATATAGTAGCGATGGTCAATTCTTAGGAAAATTACCCAATTTTTCCCCTTGGCAATGTTATTGGATCCAAGTGCTGTTGAGGCTCATTTGTAAGTTTACGGTTAGGCGTCGGACATAGTTCGGCTAGCGTTCATTGTGTAAGGGAGGTCAACGTTAACCTTTGGATTTAAGATGCAAATAGGACTTGAAAATTACTTATGTAGACTTGGTAGTTAGTTAGTTCTTAGAACATGTCAACATGGATGAATGTACGGGCGCATGGCGGAGAGTATGTCGGGCTTTCCATGTATGTATAGAACACACTGTAGCGCAGTAACGGTGGTAATAAATGTAGCATGCTATAGTCGTAGGGATTTGGGTATATAGCTCATACATAGTTCGTTCCGATCAAACCACTAAGCCGAAAGAAGAGACCACAAGCAGACTGCATGATACTCTCTAGTCCCTCGGAGGGACAGTTGTGCGACTGGCGTTGCGGGCCCTCGTTGGGTTTGTGTGTGTGTAGGCCAAATCTTTCCGTGCGGGCGTACGGCTACGGCACCGAGGGATTCCACAAGGTCTCCATAGTCGAGATTTTTTTTTTTTCCTTTGTGAAATTCCTCGACCAACAAAGTCCCCTGCTCCTGAAGAATTTGGGGGTTTTTGTTTGAAAATAACCACAGACAAGTAAGTGCTGGACATTTTGATATTTGATTACCCAATACACTCCCATTACGGTGTTGTGCCCTTAATACCTTCATCCCGTCTAATTGACTTGGAGAAACTCTGGACGGCGGGCGACACACCCCGCTACCACACCCTGGCCCTGAGTACCCAAATAATAATTTTGCGTTCTCCGTCCCTCCTCCTCTTCCTCTTACCCTTCTTCACTTCTCCCCTCTCTTCAGACCTCCACCCCTCCTCTCGTGCGTCTTGCTACTTTCCCGCCCCCCCTCTTTCCCACCCTGCTTCCTTCCTTCCTGACACTTACCCGATCTGACTGCAGCCCTGTGTCTATCCTCGGGATTTCCTCCGTGGATTTGACTTCCTCTATTCCGTGACCTACCTTTTTTTTTCGCCCACCCAAGTCACTTGGATAACGCTGCTCGGCACCTCTCCGTCTTCGCTGATTCCAGAGTAAACGGAGTGACCGACCCTTCGTCTTCGTCCGTTGAACCCGCTTCGTGCAATTCGCGACTTACCGTTTCTCGCACTTAACTCGCACTTAACCCTCACAAGGGGCCCCGAGACCGAGTTTAGAGATTCTGTCCGACACGACTCTCGATACACTCGACGTGCAGTTCGCGTCCCTCTTCACGACCCTCGCCTCCCCTTCGAACTCCCCCGAATCTCGCGGCCCAGTCGTCGAGATCAACTTGGAGGAAATCGAACGTGCCTGGACAACGAGGAATACATTTGCGGAACTTGCCTCGTGACGCGCATTGACTGCTCGGACCTACTAGTTCGTTCTCTCACTGCTCGCGTTACGACATTGACAAGGCAGCGCCTTCTCAACGCCATCGCAGACGATTTTTTTTTTCTGAACCTTCCACTCTCCACCTTTTTGTGGTTCTGTGCATTCCGTCGCCAGACCACCTTCCCTTCCACCTCACAACACCGACGACGCAACTGATGCGATCCGTGGTCTAGACGGTTCATCCGCCCATTTCTCAGATCGAGTGTAACCATCCGTGTCAACACACCTCCGCCTACAGTTTCGTCTTATTCTGCCGGACCTGGCTGATATTACGTGGGTCCAACACTTGAGTGAACGGGAAGTTGCCGTTTGGTGGGGTTACAAGCAGGTTTAAAAGACCTTCCTCTGAGTGATAACAGGTGCTGGAGTTTGTCTCGCGCGTGGGCGTGTACACAGACCTCCATCCTCGCTGAAGGACATTCCAGTTCTCTAACGGATCTATTCACCATCCAAGAATTTTCGACTTTTGTCTCATCAAAAAACACAATGAGCGCTACATTCTCCTACGCGCAAGCCGCCAAGGGCGTCTCTGGGAGTGCAGTCCCCAGCAAGACCCCATCTACAGAAATAGAAAAGTCTGAAATCAAGACTGAGGAGCCTACTGAGAGTGTTCCCGTCTCCACTGAGTCCGTGACCACCGCCTCTGAGACCGAGACGCCGCAGGAGCCCGAGACTGCCACGACAAGTGTGGACAACGATGCCGAGTTCACCACCGTCACCAGCAAGCACGCTCACCGATCCAAGGCTAACAACAACAACTCCCGGACCTCGTCCCCGAGCGTTCGCTCCAATGCCGCACAATCGAAGGAGGGTGATGCCTCTAATACCACCAACGGAACCACCGACGCTTCCCCTGAAAAGCAGGATGCCAAGGCCGAGAAGTCTGAGAATGGCACTGAGAATACCAAGGAGAAGTCGGACAAGTCTGAGAAAGCTGAGAAGGAGAAGGCTGCTCCACCCAAGGAGCTGAAGGCAGCTCCTCTCCCTTCCGTTAACATCTGGCAACAAAGGAAAGAGGCTCAGGAAGCCAAAGCCAAGACTATCCCAGCCTCCGCTACGGGCAAGGGCAAATCCGAAGAGAGCCAACAGGATTCTAGCAAAGCCGGCTCAAAGAAGAAGGGCGCCGATGGTGCATCGGAAGGCACCAAGGGCAAGAAGTCCGATGGCAAGGGTCGTGATGAGGCTCTGCCCCCCGTTGCGGATGCCTCTTCATGGCCCACTCCTCAGGTCGCTCTAGGCGAGGAGAAGAAGAAGGCCCAGGAAAAGACCGACAAGCCCGAGCGAACCGAAAAGAGCCCCGTCGCTCGATCCCACGGCAAGGAAAAGTGGATGCCCGTGAACTACGTTCCTACTGCGGTTTTCAACACTCCTCTCCCAACGCCATCCGGCCGCGGTGGCCGCCGTGCCGCCCGTGGTGGACGTGACGGTGGACGAGGTGGTGCTCACGGTACCGGCGCCGCCGGTGAGAAGGCAGCCTCTGGACAGGCTGCCCAGGGTTCGGCAGCTAAGCAGGCCGCCGGAGAGCGTGGACGCAACGAGACTGGCAATGGTCGCGCAGCTTCTCTCCCCGCACAGTCTCGACGCTCCACTAGCACCGACGTTGCCAACCAGGATGCTCGCAAGGGCCAAGCTGCAGAGCGTGGCCGTGGTGGCCGTGGTGCCGAGGATGCCGCTACGAATGGCAAGCAAGTCAACGGCGGCGAGCATTTCCCCCGCCCCCAGCGTGATGGCAAGCAGTTCCCCCGGAACCAGGATTCCCGTACTGGTGACCGTAACTCGAAGAACGCTCACATTGCTGTCGACTCTCAGGCTGCTGCTCGTGCCAACGAGCGCCGTGCCGAGTCCGGTTCCAAGTCTGCGGACGTGAGCCGTGATGCTACTGGTTTCCAGGACTTCAACCGCGAGCGTGGTGACGCTCGTGCGGAGCGTGGAGGTCGCAATGCCAACCGCGGCCGTGGACCCTACTCCAACTTTGGCCAGAACCCTCAGTTCGGCATGGCCAACAACTTTGTGCCCGGCAAGTTCGGCTTCAACGATCGCCAGCGTTCTCAACACGGAGTTCAGAATGGCCAGCAACAGAACAACCGGATGCCCTTGCGGTCACCGTCATTGCCCGCCGCTGGAGGCATGTACAACAATGTCTACCCTTTCCCTGCGGAGATCAACACCATGTACCCCTCCTACACCAATGTGGCTCCTGGCCCAATGAGCGCAGCCCCCTACCAGCAGTACATGGAGCCCTTTGGCCTCATGACCATGCTGTCCATGCAACTCGAGTACTACTTCTCGGTTGACAACATGTGCAAAGACATGTTCCTGCGCCGTCACATGGACTCTCAGGGCTTTGTGCCTCTGGCTGTCATCGCCAGCTTCAAGCGCGTCAAGTCCTTGACCGAGGACTTTGAGATGCTCCGTCACGTTTCTCGTGGCCTTCGTAACGTCGACTACCATATTGGCGATGATGGTGTGGATCGTCTCCGCCCCAAGGAGAGGTGGGCACAGTGGGTTCTTCCCTTTGACCAACGAGATGCCTCGGCTCAGCATGAGGGTGCTTCTGTCGCTCAGCACTCCTTAAAGAACGACGAGAACGCCCCTATCAACAGCCACCTCGAGGGTGCTCCTAATGGGTCGATTCACAACGGACCTCGCCAGTTTGTCCCCAACGGCACGACATCTCGCGGATCTCCGACGCCGCTTTCGTCCACAGCGCCAGAGTTCCAGCCGGCACAGAATGAAATCGCCAATGTAGGACCTCCCCCGAAACATTCCACTTTTCCCACAGCCAGCTCCCAATTGGAAGGCTCTGTTATTCCCCCCTTGGACAGCCCACTCATTGACAATCAACCTTCAGCGTGCGGACTAAGTTCGCCCCCGATCAAATCGTCTCCCGCTCGGTCAGAAACGGAATGGCCTTCCTCAAGGTATGTTGAACATCAATAATTTAAGTGCGACACGCGCCGCATATCGGCTGACTCTTATCGTGTGCTCACTCTATAGCTTTGACGTGGATCAGAAACAAGGCTCTCCATCCAGTTCTGTTATCGGTCCAACGAAGAAGCCTGCCACAAGGAAGAACCGGCCGTCGAACCCGAAGGGAGCCGGCTTCTCCGATCCTAAAAGTTTCACCTCTCCCTATCACCTATTCGAAAATTCCCATCTCTACAATCCTACGGGACAGTCCTCAGTAACCGACCCTGGGGCTGAGACCGGCCCTCCCTATCGCACCTGGTCACAGCACCTCCTCCGCAATTTCAATCTGCAACTGTACAATGAATTTAGGCAACTAGCCCTTGATGATTTTTTCACACGACACAACGACTATGGAATCACTGCTCTGATGGGCTTCTTCCAAGCCTCGCTCTTCAGTCCCACCCCCACCCCGGAACAGGTACTTGGCGACATTGTTCACTTGTCCGATGACAGAAGAACGAACCTCAGCACTAGGACTTTCGAACTCCTCTGCTCGTCTATGGCAAGTGGTGTGATGGAAGGTACGAACCATCACACCGTTGGCTTTTACTACAACGAGGTGTATGGCAGGAGACAACGGGCGTGGAGGAAATACCTTGCTTGAACTCATCCTCGGTTTTTCTTTCTCGTTTTCAAATACGTTATTTTCTTTTTGGGGTCATATTCTTTATCTTTTTTTTATCCTTCCCGTTTTTTGTCCCCCGGGATCATGATCAGCATTGTTGTGCTCAAAAGGTCTTGCATGCATCGTCGCCTACTTCGTTTCTCAAGCGTCGAATGGTTTCATTTCCATCGCAATAACCGGCGCCCTGGGTTTCCTGGTCTACCGTGAAGCCTCGGAGTTCATTTTTACCATCTATTCTTCTTGTTTTCGCGAGTCTCCTCTCTATCTGTGCCGTTTGCTTGAAATCATGGGCTTTCTTCTTGTCTGTTACTAAAATGGTTCTCCGGAGTCCGGGCATGATATTACTGGGCAAATATCCCCCTTCTTTCTGCCTGATACCATCGGTCTGCCGGGCTCAAAAAATGATGTTAATTTCTTCCTGCCGTTTCTTCTGATCATAGAGCTTCTTTTTCGTGTGCTTTTTCTTCTTTTTGTGAGATTCTCTCTTCTCTGTTTCGCCCATTCTATTATCTTGATCCAGACCGGGTCGTGCACGGCTCTTATGCTCTGGACCTTAGCGAGTATCAACATGACGGTGTCTCGACCCAGAGCAATGCAACGGTCGAGAACAGCAATGAAAAGTGTCTTGTACGGTGTCAACATTTCTCCCTCCCGAGATTTAATTCGGTCCATCTGCTTCGGCCCTTGAAGCTGCGCAGGTTTGCAGTCGGGCGTCCTTTTGCGTTGAAGGCGCACTGGTTCGTACCTACCGGTCAGATGACTACTTAACCGATCAAAAGTCATATCTTCATAGCACCTTCGATTCTAAGGGTGCAGCATTTTGTGTAATGGAGTTTTGTGGTGGGTTAAAAACTTCGTTGCTCGGGGGTTTATGTGGAGTGCCTGGTGTTTTTGTGAATACTTAGGTTGTTTCGTTCTCTTGTCTGGGTAATGCGATACATTCTGTGGATTTTATTTGAGTAAACTATTTCGATTGCTAGGCTTAGAATGTCTTCTCCATGATAGCAAGCTTATTTAACGTAATTGTGAAGGAGGAATGCCTCTTCCCTCGTATGTGTGTCGCCTAGGCCTGTAGGCTCAAATGCGGAGGTAACTGGCTGCCTCAGGCCCCCATAATCGGAGCAACGACAAAGCCCGAACCTCGCCAAAGTCGCCCGGACAAGCTCACCTTGACCAGCTTACTCTACCTCCTCCCCTCCACAATACCAATTCCTCCACTTTGAACTCTCACATCTTTTCAAAATGGAGGGTGCATCCCGCCAAACTTCAAGACTGCTCCGGTCTCGCAGCGCCAACCTCCTCCCCCAACAGCGCCGCCTTCCCCGATCAACCACCGCGCCATGCGTGACCCCGATACAAACCCGCGCGGTCTCCAATTCCCCACACAATCTCGCCCCAGAGTCCCTCTTCAGCAACTTTGCAGCGGCTAGTGGCTCGCAGGGATCCGGTCTCGGTCCGACGACCTACTTCACAAACCGCCAGACTCTTCCCGCCAACACGGTCGTACGATTTGTCCCGCAGCAGACGGCGTGGATTGTGGAGCGCATGGGTAAATTCCATCGGATTTTGGAACCGGGTTTGGCTATTCTGATTCCATTCGTGGATCGTATTGCCTACGTTAAGAGTTTGAAGGAGTCGGCTATTGAGATTCCGAGTCAGAATGCTATTACCGCGGACAATGTCACGTTGGAATTGGATGGTGTGCTATACACGAGGGTGTTTGATGCGTATAAGGCTAGGTAAGCATCACCCCGCACCGGTGATTTGTCTACATGGCTGCTGTGAATTACGGATCAACTAATGCTCGTTCAATCTAGCTACGGGGTCGAGGATGCGGAATACGCCATCTCCCAGTTGGCACAGACAACTATGCGATCCGAAATCGGTCAGTTGACCCTGGACCACGTTTTGAAGGAGCGTGCCACTCTCAACACCAATATCACGCAAGCCATCAACGAGGCCGCGCAGGACTGGGGCGTTGTCTGCCTGCGTTACGAGATTAGGGATATCCATGCCCCCGATGGCGTCGTGGCCGCCATGCACCGCCAGGTTACTGCCGAGCGATCGAAGCGTGCCGAGATTTTGGATTCCGAAGGTCAGCGCCAAAGCGCAATCAACATCGCCGAAGGTCGTAAGCAATCCGTTATTCTGGCCTCCGAGGCCCTGCGCGCCGAGCAGATCAACCGTGCTGCTGGTGAGGCCGAGGCCATTAAGCTCAAGGCCGAGGCTACTGCCCGCGGAATCGGGGCCGTCGCCCGCGCCATCCAGGATGGACAGGAAGCTGCCCAGGGTGCTCTCAGCTTGCGTGTGGCTGAGCAGTATGTCGACGCTTTCTCCAAGTTGGCCCGCGAAGGTACTGCCGTCGTTGTTCCTGGTAACGTCGGTGACATGGGTGGTATGATTGCCTCGGCCATGTCCGTCTATGGCAAGATCAACGAGACCCAGGCCAAGAGCCTTGCTGCCAAGGCTCTTGGTCAGGAGCAGACTCGTGCTACCAAGGAGTCGGACGAGTTTGACGAGGTGGAGAATGATCTCGATTCGGCCTTTGCTGAAGAGGCTTCGCGAGATGATGTTGCGCAGAGTGTACTGGATGGATTTGATGAGGCCAGCAGGAAGAAGTAAATAAGTGCACACACAAGCGAAACGAAACGATCAACACCCCCTCTCTTGACCTTCCCATTTTCCTCTTCTCCTGATGTATGCTAATATCATTCTCATTCTTCCCTTGTGTCCTGCATTATGTCTCAACCGGGTCTCTTTACCTCTCTGTATCACTCCCCTCCGTTGAATGTCTTCACCCGAGCTACTCTTTTGCCTATTTGGCATATTTCTCTGGGTTCTGAAATCGCATCGTTGCTCTTCTCGGGGCTACGCGGGATAACCCGACCGGTCTTCGTTGTACTTGTACATAAGGGTATTGTTGGCAGTGACGAGGAAGACAAAGAGGAAATTAAAGAAAAAAAAAGGGCCATTGTACAACAACCGTGTAAATTTGTTCTCGAATCCTCGCCATTGTCTTTGAAAGCGAATCAAATAAAAAAGTGTCTTGTGTCTAGTTCTTAGTCCTCTTGTTAGTGCCAGCTTCGGAGAGGAACCCGAATTAAAGTCAAACGCGAAAGGGAGCTCGGGCCACGCCAAATCTGGAGATCGCGACTTTTCGAACGGGCGCGCCCTCCCTGGTACCTCAACCTCCATCATCGCACCCCCACCACTTCCCCCATCTATATCTACGGACGCCACGCCAATTCGATCACCGCTGTCTGCCTATTCCGCTGTATAAATCTCGCTACAAGAGTCTGTGGCTGGTTTTGTCCGATCGCCCTGCGATGTCCTACCCGATCAACACCTAACGCTCACCCTACAACACTGCCTTTCCACGATCCAACACTTCCCCATTACCGATAGCTCATCTGGAGCTGGGATTTTCGCATCCGAATAATCTCATCATATTTGAATTGTCCCTGTTCGATAAGGGAGCGGCGCTGACTGCCCGCACTGCGCAATGCATATTATCAAGCCTGTCTGGCTGACGCACGGAGGTATGCTGGTCTTTGCGACGAAAGCCGCATTTTGTCGGGATTTAATAAGAGGGAGGGGACTTGCAAGATGAGGTGGCAGATTTGGACTGTCGCTAGGCTTTCTTGTGGGAGATTTCTCAGGATATGGAGGCTAACTCGTGCGCTTCGATAGGCGAACGGAAAGATTTCGAGGTCTACAGTTGCGATGTTTCACCCGATGGGAAGAGACTTGTGACCGCTGCTGGAGGTGAGATTTACTGGGCATCCGACGGATAAGGAGAACTTGGGGCGAAAGCCTTGTGAAAGGACGGGGCTTGATGCTAACGGGTTCAATTTCGATGCGCATTAGATGGATACGTTCGCATTTGGTCTACGGAGGCGATCCTAAATACCGGGAATCCCGAGTTTGCGAGCAAGCCGAAGCAGCTTGCGTCGATGAGCAACCATTCAGGCACGATTCATACGGTTCGATTCTCGCCGAATGGGAAATATCTTGCCTCAGGGGCGGACGATAAGATTGTCTGCGTGTATACGCTTGATTCGAATCCTCCAACGCACTCTACTTTTGGTGGGTGCTGCTGATTCTGGGACTGTTGGCAGACGGGAGACTAATGGTGCTTGGGATATATAGGTTCAGACGAGGCACCTCCAGTCGAGAACTGGCGTACGATTCGGCGATTAATCGGACATGATAATGATGTGCAGGATCTGGGATGGTCGCACGACTCCTCGATACTCGTCTCCGTTGGACTCGACTCGAAGGTCGTCGTGTGGTCGGGTCATACTTTCGAGAAGCTCAAGACGATAGCGGTGCACCAAAGTCATGTCAAGGGCATCACATTTGACCCGGCGAACAAGTACTTTGCAACGGCTAGTGATGATCGTACTGTTCGTATCTTCCGATTCACCTCCCCTGCCCCCAACTCTACCTCCCACGATCAGATGAACAATTTCGTCTTGGAACATACCATCACCGCGCCCTTCGCCAACTCTCCCTTGACTGCATACTTCCGCCGCTGCTCGTGGTCTCCGGACGGTATGCACATCGCTGCTGCGAATGCCGTCAACGGTCCGGTCAGCTCGGTTGCCATTATCAATCGTGGTTCCTGGGATGGAGATATCAATCTCATTGGCCACGAAGCACCAGTCGAGGTTTGCTCATTCTCTCCACGGCTTTACTCTCGAGAACCGGTGAACAAGAATCAACCAGACAACCACGCCGCGCACCATATCACCGTAATTGCGTGCGCAGGTGCAGATAAGTCGCTTAGTGTTTGGATCACTAGCAACGCACGCCCCATCGTGGTTGCGCAAGAAATGGCCGCCAAGTCGATCTCGGATCTGGCGTGGAGCCCCGATGGGAAGTGTCTCTATGCTACGGCTCTGGACGGCACTATTGTGGTAGTGCGCTTCGAGGATGGCGAACTGGGTTGGGCTACAGAGATGGAAGAGAATGAAAAATCACTCACCAAGTTTGGGACGAATCGCAAGGGTGCTGGTATCACGGAGACTACTGATGGGCTTCTGCTGGAAGAGAAGAGTAAGGCGGGCGAACTCAAGGGTGTCGAGGGCCGTATGGGGGCACTGATGGGGGATGGCCATGCAGAGCCGGCCGTCAATGGTGTATCGGCGCCACAACCGTCGAATGGCACTACGCCTGTTCGAGTCCCATCGCCAGCGCCAGAGTCAACTAAGACTCAGACGAATGGAACTTCCACACCAGCAACAGACGCGGCCAAACCTGATCCGTATCTTGCTAAATTGGAAAGGTTGAAGTCACGGCCGACATATACAAAAGAAGGCAAGAAACGTATTGCACCTTTACTTGTCTCCGGAGCTGGAGCTGGAGAGTCATCTCTTCCGCAAGCTCGTCTCATGGCCTCGGTTAGCAGTCAAGTGAAAGGAGATGCGCCTACATCACTGGTCGATCTTTCCAAGCCATTTGATGGCCTGCCAAAGGGTGGTTTGACTGCTCTCCTTTTCGGAAATAAGCGCAAGCTTGCGCAATTGGATGGCGATGAGGAAGGACAAGTCGAGAAGCGTGTAGCCGTTGCTAGTCAGAATGGGGCCACTCCCATTATGGCGAACACTATGGATGGCCTTCTCCCAGCAGTCGTGCAAGCCCCAGCCACTGGTCAACAGCCTACTCCCGACTTTATTCGACCTGCAGTCACGAACCCGTGCATGTCAATTAGCCAGATTCGACTGGCAGTACCCAAGATTCGCAGTCACATAATACGTGCACTTGACCCTAACGGGAAACCTACAGAGCCACCTGCCCAACCGGGTGACTCGAATGCAAAAGACAAAGGTCGTATTGATGTTGTCTTTGAAGCCCGGAATCCCTCACCGGCCAGTCTGACTGGACGGGCAGTGGACCGGGAGCCAGTTCGTCTTACCCTTTTCCGCGGCGAGCAGCCATTGTGGCAAGACTTTTTGCCCAAGTCCGTGCTCCTCGTCGCTGGTAACCAGAACTTGTGGGCAGCTGCTTGCGAAGACGGTTCCATCTACCTCTGGACACCAGCAGGTCGTCGCTTGGTAAGCGCGCTGGTTCTTGAAGCACAACCGGTGATACTAGAGTGCAACGGTCCCTGGATTCTCTGCATTTCCTCCGTTGGAATGTGCTATGTCTGGAACGTGAAGCACCTATCCTCCCCCCACCCACCTGTATCCCTTCAGCCCGTTCTTGACGCAGCTATTCACACCCTCGGCGGAAATCCCACCGCAGCACCCGCCGTCACCGATGCACGCGTCAACTCGGAAGGAAGAATAGTTGTGTCGCTGACCAATGGCGAGGGCTACTCCTACTCACCCGCCATGTACACATGGCAACGCGTCTCAGAGACCTGGTGGGCCGTCGGCAGCCAGTATTGGAACTCGACTGATGCACCGGTAGGCAACCTCCAAGCTAGGGAAGCCAATCAAGATACCAAGGATGCCAAGGCGGCCGTCTCAGCTGGTATAATCCCCTTCCTGGAGCGCAATACTACGAACGAAACTCTGCTCCGTGGCCGGGCGTACTTCCTCCAGCGACTGATCAAGGTCTTGCTCTCGCGTGAGGGCTACGAGACCTTTGAGTCTAGTGTGTCTATTGCGCATCTCGAGAACCGTATGGCAGCGGCCTTGTCTCTCGGTGCCAAGGAGGAGTTCCGGCTGTATCTGAACATGTATGCCAAGCGCATCGGTGCGGAAGGCTTGAAGGGCAAAGTTGAGGAGTTACTGAAGGGGCTGATTGGTGGATTGTTTGATGATGAAGATGGATCAGAGACTGTTTCAAAACTGCAGGCTAATGAGCGAGACGGCCGTAATTGGCGTGAGGGATCGGATGACTTGTGTGGCTGGCCACGGGAGACCTTGTTGAAGGAGGTCATTCTTGCTCTCGGTATGTCCCTTCTTCCTTCTCGATCCGTACGTATTTTCTCGTGGTGCTTTTACTAACGTCCATTTTCAGGAAAATATCGCGAACTCCAGCGCGTCACAGTACCCTACGCCAAACTCTTGGACATGGTCGATACCACCTCCGAGGTTGGCGACGCGATGGATCTATAACGATACCTTGTCTCATCGTATCCTTCATTGTTTGCTTATCGTCTTTTGTATTGCCATCGGCGTCTTATATGTGGATTTGTTTAGGGTTCTGGGGTGTGTGGACACTGGGGCGGGGCTTTTTCTACATGGTTATTTTTTTTTGTTCACTGCAGTACCTGGAACGACGGGGAGTACACCTTGCTAGGTTGTGTATTTTTATTATACCTATTCCTTCTGCCTCCAAAGAATTGTATGAATTTGGGTTGAGAGTCGATAATTTTCTTCCTGTTGCATATCCTGTGATATGGACCTGACCTTTAAACCTGATGATAGGTCCTTTTCAACTTGTCTTGCCCGATGTATGAGTTAGCTCCAGAGGGCATGTTTTCGTAGGTGTTTGACATTTTTCAGGCTCATTCTTTTCTTGATTGCCCTGACCGCTGCTCCCTCTTTTCCAAGGCTAAGGCTGGATTGCGTATCGATACGGTAAATCGTACGAGAAACTCGAATCCAAAACGATCTTTCAAAACTTCGAGAATACGGGTCTTTGGGTCACAGGAAGTAAGATCTTCGATCATTAGTCTATTGAACATATAGTCCGGCTTATATCAAGATGAACTTTGGCAACCTAACGAGTTTATTGCGCGTTCGAACCTATACATCATAGACATAATCTCCCACGCAACCTTCATCCCCAATCCCAGCCTTCATACTCGTTGAATGTTTGGCTCAATTGCTACACGGGTTATCGGCCCTTCCTTCTGCAACCACAAAAGTCCAAATTCTGCGGCAATTCTGTCACGAGCTGGTCCTTCAGCCAATGGAGCTGGGGTATCTCACAAGAGACAATGTTCTAGCACAGCTAAAAAAAGTGCAAAATGTTTCACTGTCTGACCGCAGCGAGCCCTCTCAAAGTTGCTTAGTCGTCTACGACTGGAAGAGCCGGCTCACTGTGGGAGATGAATGGGTTGAATAGAAGTGGAACTTCACGTCAATCTGGGACTGATAGAAGTAGTACATATGACACTATACCTAACATTTTTCCTATGCCAGGTAGGGCTTTCCTATTTTAGCTGCCGCCGCTTTTATGAGGGCGCTTAGAGCCAGGCTCACTGAGTAAATTTCAGTCCGGAGCTGCTCAGTATTATCACGTGATGATCAGTGAGTGCTCAGTGAGTCTGATTGGATGCTCACTGAGCCATCACTGATTACTCAGATATTCATTAGAGGCATCCATTGAGCACCCAGTCGATGCTCAGTCCATACCCAGACGAGCGCTTTGCCCCACAGCATTGTTTATCTTCCAACCTACTTTTTGATAGGCCTCAATTTTCACCGTGTCCTGTTTTTTGAGGTACTCGACCCTCCAATCTCTTTCCTCAGCCCCCACAAAATAATGAATAGGGGCACGGTGACTCAATAATGGAGGGTTTAGGCATTCCGCTATGCACTGGCGCAGGAAAAAGGCGATCCGCTATCATCAGACCCTAAGATCTGTGCTTAAGCCCCGGAGTACAAATTGTAGCTATATCCCGCATTTCAAGACACAGCCTATATTCTCTTCATCCTTAACCTTAATAATTACTTCCATTCATTCCTTTAGGCGTTCCACGAGAATACTTTCCGTTATGGGTCAGAAGACATTCTTTGCTTAACAAGATGAGGCCTCTAAGTAACTAGCAAAAAACGGCTATATTTTTGGCGCTTATGCGAAGGAAGATGCTATCAGACAAAAAGACAAAAGGATACCTAAGACGAAGAAGATGTATTCCCGTGTTGTCCGTCGCTTGATGGAGTGAGTTTTATGGTCTAGAGGATTGCCCGCCGTATGCGTTGCTTACTGCCCTTAGCTAATGTCCTATGCACGCTCCCCTCTAATGGTCGCCATATTTCGTCTACTGGCGTAGCAGGTCGCTGTCACCTCTAGCACCGAAATGGGTTCCAAAATTCTTCCGAATCACAGGAGTCAGGTCGCTCTAGCACTGTAGCCGGCAGTTACCCATACCCGACTTCTTCATGTCATCCGGCCTCATGATGTTTGTTAATAGCTGGGGTGCCTGGGCGTTGGCTCTTGTCAGCTCAGTCATTACTCGCGTGGTTATTAGACGATATTGGACCTCGATTCGGGATATCCCTGGCCCACTGTTGGCTTCATTCTCGAACCTCTGGCAGGTTTTGCAGATTTTAAAGGGCTATACCAACAATGCCCTCGGTCCATATCAACGATCTTCGAATGTGGGAATAGTTGCAAGATTAGCTGGAAAGAGCTTCTTGGAATTCAGTTACTTTAAAGAGTCCAAATGAAGCGAGCCGATCCACCGCATTTTACATCTTCACTTATATATTGGAAATCTCCCAGAGGCACTATCGCTTCTTTCAGGGTCCCCAAGGCAACGCACTCTCACAAGTATGGTGACCCGTTCACTCTCACAAAGTTGCTCATCACCCAGAGTCGCACTCTTTGATCATGCATCATTCTATCAATGCTAAATCCCAGACACCTACCCTTCTCAGCATCGATGAGAGAGGCTCAAATTTCGAACTGTACTAAGGGAGGGCCCTTGGAAACTGGCCTATCTCAACTCCAATCCCAGCACCCTATCAAAGACTACGCATAGGCCATACCGAAGGGTTCCTGACCATTAATTTTTGTACGGACTCGAACGACATCGAGCCACTTAAGTCCTTCCAGAATTAATATTTCGCGATATTACACCAGCTATCCTACCATATATTAATTAATCCGCTTTTCCTGCTATACTCTGACTGTGTTGCGCTGGGACCTTTAGGGTCGAGCTCAAAATAAGTGTGAGATTGAGATTGTTTGCATTGCTCCCTATGGATGTGCAATTAGGAAAGCCCGGGATTTTAGTGATCAATGCAGGGACGCGCAGTTGGAGGAAAAGAGGGTAGGGGGACGAGAGTGATCAAAATAGTGATCAGAGATTAGGACACAGTGCAAAATAGGTGCAAAAGATAAAGCAAAGGGTGCGTAAAAGGAAAGCTAGCAAATCGCTGTCAAAATAATAAATGCTCAAAAGTTGGGTAAAAACGAGCAAAAGTTGGTCGAAACAGAGTGGGCCCATAAAATAAGCGAAAAAATGTTCAAAATATATCCAATCGGGCAGTCTCATTCCAGAACTAGTGCGGCCATGACTGAACAACGAATAAGTCTGTAGTCGTAAAATATCTCCTCCAGAGCTATTCATTTTAGGTAAGAGGGTGTTCCTTAAGGCAGGAAATTAGAGGCAAGACAAGTAACTCGGCGCATAGTGAAATGACTGCCTTTAATCAGCTTCAGGAAACAGGCTCCAGGAACTTGGGAAACATACTTGGCACTATCCTGAAGCTCTCCAAATAAGTGGACCAAATAATTTGTTGAGCATGGCCTGGCAATGACTGCGCAAATCGAGTATCACTTAGCACTTTCCGTATGGTCTACGAGATGTTAGAAGTTGAAAAGTAAATACTCCAGTAGACTAGGGTGTGGCAAACCTCAAGACCCTCTTCGCTCGCGCCAAATTTACGTAAGAGGCCGCGTCGAAATACAGCCTGGGATATGGTTGCTCCTAAGGTGGTTCCTCCAATCATGCCCAGTTGCTGCGACATATAATAAACTGTAATGGCCGTTGCCGAGGATTCCTGGGGTACTGATGCTGCAAGCCCGACGAACTGAGTGGAGAATACTCCTCCTAGACCGACTGCTGAAATAAAAGTGTAGACTACTTCCCACTGGCTAGGCCCACATGGCCATCGAAACGTGATGAGAAGGAAGCCCGTCAAAGAGAGTCCCAAGCATGAGACAGAAAGAAATTTGTACCTTCCACTCCTGTAGAGAGATTAGCACCATGAATATCCTATTCTCGCTTGCAAATATTGTTTGTTTGTGGGCAGATTGAGAAAAGAGAGGTTCCCTACCTTTTGATAAGGTGTCCACTAAGTATACCACCGGCAATCATGCCAAGAGAAAATGGTACTATGTAGACACCAGCTGTCGAAGTTGAGACATATTCAATTCGAACAAAAAACTCGCCGACGTTGGTGATGAGCTAAGGAAGAAAATGTGAGAGCAAGTAAACAAAGAGACATTGTTTGACTGACACTGAATGTCGCAATTTGAAGCAAAACTTGTGCAGCCCACGAGATGCCAACGCCATTATTCACTGCCAGCTTCAGAGGAATCCAGGGATCTTCAGCCCAGAATGCCTCGTCAAGGATAAAAAAGGCTCCGAAGAGAACTAATGCGGCCATAAGTTCCCATTTTTTCTCGTATAAGAATGATTCTTCTGTGAAGGCGCTGCAAAGTAGAATGAACGATGAAACAGCACTTCCGAGAAAAACAAGGCCGAGAATATCCAATCGCCTTCTCTCTGGACGATGACCATTCATTTTCTTGGTTCTGAGTTCCGCTTCGGGGGTATGTTTTGGAAGCTTCAATGCAATAACGGCGAAGCATAGAAAAAGTATCGGGACCCGGCCCAGAAACGACCTGAAATGTTTAGCTTGAAATGGATGGGCCAAGAATTTAATAGAACGTAGTATACCATCTCCATCCCACTAGGCCGGTAATGAACCCTCCAAGTGGTGCCCCTGCGCTGATTCCAGACATAGATGCGGCTCCGATATACATTCGCAGCATAGCGACTCGCCGTAACGGAGCCATATCTGGAGGACAATGATTAGTACTAATCATAGCAGCTAACCAATGGGATCTTTACCGGTTATGAGGACAGTGATTAGGTCAGTTATGCCAGAACTGCCAATTCCCGCGATGAATCTTCCCAATATTGCGAACTGCATGGACTTCGCTGTGCCACTTTGAGGTGTAAGCTTCCTCACCTAACCCTCCAAGGTTTGGAAACACGTACGTGATGGTAACCCCTACCGCGCCGAAGATATACGCAGGAAGGAGCGTATTTTTCCCTCCATAAGTATCGTAGAGTCTTCCGTACTAAGATGTCATAAATCAGCCCTCAGACAGGTGACAACCGTGGTTTTCATGCCGGACAGATCAAAGCCTCACCGTTGGTAAAGCAATTGCCCAGCCTAGATTGAACCCTGTTACAAGCCAGTAGCTGGTAGATATTTGGCCAAAGCTGTACGCAATCTCTTTATGTGTAGCGATGACGAAGGATTCATCACAATATGCGATGAATATACCTATTAAGATTTATCAGCCGGGGCCTTATAATGGTGTCAATACACGGAGACCACTACCTAAAAGAGCGACGAGGAAAAATGCCCAATCAAAGCCCGAATATCCCTTTTCCAATTCTGAGCCGGCGCCCTCCCTATCTGAACATAGAGAGCGCTCATTATTCGGGCTCAAGAGATGCGTGGTTTCGTCAATCATTATGCAGTCATCGGCCGAGAAAATATGGGCTTAAGGAAGGGAAGTAGAGGTAAGTCTTTGGTGGATAGGGAGACGAACGGCAAAAGACTGAGAAGGGGATATAAAATAAAGGAAAGCAGACAAAAACCAGGCGGACCCCTGCAAGGGTGGTCACACGAACCTGTTTCACGAATACGTGGTGCATGGTACTGTAAGTGTATATAGAATTTGTGCATTAATGAAGAATGATCTTCGGCATACATAATGATCTTCAGCAACACTGTCCTATCCGGCATTAGTTGCCCAGCAGAATCTGATTGTGCAATATATAGCGAGTTCAAAAGTCGAAAGTAAGCTGGGGGTGTATTGCATTGCCCATAGATTCATGTAAAAAAAGGGCTTGGAGTAGTGCGTCCAATCCACTGTTCATGCACTACACTCACACTACAGAATACACTGAATCATCTACTATGTTACACAAGGCGCAGCAGACTACATTATCTGGCTAAGTGGCGGTTAACTCCCCCACTGTGGCACCGAATAGTACAACTTGTTTCTTAGTTACCACACCAGTCTTACCTCTCTACATTGCATAGTCAATGACTTGTTAACTACCGTAAAGTTCTAAAAATTTCAATAATGCTATACACATGCACTGTGGGACTATCTAATATTGGTTCTGTAGCCAGACAGTGTAGGCTCCGTCGCCCCGTAGATTAGGCATTAGCCTTCTTTCTCAACTGACTCTCTCCCTTCTGTCTTCACTGGATGAATAGGCTACCCTGACAAGTGGATCCTTCATAATTGGAAGAGGCTCAGCAGGCTGAAATGCAACTCCAGCTCTATTTAGGAATGCAGCCCAGCATGAACCGGAATAATCCCTCAGTGCCGAACCGAAACCCCCTTCCCCGATTGCAGCAAAAACAACGAAAGGACCTCTTAGCGTAGGAGAGGATCATATAGAAAGATGGGATATTACGCTGTGGGGAGAGATAGAACAGGTTTCCAGATGGGATAAGAAGGACATGTGTGATGAAAGATCAAAGTATGCAAAAGTGATCTTAATGGATTTCAGTCTCATCGCCTAGGTACAGAGGGAATGTAGTATTCATATCCCATAAGAGGATATCGAACATCAAAGAAAGATGAGATGAAAAGCAATCAAAATCATGGGGGACAGGTCAGCATACCCGAATTCAATATGAGATGGAAAGGAATTGGGGGGTATGCATGCAAGGATCGCCTAAGTACATATGCATGAACTGCGGCTGGCTTGCGAAGGGCGTGAAGGATCAGGTTGAAAGATCGCTTCGGGGAAGATTGTTGAAGATCAGTGAGAAGCGGACCGATCGATCGGTTCGGATCTCCTCGGGAAAATGGAGAAATGTCTGCAGCCTCAGGAATCAGGCCAACAAAATGAACATTGAATTACTACTTAGTCAAACACATCGCGCACTAGTTAATTGGATATCAACGAGTCTGAATTGCTATAAAGCCCCTGACTATCTGGCAATTTAACTAGTTAACTAACTAACGTAATCACCCTGGCCACCCCATCAGAAAACGCGTCAATCTACCAACCTACCAATTTCAACCAACTACCATGCCACCAATTCGCACTGAATCCTTCCAGAAATCGGCCAATCAAGAGGGCAAGATATTATTAGCCCTTGATGATATTAAAAATGGCCGTATTAAATCTATTCGTGCAGCAGCAAAGCTATACGAAATTCCACGCAGTACCCTACAAACGCGTGCATATGGTGTAGTCTCTATCGCAGAGAGACGTAACCCTAACCATGAATTGACCTAATTAGAAGAGGATTCGCTTGTTGAATGGATTATCTCTATGGATTCGCGTGGAGCAGCGCCTAGGCTAGCTACTATAGCCGAAATGGCTAATATTCTACTCGCTGCGCGTAGTAGCTACCCTCCGCCTATAGTTGGGAAGAATTGGCCATTAACCTTTATAAATCGGCGCGAAGAGATTCGAACACGCTTCTCTCGGCGATATGACTGCTAGCGCGCTCTTAACGAGGTTCCAAAGGTTATAAAAGAGTGGTTTTTAACGGTGCAACGCGCGATTAATAAGAACGGTATCTAACCGGAGGATATCTATAACTTCGATGAGACTGGTTTTGTAAGGGCCGGTTAGTTGATTACTTTTCATATTTTCTTTCATTTCTTTTTTTCCCTTATAGAGACAGTGAATTATCGCCAAGGCAGAGGGCGAACTGACCGCCATGCGCTGCTGTGCTCACCCGTCTTTTCAATGGTAGGGATATCCAACTCGGAATTGTCTAAAGAACTTTCCGGTTGTTTCTTTTGTCGTTGGCCAACTCTTGCATCAGATTAACGTCTTTCTCACCAAATCGGCTGCCGTCTCCCCCAAAGTCCTCGACACCCGCAGGCCACTTCCATAATTCCCGGTATTCAGCCTCAAGGCTGCCCTCTATGGCATCCACAATCTTGTCACCGATGACAGGCAAGAACTTGTATCCATGGCCACTGCCGCCAGTGGCAAGGAAAAGGCCAGGGTGACGGGGGTGGTAGGTAATAATGAAGTCGCCGCTGGGTCTGTTGAATAGTAAGTGGGAATGCCTCCGCGAACATGTCTCGGGCGAACTCACGTGTCAGTATACCAGCAAATACGAGTGTTTGTGAAAGGACGCTCCGCAAGGTCGGGCAATAATTCTCGCAGAGCAGCGCGACAAGCCTCTTGTGACCTAAGGGGCACCGTGAGGCCGATCTCCGGTAAACTGACTTGCATTCTTTCGCCATTTCCTCCAATTGTAGGAATCGTAGTCGGGTTCAGATACCCATGTCCGTGGCGGGCGACCTTGAGAAGGTTGTTGCGAGGCGGTATAATGAAAAATCCATTGGTCCAGTTGAATATAGTGGGCTGATGAGAAAGGCGCTCCTGCTCTTCGGGGGAGATTTGAATATAAAGCAAGATTTGACCTGTCGCCCTCACAATTCCCTGCAGATCCACCAGTTTTGGCGTCCATGCACCAGTTGCGAGGACAGTTAGGTCAGCGTGGAGGACAGATTGGTCGCTCAACATAACACCTGTTACCCTGCGACATTCTTCTGTGGTATTTTGGTCATTGTGGTCGTATATGAGCTGCTTCACCGTTCCAGACAGGAGAGTTACTTTGCCCTCTTTTTCTATCCGTTCCTTTGCGTAGCGGACACCCGCCTCTGCATCTGCCCAACCAGCTCCCCAGTTTATGTAACCGGCGTCAATTTCCATGGCTTTCCCGAATGTCGGTGCAACTCGAAGTACATCTTCCTTTGAAGAGAGAAATTCGACTTGGCTGCCCTTCATGGCCTTGAGGGTCTCGAAACTCTTTCTTGCGAATTGGTGTCCACTGCTACCATCTTCTCGAAATACGCTCAGTAGACCGTTCTGCATGTAACGACCACCACCGCCCCAGTCGTCGGTGCGCCAGAGATCGAGGGCTTGAACAGCAAGCCGTGCATAGGGAGCATGAGCGTAGTCCGCACGAATGATGCGAGACATGTCCACTGATGATCCATGGGGATTTGGAATTACCGAAGACGCTTCTATCAGTGTCACCTTGCTCTTTGGGTGTCGCTCAGAGATCGATAGGGCAGTGGATACTGTTTCTCCCACGTATTAGTAGAGCAAACATCTCAGTCTGAACGCAATGGATCATGAATAGTGCGCGATCGGTTAAAGAAGCTTGATTTAATTGCGAATGAAATCGCTACTAGCTTGACTGACTGACATCCAAAAGCCCCTCCCCCCACAATTATGATTGATTGAGGTACTGACATCTGAGGAAGTGGTTCTCAGTAAGGAATACTTGTCAAATGTTGTTTGAGTCGGTCGAGGAGGATTTTGGTACTGCTCGGAGCTTAAATCGAAATAAGGATGAAGCTTGTGCCGGTCTTCAATCACCTCAATGGAGCGCAAGTACTTATAGACTAGCCACAGTACTTAACAGCCTTACTTTCTGGAACCTGCTATTCAGATAAAGGTCCTACGTAATTGTCAGGGCAACATAGAACAACGAAGAGCTATAAATCTGGGATCAGGTAGCCCCACCTGATCAACAACCATCCACTGAAGCAAGAGGAGTCACACAGCTTAACGTATAGCGAGAATCGTTATTTTGTTCATGTAAACTGAAAAAAACCCCAGTATTTCACATAAAAGTAAATAATTGTCACATCCGCCCAGGAGGTGAGCTCTGCGGATCATGTCTGCCACGTCACCCGTGCAGAGGGGACGGTCTGGGCGTTGGTCATTCGCCTGTCCTCGCATTTGCCCCGCTGTCTATATGATGACTGCATTCAAAGCTGCATAAATTCTCCATTGACGGTTAAGGCGACTCTGTGACAGACATATCACAAAGCAGTCCTGAAAAAAATAGGAATACCATCGGAATACATTGCTATCGTAGTTTAGGGGACGATCCTCGTGGCCAGAATATCGGTTCTACTGGACATCAATTGTCAGAATACAAGTATCAAACCTATCATGGTACACCTGATCAAGCTAGCCAGGGATACTCCCAGCTGAAAATAACATCTCGACCAGCCGATCTTACCAAGAGGATATTTTGCTCCTGAATGACTTTCTGTGAACGTACCCATGTACTAATTCGAACCCTGTCAAATTATCGGCCGAAGCCTGCAAAACATACAAGAATCCAACCCCAGGTGTTCATAATCCCAAGATGTGTCTATAGCTGAATATGAAAATAGTATGTCTAGTGCAGATGTTAGATGACAGAGGGTCCAACCATAATGGGCACAACAAAATCTGAGGTGGTACCATGCAAGTTTGAACTGTCCTTGCATATCCAAGTGCCACTAGTCCGGCGCCAGGTGAAAAATTGTGCTAGGTAAAAAGCCAAGGTATCTATTCCCTAGTTAAGCGTGGCTAAAGTCACACTATAAAGTCCTCCAGACCTGAGTCTTCCTTGGAGATTCCCAAATTTCATGGTACCTGTAACCCAGTCGAATACAATGGCTCCTATACTGCCTGAACCTATCTCCGTTCTGCAGGACATTCGCACCAGCTACGACTCGGTCGATCTCAAGTCATGTGTGATCGCGGGCCTCACGTCCGAACCAAAATCAATGCCAGACCTTCTTCTCTGGGACGAGCAGGGTATGAGGAATTTCAATTCCTGGATCCAGCACCAAGACTACTACCCACGTAGTAGTGAGCTAGAAATCATTCACAAATATCAGGATGAGATCGCGCAGAGCTTGCCAAGTACTCTTGTATTGGTGGAATTGGGCTGCGGGTACACTTCCATATCTCATTACCTATCCAGAAAACATTTGCTGATTACTGAGCAGAAGTCTTTACAAAACGAAAAGTATCCTATCCGCTCTAGCGTGCGCCAACAGAACCGTACACTATTATGCCCTCGACGTCTCTGAGGGGGCTCTCTCCGACAGCCTTGAGGAGCTCCAAACGGAATTTGCTGATCGACCCGCAATCAAGATCTCGGGGCTTCTTGGTACATATGAGGACTGTGTAAAGTGGCTGACGGATGGAGCTTCACCGTGCGGACTCCCTTCTTCGACTGTGTGTTTTCTTTGGTTGGGTAATAGCGTCACCAATCTTGGTTTGTCAGACGCAAGCGCCCTCATTAGCAAGTTTCGGAATGTGTGTATTGGCCTTGACTTGCAATGCAGCTTCCTCCTCACAGCAGACTGCTGTACATCGGACGAGCGCCTCATGAAGGCCTACGAGCCTATCAATGGGCCTTCGCATACGTTTATGCATCATGGTCTGAAGACCGCGAATGAGGTTCTTGGATGGAATGTCTTTGACGAGAAAATCTGGAGATGTACTGTGGAACGTGATCTGGATCAAAATGAGCTGATCTTTCGTTACCGACCTGCCGTGAACGTGTCACTAGATATAGGATCAACAGTTGTGCACGTGCAGAAGAACGAAGGTATACAGATCACACGCAGTGGAAAATGGAGCGAGAAGCAAATGGGATGGATCGCCGACAGAAGTGGATTTCGGATTGAGCATATCTGGAGAGATCTAAAACGGAATTACTGTGAGTACTGTCGTTCAAACGGCATTTCTAACTGAACGTCTAACTGTGTTAGGCTTGTATTTTCTGCTGTGAGCTTATATTCAACCGCCCGGAGTCGAATATGCATTAAGGGGCTTCCAGATTGTCCTGGCACGAGTTCATAAAGTTTCCCTATTCCATGGCGGTATCCGAGTACGACGGACTGGAATTCTCGGCCACTACAAAAATACTTTTGACCCAGATCACAGTAGAGACTTCTTTTATTTTAGTATCAGACTAGAATTGCCAATCATTGCTGTCGAAATCTTATACTGTATGTGAATATTTTATAGAATAAATTGCAACGTTCTACTGAGGCTGATGTCAAGGCCAAATGCTGGCATTCCACGTGCTCAGATCATCTACATATATCTCCAGAGTTCTCCAAGTAAACTCAGGCTGTGGCACTAGGTCAGAAATGCTGTCTAGGTTATGCAAGCTCAATATTTTACCCGAAGGGCTATGTCTTGCGAGATATAGATTGCCCAATTATATTGCATTCTGAGTTATTGCACTGATGATTCCCAAGAGTTCCATACCCTACATCATGCTTCTGATCAATTCATTGGTCTGACTACGAGGCAAAATGTCGGAGAAGTACTGATTTAGCTCCTCAGCCGTTGCTCTGCCCTCCGTCAACCTCACGATACACCCAACATACCCATCGGGACGGACGACGACCACTCCCCCTTCCCGCGGGTTAAAACCCAATCTCGCATGCGCTGCACCCTGGCCCCCCGCATGCAACTTCTGGCTACGCGCATCATCAGAGTAGATGTGATACCGGTAGGGTAGGAGGAACTGGGGCAACGAGCTAATCTCGACGGACACGCGCACCGCGTTAAACACAACGGAAAAGGTATACAACGCTGAGTGCGGGTTATGCCGGCTCTCGTACGACAAGTCTGGCTCCCCAGAATTGTCCACCGCCCGCGAGAATACAGATTCTTGACGCGAAAGTTGTCCAGCTAGGTCTGTCAGTGCGCGCTGTTGCTGGTGGTTCTGCTCACCAACGAACACGTACACGTGAAAACTTCCATTGAAGGGGACCTCGCGCTCCAGCTGTATCTCGCACGCGTCGATCACACGTGTCACGTTGATCGGGGGGAAGCTGCGGCCCGGCTGGACTCGCTGGAGGGCGCTCAGCAAGGGGCGAGAGATGTCAGCGGCGTCACCGATCCGCGTGAGGATGTTGGGCGGGTATTCCACACCATAACCGCTGGTCAATAGGGAGTTCTCCTTGAAGATGCGGAGGAACTCGTCGTTGGTCTGCTGCGAGGGGTTATGCGAGCTGAAGAGACCAGCGTAGGTGGCGTCAAACTCGATCAGTCGCGAGGCGACGGCGCGGCGTTCCTCCTCGTATGTGTGCAGCATCTCCGGGCGCATCAGGCCGGACTCCACAAGGTGGAGTTTCCAAGCCAGATTGTGGGAGTCCAGCAGACCGTAGTTCATGCCCTGACCGGCTTTGGGCTGTGTTTGTCAGCCTCCAGGCCCGTGGTTCGTACGGCTGTGAAAGAAGCGACTTACACTGTGCGTGTGGCAGGCGTCGCCACCGATGAAGATACGGTTGTCCAACGAGTACCGCTGCGAGATGCCTTGGCCGATGTGGTAGGCCGAGTGCCAATCGACGGACTCCCATTCGACACGGTAGGGGCTTAGAATCCTGTTGGCCATATGCTGGATTTTGGCCTGTGAGGCGTACACGGACAGATTCTTGCCTTGTTCTGGCGAGATCTGGACGTATATTCGCACACGGTTGTTGCCTTGTGGAATGATCATGCAAGAGCCGTGCGGCGAACGAATAGTACATTTTATCTGCGGCCGTTAGTTTTGATGGTGCCCCAGGGCAAGGAGAGGATCGACCAAGAGAAAGTGTACCTGCATGTCCGGAAAATCCGACTTCACTACCCCGTCAATCACACTCCACACATGCACCGTCGGATCTTTATAGACCATCGGAATCTTGAACAGGTCACGCACGGCACTGCGCGCTCCGTCCGCACCGAACAGATACTTCGTCTTGATCGTCTCGGTAGCCAAGCCATCGATACTGACCAGCTCGACGTCAATAGGGTATTCAGAACCAGGCCCACGGTATCTTGCGGCGCGGATCGTCCACGGCCGCTGTATCTCGACCGCATGCGACCGCAAATCCTCCAGGAAGATGCTTTCGATACGACCTTGGTGCAGGATAGTGGTAAATGGGTAACGGGTGTCGACGTGGTCGGGGTAGCTCTTGCTTGTACCCGTACGCTGGATGCACTTCCTATCAGCGGTCGACTCCCAGAAGGCAACCTCGTAGATGAGACCGGGGTTGTAGGCCCAGATGGGTCTCTTCAGGCCCATGGAATTCAGGACATCCAGGGTTCGGGCCTGGATGCCGTCCGCGCGGCCGATAGTCGTTGGCTCGGCGCGGTTGTCGACATGCTTGATCTTGTAGGAACCAAGGCGAGCCAGACACGCCGAGAACATGAGGCCTACCGGTCCGGCACCCACTACTACGACGTCGTATTCTTCGGGCATCTTGTTTGATTTGATTGACCGACGGTTAAGAGGGAATGAGAGGGAGAGAGGAACAAAGTGAACAGAGCAGCGAGGGGGAGGGTAGAAATACACGTGGGGTTGCTTTGTTATATTGGTCAAAGGCTCAGCTTTCCGAAGAGATGCATCGTATTCAAGGCCCCATTGATTACCCTTACGATTGAAATCACTGCTCGAGTTCTATCCGACTGCAGTAGGTATACCCCCGACAACATGCCGTCTGACTGTAGCGACCAAGGTGCCAACACAACCAATGGAAAGTGAGTACGGAGTAGATTTGCCCCCTCCCGTACGAAACGGTTAGACGATAGACCCATGAGGGCACATCTTTTTTTGGTTATTTCTTCGACTGGATATTTCGCTAATAATGTGGAGAAGGTTATCGTGTAGATCGGAGTTATGAGCTCTAGGCTCCCCGCGTGTTGTCGGTCCCCCAAAAATCAGCTACACTCAATGGCCAGGCCCGATCAAATTAAATAGCGCACTGGTGACCTACTTGTTTCACGGTTACCAGATTAGTCTTACAGTACCTCTCTATGGTATACAGTATATGGTATATAGTAAACACCTTGTCAAAGACTGTTATTTCAACAAATTCCAATTATTCAGCGCCAACGCACTATAGAGATATCGGGCAATATGTGGCGAGGGAGTGTTTATTTCTTCTTGTAGGCAGGTTGTCAGAATAATATTTTACAGGTCTATAGTAGTACGTGATGAAGCATAGCTAGGTGTACGAAGTAGATGGATGTTAGATGTAAAGACAGATGTGGAGACGAGCCCAGCGCATCACACGTAAAATAGGGTCGTACAGCAGCAGGTAATGCATAAAAAGGAGCTATCGGTTTCATCTACGGAGTACCCCGACTCTCTGGTCATAGATTTGCTAATATTGCCACGGTGCATTAGCGCCATATAGTTGAAAATCTCGAAATCTAATCGTATTGCATACGGTATGTATTTACTATGGACTAATCAAGTCACTGAAATAGAAGGGGTCAAAAGTGCCCCACAGTAAAACCTGGTTACAACGAATCATGGCAAATTTGTAACGAATAGCCAGGAACCCAGGATATTCGTTATATGTATGGGATTTTTAGTTTTGAAAAGAGGTTTTGGTTCGTAAACCCAGGAATTCGCTCAAAGGAGGGTCGTAATAACCAGGTTCTACTATGTTGATTTTTATCGGGTAGTGTACGGCCTGAGAATGGATCTATACAAAATAATTACGTGCATATAAGTATTGCGTTGATTTGATTTGCAATTTGTTGTCTCGATGGTAACAGCTGAAGAGTGCCGCAGGCGTAAAAGCAGGGTGGGTACGACCAGAGAGCACAAACACATGTATCACCAACATGGCTGGCTGCGCCGCATTAGACCATTATAGATGTGGATTAAGAAAAGCCTATAGGATTTGCCGACCAAGAATGCAGTGGCATGGTATGAAACAATGATCAATTATATGTTTTGATATAGTACTGTGATTAATGTATGTATGACTAAAACTATATACCCCTTGGCCAAAATGGGGTTTCATAGTGCTGAGAGAGGCTCTCGGATTTCTTTTGTGTTGCCTTTTTTTGTATGCTGGGAAAGGGCTGATCATATTAATAGCTGTCCGTTTTGCACGCCGTACCATACCTTTCTCCCACATCAAGAGCATCTGTCCTGCTTTTCATTTATGTGGTTCGATTTGACAAAGCTGACATTTTAATCTGTTCATATCCATCCACCCTTGAGCACGTCAATCCTTTGTTGTCTGAATAATTCAGAATGGAATATAAAGACTCTTCCAGAAACAGCTCCGTGGCGCTCAAAGAAGCGTGCGACTGGTCTCGTAAGAAAATCTCTCCATCAAACTCCATGACGAAACTAACCGACTATAGACTTGTTCAGCCCCGAGAGCGCGTCGAGAAAGGTACTGCTGCCTCTGCGATTTTGAGCCAATCTCTAACAAAATGAAAGCACTCCGTGATGCAAGCAATGCATGTGATTTTGGCCCAGCCAGGTTAGACCCTCCATCCACATTTATATGATGCTCTAACCCATGAGAAGGCATTCGGTCCCTCGGCCCTGGAGCCCCTTCCACCGAATACTTCCCCTTCTACGGCATAGACTTCGAGGTCGGCTCGACGGACGCCTTCAAGACCGTTGGCAAGAAGACTCCCGACACAACGACGTCCATCCACGCCGGCAAGCATGACAGCATCGCTGGAACCAGTATCTATGACTTGGCAATCGGGCTGCAATACGGAGTGGGCACGGGTTCCAAGCAGCTGGTCAAGTTTCTGACGGAACATATCCAGGTACGCCCAACACTCAGAACTCAGGCTCCCCGCGCAGGCTAAAATAACGGAACCAGCTGGTTCATAACCCTCCCTACCGCAATTGGCAAACAATCCTCAGCGCTGGCAACACCTCTGCCTTCGAGATCGTCCTACGCATGCTCGGCCAGACCGGCGACTACCTGCTTGTCGAGCAGCACACCTACACGACTGTATTCGAGACCGGGATTCCACTCGGCTATAAGTTTGCCCGTGTGCGCATGGACAAAGACGGCCTGCTCCCTGACGACCTCGACCTCGTCCTCTCAACCTGGGACGAGTCCGCTCGCGGTGGTAAGAAACCCCGCCTGCTGTACACCATCCCAACTGGCCAAAACCCCACGGGCATCACGCAGCCACTCCCCCGTCGACAAGCCGTCTACCGCGTCGCCCAGAAACACAACCTTTTCATAATCGAAGACGACCCCTATTACTTCATCCAGCTACCGGTCTACCAGCCCGGCGGGGCCGCTATAGCCGCCACCGCTCCCATTACCTCGGTGGAGAAATACGTGGAGACCCTGATCCCCAGCTATCTTCGCCTGGACACCGATGGCCGCGTCCTGCGAATGGACTCCTTTTCGAAGATTATCGCGCCTGGCGCGCGCATGGGCTGGGTGACGGCACCGGAGCAAGTCATTGAGCGCATGGTCCGCGCGCATGAAGTATCTGTGCAGAATCCAAGCGGGTTCTCGCAAATTGCCATATTCAAGCTGCTGCATGACGGCTGGGGGCATCTGGGATTTGTGAAATGGCTAGCACATCTGCAGAGTGAGTATAGGAAGCGGCGGAACAGCTTGTTAGAAGCCTGTGATGCTTTCTTGCCGCGCGAGATCGTTAGCTGGGTGCCACCTACCGGTGGGTTTTTCGTATGTTCCCTCCCTCCTTTTTTTATCTGGGCTTTTCACGATACGGCTTCCCTTGGAGCGGCCGTCGGTTTGAATGCTGTACTAACAGATCATAGAATTGGATCTCCATTGACTGGACGCAGCATCCCGAGGCGATTAGTAAATCCAAGCTGCAGATCGAGAAGGAGATCTACGACGTGGCCATCGAAGGTGGAGCCTTGGTTGTGCCGGGGAGCTGGTTCTTGCCAGATGAGGGGATTGGAGGCATGGAAGGAGTGTCTTTCCGTATGACCTATGCGGCAGCTTCGGTGGAAGATGTGAGGGAGGCAATTCAGCGGCTGGGGATGGCGCTGCGGGGAATCTTCAAGCTAGAGGCGGCGGGTGGGGCTTTAGAGTCGCGATTGTAATAGACATATAAGTTTGCCCATTGGCACTATGTGAATAACATAGATGTTATGACATGATTTGTGAGTGGTCATATCTACCTCTGGCAATAGTTCGCATAGGCGCAGATCTAGATCGTATACCTACCCCGGAAACGAAATTCTCCGCCTAAACTATGCTCGGTCATGAACCAACTTCATTTTCTACAGATACGAATGCGATTCAAACACTCACGATTGAAGGAATCCCAGAATATGCATTTCGCTGGTATCGATAACGATTTGTCCCGAGCTGGTCATCTAGTATGGACTATTTACTAATGATAATCCCCAAAAGTAAATTATTTAATCTGTCTGACCTCTTTCACGGTTTTCCCTTCGAACCCTGTGTCCACAATTCTCGTCACCGTCCCAGCCCGTTTATCCATTGTCTCACACACCGGCCTCAGCCTGAACCGTCCCATATCCAAAGGCACCTCAGGCCCTAGCCACGCCGTCATATGCAGGTGGTCGCGGAGCTCGTCGTCCGTGTTGGGGTGCACGAGAGCGCTTAGTGGTCCACGATGCACGAACAGCCAGCTGACGAAGGCCCCGAACTGATGCGGCGAGAAGAGCGCCACCTCGAACATACCCGGCGCATGGGGGCCTTGCGGGATTGTGTGCAAAGGGTATATTTTCAGCTCCGGAACTATTTGCATCCATCAGTACGCTGTTTGACGGTTATTACAATAAGGGACGGGATGGAATTAGCGGATGTACATTCTAATCGGATTCGCGTCCACAAGTCCTTTGCATAGCGTACTTGGGACTCGTCTTGCTGCCGTCTTGTCAGTAATTGGATAGGGAACTGGGTATATAAGGAGGGAAGTACAGGGTTGAAGTATACGTGCACGTCGAACCCAGGCAGCTGGGAGTCATGACGGCCGCCATTCGAAATCGGCAAGACGAAGTGCTCGTAAGCATCGCTGAGGACACTATTATCAGGACTGTCGTAGCTCTTTCCGTCTTGTGTTTTCGAACTATCACCCTGTCAGCACTCACGTCTATATTGTGTCGGGAATGTCTAGTACTCAGACGGAGGGGCGTGGTTCTCCCACCCCTTCAGTGGCGAGGGGAACGTGTACTGCGCAGGGTCAAGGTTGTAGGGAGAAATGTTGCCCATTCTCCCCAATTCTGAGCCTTTGTTGTTCTTGTTGGAGCGTATTGAACTGCTATATTGGTGGCAATCGAGATAGCGAGGGACGGGAGCAGTCGAAAGTAAGGTAGTCCAGTCAGTCAGGTGGTAGTTTAGGCTTCGTCATCGCCAGCTATTGCGTTCCAACCATTCTGATCCCTCATATACTACTTTAACTCGCTCATCGGGCCGGCCCGACTAGACAGCCCAGATACGAAGTTTCCGCAACGCACGTTAGCAACTCAAGCGGTGTGCAATTTTGTTGATCATTACTCACACGTATATTCCCTGTTCGCACGTACAACCCAAGGATGACCTACATAATGTTTAGAAATAATGGACGTCAAATTCAGTATGTATGCTGTATATAATTCCTTACAAAAAAGAAAAATAGAAAAAGAAATAAAATAAAATTAAGTCGAAGGAAATCAACCAAAAGAACAATAAGTAAAGAAAAAGTAACAAAGAAAACAAAAGAAAGGGTAGTACTTAATTATCGCAGAACCTAGCCCCGCACTTTAAAGACCGACGGTAGCTAGACTCATGTAATTTTGGTGCTCTATGCGCCAATCACAAAACTATAGACGTGCAATTTTGCCAAATATATTACCACCCCGTAGACCCTGGTTTTGCAGGTACATGGTTGTCAAAGCCTATATATGATGCGCCAGCTAATATCCCGATTTCCTTGGCCAAACCAACCCCACTTTTTCAACCTTTAGGGGATAATCATAGACTCGTAATCGACCTTAGGAATCGCCATCCTGCATGAAAAATGCTCATGGAACCCAAATTACCTGTTGACTTGCATGGTAGGCATGTTAGGTCAAAAAGAGTCAAAATATAGGAGGTCTGACTCATCACATAGACATATAACTAGTTAGTTACAGTATGCAGCGTGCAGTTGTATCTCTGAAGGAAAATGGAGAGGTCTCAAACTTCAGCTCGAAATCATCAAGCCACCCGAGACTACGCCCGCCTTTCTTTACCCTTATATATGGTAAACTACGTAATTCACCACAAACGATTGATTGCAACGGGTGAAAATTCCAAGTAAAGGGTTTCAAATCAACGATACATAGACAGGCGTTAGTAAGCGAAGTCCATAGCAGCAAATTCCCTCAAAAGAAGGCCCTGATCAGCTCAGTTCGAACATCACGAAGGGGTGCTCCGTACACTCTGTGGTTACACAAAGCGTGATGAAAATCAATAGCGCACTTTTGACCCACTTCTATCTCAGTTACCCGATCAATATTACTGTACCTTTTGTAGAACACGGTTAAAATTCAAAATTTTCAATTATGCAGCGCTAATGTACTGTGGGATAGTGGGCCATATGTTTGTCGTTAGAGAGTGTCAAAACAGCTAACGAAGCAGGTTAGTATATGATTCGATAGCCTAGAAGCACCGCCGTGGCCACTGGAAATAGCACAGCATAGCCCATATCCCTACCCCTTTGCTAGGCGAATGTCGGTTCAGTCTAACCTTGGAAGTCTACGCATTCCTAGATTTGAAAAAAAATACAGCAGGCTGGCCAGCGAGAGTGTGGGATACCTGGTTGATCAACCTTACTACAAAGCGCGTAAGCGACGCATCTGATTTGCATGATTGATGCATTATTCATGAGTTACGGCTTAGCCGCTGTGCAATGCACGCTGGTGGGCTCTTGTGAGCGCTTCCATGACGATAGTTGTACTGGTTATTCCCGCACACATCACTAAGCATCACGCCCGTATGCAAGATCTTTCTCATGCCTTTCCGCTCCCGCTGTCCCGGGTTACACGAGGTGTGTGGAATTTCTCACTATTTTTGAAGTTAAACCGTGCCTGACGTAATCTTGTCGGAGCTAGCAAGACTTGTAGTTCCTCCCCAGACATATAAACCCAGCTAGACAGACCCGTCTGGCTCTGGCGTCCCTAGCTAAGTACAGGCTCCATCACACCCTTACAATCAATTGATCTGTCTATTCTTGCTTCTTTCTTTTCCTTAGAAAGAGTATTCACAATGGGCGACGCTGGAACTCTCCCTAACCGCGCTGTCATCCGCAGCATCAACCCCAATTACATCGGATTCGACTATATCGGCTGGTACGTTGGCAACGCCCGGCAGACGGTGTCCTACTTCGTCAACCACTACGGGTTCTCGGTGCTGGCGTACCGTGGGCCGGAGACCGGTTCGTTCGCAACGACGGCCTACGTTATCGGCAATGGCGCCGCTCGGTTTGCTATCACAGCGCCGCTTAGCTCTCCCAATAGCTCATGGGATACACGGGCCAGCGAAGACGAGCGCACGTTCTGTGCTGACCTGCACGCCCACCTGACTAAGCATGGCGATGGTGTCAAGGATATCGCGTTCCAGGTAGACGACGTGCGTAGTGTGTGGGCGCACGCGGTCGAGAACGGGGCAGAGTCCGTCCGCAGCCCGGAGGTGCTCAAGAGCGACGACGGTGAGGTGGTCGTGGCCGCGATCTCCACGTACGGCGACACCATTCACACGTTGATCAACCGGTCCGCATATAAGGGATCATTCCTGCCCGGGTTCAAGGCCGTCGAGCGCCCCAACAATCTCCAGCAGCACCTGCCGAAGGTTGATTTGATCGAAATCGACCACTGCGTCGGCAACCAGCCGTGGGACGGGCTGGAAGGAATTGTCAGATATTACGAGAACGCGCTCAATTTCCACCGGTATTGGACTGTCGATGACAAGGACATGTGCTCTGATTTCTCTGCTATGCGATCGGTGGTGGTCGCGTCACCGAACGAGGTGATCAAGATGCCGATGAACGAGCCGGCGACGGGGAAGAAAAAGTCACAAATCGAGGAGTATGTCTTCACCAGGCTTATTCCACGTCCTTTCTCCTATTCACTATCCATATTTCTCTCTCCCTGAATGTAAATTAACGATACAGATTCTGCGACTACTACAACGGCGCAGGCTGCCAGCACATCGCGTTCCGTACCAACAACATCATCGAAGTGGTCGACAGCCTGCAGAAGCGCGGTGTCGACTTCCTCTCGGTCCCAGATACGTACTATGTGGGCGTGAAGAAGCGGCTGGAGCGTATGGGGACCAAGGTGGCCGAGAACATCGACGTACTGCAGCGGTATAACATCCTGATCGATTTCGACGAGGGCGGTTATTTGCTTCAGATCTTCACCAAGCATGTCGGTGACCGGCCTACCGTTTTCCTGGAGATCATTCAGCGCGAGAACTTTGACGGGTTTGGCGCTGGCAACTTCAAGAGCCTGTTTGAGGCGTTCGAGCGTGAGCAGGCACTCCGGGGGAACCTGTAGCACTATGAAGTGGTTGGTTGTGGACTAGGACTTGAACAGGTTGGCTGAATTCTTCAGGCGGAGGGTGGAGGCAGTCTACCGTTGTTATATATTGCGTATCTAATGGTTTAGTAGTGGAGGAACTGGTGGCGCTTGCCTGATATATGCTGACCGGCCATTTTTCGCCCTACTTGCCCTGTATATTTTGTTTGTTTGAGTACTTCCAGAGAAGAAAAATTGGAAGAAGCTCCAGACCAGGTGAGATCAGTTGATATTGGACTCAATTCATCCAGGCATCCAATATACCATGGAGGTCCTTGGTTCTGCGGCAGGAGATCTTCTGTCAGTCATTACATCGATCCATTGGTATCTTTCACATGATTCATTAAATCCTGTTCTGGCGGGCTGTTTCTGTTTTAGGAGTACAGAATGGGTCTATCCTCTGCCCTCAGTTGGGTATCAGGACGCTGCATTTCCTCTAGCGGCTCATCTAGAACATTAGGTAACGGAGGGAAAAAGGCTTATAGGAGCGCATAGGCCATTTCCTGATCGTTATTAAACATCTAATTCGTTGAGCGTAATATGGGAATAGCCCCTATAGACTGTTCTCCGGGTTCCAGATATCTTGCCGCTTTCTAAATATTGTTAGTGTTGTTCAGGAACTCCTACTAGTGTCGGGTTCCAGCTCAGCGGTACCCGAAAAATTCTGACTAATTTTGGGTGCCGCTGAGGTGGGTGCCCTACTAGTGTGATCCCGGGGTTCCCGGACGGGCCCGATTACATCAGGATGTGTGCCTTAGGCACCCTACATTTTGCCGGTTACCACCGGTTTACACTCATTTAGACCCATTTTCCTACGAATATAACAAGACATGCTCCATTTGACACTCCCGTGATCACACTAGTAACCTCGCTTTACGTCTCGGACTGCCCTACAATACTCTCTCCGTAGGCCAGATACGGTATTCTCTAACTTGGCCAACGTCACTCTATATCGTCGAGATTAAGTGCACCGATTCCGTGTTCTCGTGTACGTATCCCGTAGTGGGCTTATCTCGGGTGTCCACTATCTTTTGCTATACGGAGACGGACGAGCGATTAGAATTGGTAGCCGAACGGCTTGGCTGACTCTGTTAGTTAGGCGTTCTACGGTAGCGTTTAGTTCTACCCGAGTCGTGATATCCGGCACCTCTGTCTCCAGCTCCTTTAATTCCCTGTTAATATCGGCCCACGGTGCCTCGCAAAATAAGGGACGGGCCGGTCCGAAGACTGTTACTTTCTGCCCGTTACTTGCGAAGGTCGTGATAATTGCGCGGTGGTCTGACCTATGTTCAATAGGGTGGATACCACATTTTATCACTAGTCTACCTCGACGCCTAGACGCGAGGACAAGATCAATAGTTGACCGCCAGGGCCCTTCCTCGAATGTGATAGTACCACGTGGTAGTAAGCTTGTCGGGTCCTAGTCCGCCATTAGGAAAATAATTGGCTCCGCTTCTCCTTGACGGATATGCGTGTGTTATGATATTTTGATGAGGCTATTCACATGTTAATATTGGAGCCTCTGGCACGCATGGACTTAATAGGCCGCGCACTTAAGGGCACCGGATAAGCAGTCGCTTATATAGTGGCTGCCCGCGCACTTACCGTAGGCTTCCGAGTTCGGGCATTGGTCTGCTTTATATTTATATTATTGATATTTACGGTATCGTAGTAGACGCTAACATTTATAGAAGGTATCAGAAAAAATTGCTTCCCTATACACGTAGGTAATACGGCGGCTTAGCAGTGCTTCCGCGTCTGCTTATTTAGAGAGGTAGATAGCTATAGATCCGTATCGTTTCTTTCCGCTTAGCTAAATTATCTTCTTGATCTCCGTAACGCTATTCTTATCTTAGAATTTTCTTCTAAAATCCTCTCGTTGTATCCCTGACTCTCTAAAAACACTTTCTTTCTTGACGTCGTTTAACTTAATAGGGAACCATTGCTCGCCCTGTAGCTAAGCTCTAGGTAAGGCGTATAGCTAGTTAGTGGCCCGGCGGAGGCTCACGACGCTTTCCTTAGAGTTAACAAAAAAACTAAAGAGTAGTCCGCGAGGTATGTTTCACACCCACGACGTCCACGTTCGCAGTCGCCGTCTCGCGCTGGAGTGCTGCGCGGATCTTCTCCCGCGTCTGCGTAGGGTCGTCTAATAGGACCTTAGTCTCCTCTCTAGCCGAGCGTAGGTTAAGAGTAAGAGTAGGAAGGCCTAGCCCGGTCCTTGCCGCCCGGGTATTAGACGACGCTAGTGATGATCGCGAGATAACCGATGCCTACCTTCTCCCTAGGCTGCTAACCTACGTAGGTGGTGTTGTGGGTGCGCTTACTGATAGAGACTAGACGAGCTCTTTTAGACTAGCGATTTCCTTTTGCAGTTCTTAGACTTCTCTTCGTGATTCTGCTAATTCCTCACGGTACGATGCGTTCTCGGTAGTGACTACCGTTAGTGTCTTTGCGTATGCCTCTAACATGCGATCGACTCGAATCATGAGTTCATTATTTGCCCGCAGGAGTATCTGAAACTCGGTTTGTGGCTGTTTTGGTCCCTAGTTTTCCCACTCAGGTGTCTCCATTCGACTTTCGCTATCATTACTTTCGTCTTGAATCGCCACGGTTACTGGTGTCTGGCGAACCAGTTCAGACCTTGTGGTGGGGGAATCGGGCGTGGGCGCGCGGAACGGGAGGACGCGTTGTCGGACGCGTTCCCTTCGCGCTCATTGCGCCTCGCAAGCATTTTGCCCGGTTGAGGAACTCAAGCACGATAGATTGGTTAGCGAAAAGGATATACTTACTTTTACTATTTGGTGTTTTTGCATTTAGTATGCGTTTTGCATTTACTATGGTATTTTGGGGTGGCCAGGGTGACCGTGAATTACGTTAGAAACATAGCTTGCTTATTAATTATGCATTGACGGTTCCAGGTGTCTATCCACCGCCGTAGGCGCTTCCATTCTCCCCTACAGAAGAGTGAAGATCTCATTGTTTCAACTATAATTCATGCTCGAAGACCTTCAATCGTTCTGGATTCATTTATTGTCCTTCTCTAGCGCCTTTGCGATAAGACTACATCGGAGAGTACAGCGCAAAGTGACAAAATGCAGCAGCACACCTCATCGCCAAAGAAGGTGGCAATCGCCGGCACTGGTTGTCTGGCGCGTTATTTTATCGAAGAATTCACCTGTCATGGTCATGACCTCGTTGTCCTTACCCGCACCCGCAAATCATTCCTTGATGAGATGCGCGTAACACAGCGAGTCACTGATTATACTGTCAACGATTTGCGCGATTGCCTTGATGACTGCGACACCATTCTTTCATTTATCAACGCGCCGTACCCCACACACACCGAGATTCATTTGAACATTTTGCAGGCATGCCGCTTATCTCGGAAGTGTAAAAGATTCATTCCAGCAGAGTGGGCTATTAACATCGAGGACTTCCCGGAACATCCGATGTTTAATACCGACAGTCGCGAACCTATACGTGAAGCTCTGAAAAGGCAGAATGAGATACAGTACACTTTCGTGTGTCATGGCTGGTTCATGGATTATCTTGTGCCGGTAGCGCAACGCCACATTTCGGAAATCGGAGAAGGCTGGCCAATGAACCATGAACAAAAGGTTTTCATGTTATATGGCGATGGCCATTCTTTCCTGAGCCTTACTTCATGCAGGGATTTGGCAAGGGCGATCGCCATTCTACTTGATCACAGCACCTGGGAAGAGTACACGCATATATCTGGCCATACTCTCACCTATTTGGACCTGTTTGCTATTATTCAAGCAAGAGACCGAAATTGGATTCTCAAGAAAACAACTTTGGCAGATGTCGTGAATCGCATCGTGGAAGCAAAATCAACAACAACAAAAGCCAATTCTGCACAGCTACAGCTCATGGGTTTCGTCGGTTGTAACTCAGAGCCAGAAGCTAAGGTCAAGGCACAAAGGGATACGTATTTCTCTCATATACGTTTCAGGAATATTCATGAATTCCTCGACCAGGCTCTTGCTCATCCAGAAGAAATTCCATAGCTTTCAAGTTTCCGGGTTCACCTGCAGAATGTTGATGCTGGGCGCAAACGACATTGAGGGCTTCCAGATTACTCTGAGAACTAGTATGCTTACCCATCCATGGATGCAATTGCTTAGGTAGAGACTTTTGATAAACAAATTCCTATTGACGCTTACTATATTCATGACTGTCTTACTGGTATTCCAAATGTCTATCTTTTCATTCCAAGACAGGCCAAGTAGCACCTCCGGAGCCCGGTAAATAGATGGCTGTACATCATCACAATATGTGCCTGACTCTGACCCAAAGCGAGCCTCAACAAAAGTCTGAGAGTACTGGACGTCCATGCTTTTTTAGAATACCTAATTTTCGAGACTGATAGATTGCTCGATCCTCGACCACTTTACGTGGACTCGGATTTGATATCTCGGCCGCCTCAAAGTCTACGAGAATCGACTCATCTGCAATGGTCAAGGTAAATGAGATCATCCATCCATCCATCCATACTGTAACGTAGACGTCGTCTCTGTGCCCATTAACTCCCATAGCCCCGCAATCCGCAATCGTGGAAGGGGCTTACTCTAAGTCTCTGCAAAGCCACACGGTTGAATATCCCCCATAGCTCAATTTTCCAACCACTTGATACTTTGAACGAAGACATCGCCGATATTTACAGGAAATAAGTTTTCTTTGGAATACCACGCTAGTTTTTCCTGCTCGAGTTTGTCCGTCGAGTCGAGAACAGGGCCGGGAGGAAACTGTCGGGCTGACGATGGGAGCCGCCGAAACAAGGGAGCTCTAAGGCCTTTAAACAGACGTACGATGTCCTTCATTACGTGGGGCTCTACCAATTCGAGATGCGGCACAACAATTCATGCGTTGCGTTGGAAAGGCTGGGTTCGACATGACACCTCAATGTGTGGTCGATGGTTGGTCAGAGGATCAATAACGGTCACAGCCAGATGGGCGATGAAGAAACATCCACAATGTACTGTACGTTGGGGAACCTCGTGCTACAAGGACAGCGCAAAGAGTCCTGCACCCCTAGCCCCGTACTGTAATATTATATAATATTCTGCCAGTCGAAATATCTGTCTACGATTAACCTGAAAGGTACTATGGTACGCCTGTGATCCCAAAAATAGTATTCATTTGACAATAGAAATATCCCTGAATATCTAGGTTAGACTTTCAGTGAGTTTCTCATCTAAGTTACTTTGCGCGAGAGATACCATGACTTAGAGACAAGTCTGATAGGCGGTAGAGCCTTAGCACCGTCGGTGTGGTGGGTGGGTCTCGGGAGGTGGGACGACTGTATATAATGTATATTGACGGTACTTCAATTTTCGAACACCCGGCCAGAAGGCCTAACCTTCAAACTGCCGTCTAGTATATCCAAATGACTAGAAAACCTCCCAAGACTATTTCGAATATAATTGAAGCAATTATTGCATTAGAATTGTTTTCGCCAACCTGAGCCGAAAGTGAAATGATACCACGGGGTGTTTTAAACAGGCAGAGTATTTGGTTATAAGGGGGGTGCGCGGAGTGGAAAAATTAATGCCCCGGGCTAGTGATCGTCCTGGAGATGAATCAACAGGGTATTCACAGTAGACAAACAGGGTATTCACAGTAGACAGACAAAGCTTGCAGGCTGGATACAGTACTTTTTATTGACTCTCAGCCGGAATCAATGCTTGCGACTGTACCGTGTCCGTGCCCTTCGCTACGTCGCGACCCACCCATTCGCTCCCGCTCATGGGTGCGCCACACGTTCTCCATAACCACGCGTTCTTCATAGATTCTGGAATCCTTTCTTTGGCTACATTTGCACTTGAATGCAGTGTCTCACTTTACGAGACACTAAACAGCTTCTGTTCGCGTCAAAAGCATGTGCGCGATCTGCTCAGCGAGCTAGAGGCCCTTAAATCCGTGCTAGCTACCATCGGCGAAATAGTGAAATTGAAATCTGACGTCGACCTCTCATTCCTGGGCCTGCCGCTATTGCGATGCGGAAATGTTTCCACAGAATTCCGGCAGGAGGTTCTCCAATACGCATCGCGGTCAAACAGTCACCAGCCTAGCTTCCGGGACCGGGCCAGACTGACGTATATGGGTGATAATATTGACTATTTCCGCGACTTACTGGCAGGATATAAAGCCACGATCACTATTGCCTTAGTCGATGCAAACATGTAAGTCATTTCCGGCTACGACAGCGTCGTCTTTTTCATAAGGCTCCTTCTTGACTGTGGCTGATCCCCCACAAGGCGTCTTTCAGCGGCTGCTGTTGAAAATATCGGGAACTACGAGAGTCTTATCCAAAATGCGAAAGAAGGCCTAGAGACTCGACTCGAAAGTATTGATAGGAAGTTGGAAGAACTGGCCGAGAAGAATATGACTCAACCTGGAACAGATGCGGCTGAGCCTCGCTCGCTGAGAGAAGAGCGCTTGAGCACAGAGAAAAGCCTTCAGCTCTGCGCCCAGTTGTCAAGCCATATCAATCAGATTCAGCTGATGTCCGACGAGGCGGGTTCATCTCGGGGATCAGGTGGAGCTGAAGCGTCGCCCGAATCGGTCACAAATGAAGGCCTGCAAGAATGCAAAAATAGCTTGGCTGCGACGGCTACCAAGTTAGAGAAGCATATGCGAGATGTCATGAATCGGGTACTCGCCAAATCAAGGACTGCGATCTCCTCTAATGAAGATGCTCAAGATCTATCGAGGCTGCGCGATGAGTGGGAAACCGCCCAGCAGTGCTTGGATATTTGCTCACGGGCAGTTAATCACTTAAAGAACGACGTCAGTATCATCGAAAAACACGGCACTGGCGGCTCTCTTCAGTTCAGGGTCTCCGTTAACGGGAAGTTTCTTCATGGAAAGAACCGGGGGCTGGATTGGAGGAACAGGCAACGGGGAGGCTACATGAGGAATCGGTAAATCCGTCACTTATCGCGAGACCTTGCAGCTCTTCATCCCTTGAGGGATGAAGTATTCATTTCAAAAGATGGTTCCACGCCAAACGCAGGCGATGTGGTGAAAGGTGAAGCGATTGCCGAATTTAAGGAACGCTACGGGCCTGGTCTCACTCTGAAACTAGCACACACGCCAGACACAGAGACTTCTCTACGCAGGGAGAACAATTAGAGGGTCTACTCGCAAAGCTTAAGAATACTTTCGAGTTCGCGGTTCAGAACACCCACATTTAAACGCCCGCATGTTAGTGCTAATTGCTCTGTGTGCCCCGATGTGTGTATCGAATATTGCTTTCTCTGGTCTCACTCCGAGTCTGAAGAGTTCTCTGCCGTGGTTGCATTTCTCAGGCCAGTAGCCCTTTGTTTTCCATCACTCAGAGGATAGAAGTCTTAACCTGTGGTGAATGTTCACAGAGAATCTGGTTCTGGCGGTGGTTGGGTGTTTGCTCCGGAGGAAGAGACGAGAAATGCCATCTGTCCTCAGCGCCAGTTCTAGGAGCGGATTCATCGAACAACCACAACTTCCTCTTCCGCATTTCCGCTCCTCAAATATAAACAAGAGGAATCCGTCAATATAAACTTGAGACTCCCACGTTTAGGATCCAGCGCGTCCAGTCGGAAGCGATTGGTTGAGCCCTGAAATCATGGCGAGCCAGGAGCTCAACAAGGGGGCCTCGGCTATCCACCAAGCCCTTATCAACCCCCTGATCCTCGAACGGATCTTGACATGGATATCTAGGGATAGGAGAGGCTCGTGGCCAGATCCCGAACGACTGCGAAACCTTCGAGAGGAGAACCCGGATTATTCGGACAACGATTATCAGCACTACTTTGACACAAACGGCGTGCTGGTGCGCTGCGCTCAGGTGAGCAGACAGTGGCATTACGAAACGGCGCGACTCCTCGGGCGTAACTGGAGCGACAATATCTTTTGGCATTGTCCTTTGGTGATGGTGTTCGAGAAGATTGAGCCAGCCCGCCGACAATTCTATGCTCAATTGATTCATCATGTTAAGCTCCTAGGAGTCTAGATAGTCATGGATCATGAGCGGATTTATGAAGGTAATTTACACATATCAACAAAATAGCGTAAAGTCGGAGGTTCCTAGGATTATCTAGGCGGAGAAGCCGTCCGTAACAGTCTACGAATCAGCCAATCAATCATCCGGTAAGTTCCTAAGAGCAATTTTTTCTGAAATAATTATAATCCATAGAGATTAAGGTCTAACTAAGCATACGTTCCGGTACGTGTGCTTAATGTAGAAAAAAGATGCCCCGAGTAAGACTTACGGTCTTCCGGTATATTCATGTGATATCTCTTAGATAAGCTCCTCTATGGGCCGTGGAAATCAATAGATAAGGGTTCCCAGGAGCACACAGATGATTTAATAGGTTGATCAACCATCATGCTTCACCGAGGCGCAATGACTACCAAAAAAGAAACATTAGGTTGTTGAGGCCAATGCATTTGGATGGGAAAAAGAGCTTCACGTGGATGGGGCTAGCGTATTGCGTTTTATTGAGGTGCCCTTATGCTCAGGGTATGCTCAGTGAGTGGATCAGACCGCTCAGTAAGCGGATCAGTGAGCTTACATAATGCTCACTGATCAGGTCAGGGCGCTCAGGGGCGTGCTCAGTTCTACTCAGTGAGCAAAAGCGGCGAGGGGCTGAGCACTAAAACCGAAAAGGAAAGACCTGGCATAGGAAATCCGGTACATAGGTACTATTTCGGTTGGGTTGTGGGCTTGCACGAGTTGTCCTTTTGCATTCTTTGTTTCCATCTGATCGACAAAAAGTATATATATCCGCAGGGGTGCTGTGAACTTGCCTTATCTTGCTAGTTAACTACTCCTCTCCAGAGCTTCGATTGAATCGATCAAAACTCACTGAAAGGTGACATTACAGTACACAGAGAGTATCCAAGCAAACTCCATCAACATGCCGATGTAAGTCTGCAGTTCTACGTTGCTATCACCCCGCATCACTACGCTAACAGACCCCCACAGGAAACTCGACGGAAGCTGTCAGTGTGGCGGCGTCGAATTCACCCTTCAATCCCAAACCCCAGTACCCTATCAGCTATGCGCCTGCAGTATCTGCCGCAAAGTCGGCGGCTATGGGGGCAGCGTGAACCTGGGTGGCATCGCCAGTAGCCTTGAGGTGCTAAAGGGCCAAGATCTGGTCAAGTACGAGCTTTCCCCATCATCCGAATCCAACCAGCCCCCATCCAATTAAACAACCCCATAAGTAAGTATTGCAAGACAAGTGCTAATCTTACTGTCGTAGAAAATACAATGGAATTAAAGACCGCGGAACTCCAAACGAGGAACGCTGCTCTTCGGAGCGTAACTTTTGCTCTAATTGCAGTGCGATGTTGTGGCTGTGGGATCATCATTGGCCGGAACTGATTCATCCGTTTGCTTCAGCTATTGATACTGAGTTGCCGGAGCCAGCTGAGATGGTTTGTATAATGGAGAGTTCCAAGCCGAGGTGGATGCGGTGGCCGGAGGGCAAGAAGAGTACGCACACCCTCTACAATAAGGACAGCTTGGAGGAGTGGCACAAGAAGCATGGCTATTTTGTTGAGTGAGTGATGGAATTGTTCTTCGAAGTGTCGTCAAGCTAGGTGTTGGGCAAGTGATAAGCTTAATGGGTTGTGGATTACTTGAAGGGAATGTACGGCTACATGTTTGTGAAGTGGAAAATGGAGAGATGAGGAAGTTTTTGAAAAAGAGAAATTTTCATTCATATGACATAGGCTGAAAGGGTATCATAAAACCTGCATTGCGGATTAGCAACAGATCACAACGTTCGATGAGTGAGACATTGTGTAGACAAGGATATGGATCAGTTCTCCAAGGTGAATATAATTTTTTATCTTCAATATGTATTCAGAAAGAACACAGCGAATAATTGGTGCTCATCAGGAAATGGGAGGCAGGGAGAAGGACTTGGTAAAAACTTACACAAAAGCATGGATGGATATCTACTAGGGAAGGTCGAATCCTAGATGATTGATCGATCGAGTCAGCAATGGCATTCATGCATAATGCAAGCGTGAACATCAAGATCAAAACATGGCAACTAAGTCAGGCTTGGAATAAGTCAGCAAGATAAGTCCAATGAGAGATAGAGGGACTGATTGAGAATAACTCACCTCATTAAATCAGATTTTTGTATAAATGTTCATTGCCAGAATACCGAAGCATCCAGCTCAAACAGTGTGAATAACACATTCATCATAATAGATATGACCATGTAATAAGGGGGGCATTGCAAGCAAGGCAAGAAGAAAGTAGAATAGAATACCTAAGACGAGCACCAGTCAGACGGGATTGTTCAAAGATTATCGTCCAAGGCGACGTCAATTGAGGTATGACAGTGGGCAAAGTATCAGGTGACGAATTCTCAACAAGTATTCCACCTCCCAGACACCCACAGAGTTTGTACGCTCTGGTTTTGTAGGGTGAAGGGACGAAGATACATTTTGTCCGCCCGTTCGTTCAAGATTTCTTCATGCAAGGCACATGCCGCAACAGAGGGGGAAAAATTGACGAGGAAAAGATTTTGAAATTTACCTAACCAGCAGCTTGTTAGTAATGAATCCCACACAGGCATGATAGCTGGTAAAAATGGCATAAAAAGGTTTGGTGTAGTCAGACAAGGCTGAAACTTAATGTATGACAGATTCCACATGATAACTTCAGATTGAGGAATGCCTTTGCATGTCGTAGGGTCATCATCCAAAGAGGGGGAGGGTGTAAACAAGGGAAAACATTTTGCTTGTAGCTTACCTTTTGGGAAAGAATTATCGAAGCAGATCACGTCAAGGACTGAATAGCAGCATTAAGCATTCGCCCTCGACTGGCAGCAGCCCGTCAGATAGGACATGCTGGCCAGAAACAGCTAGAGCTGCTCATGATCGAATTGAGAGGAAAAGAACGAAGAAGGAAGGCGAAATCGCCCAGCTGTTGGACAAAAAATCACAGATACGGGAAGAAAGAAAAAAAATTTGCGGGTGGAGCGCGAAAATATAAACTGAGCTCCCGGATACGGCAGGCGCGGTGAGCTTCAAGCGCAGTTTGCCTCGAGAGCAAACACGGATCCACCCGTTGCTTCGCTTCCATCAGTCCAGTGGGCCTAGCTTGTGAGGAACGACAATTCTACGAATTCTTGTCTTCTTGAAAGTAGATAGTGTCAAAATGATCACATTTTGATCGAGTGTTTGGGAACTCCTTAGAATGTCCAGATCGATGCAACAGTCTGCTTCCATATCAATCAACCTACAGAACATGGATCGAGCTAGATTCTTTGCTTCTGGCTATAATGTTCGCTAAAGTCCCACTTTTGCTCAAGATCAAGCAGTAGTAGCTCCATCTATATACCATTTTCACTGAGACTCTGATTCTCGGAACGAATCCAACACATGGTGCTTTTTTTTTCTCCGACATGTAGAGACAACTGTGCTTTCACAAGCGCAAATATTCCTTTCTTAGCTGTATTCCTGTGTAGAAGGACTCGGCGGGATACCTCGGACTTTTCGAAGCCAACTTCTTGATGAGAACGACAAAATCCTGAGAGAAGCGGAGTGTTCCGCGATTTGTAACGGATTTCAAGCCAGGTGCGCACCATTTGTATATCGCAGGAGAAATGCCAAGCTTCATTGCTTACTATGGATATCGTTCTGTCTTGGAGAAAAATGCCGAGTCTTAGATGGAAACCGTATATAGAATTCAACCCAGGAAATACCGTCATCTAACCCAATCAGCGCTAATTGGAATGGGACTTTTCTCCCGGAGTCATCGATGTGGATAGATCACGAATGGTCAGCTTGCTAAATGATTCCAAATGGTCGCTCACGGACCGCGGCTAGACCTGTCATCCACGCCAGTTGCCCTCCGCCCGGGCTAGTATGCTCCCGCTTTTCCTCTCTTAACCAGATTCCAAATTTCAAAATTATAATTAAATATCAGGTATAAAACCCTAGCAAAACCTCTAGAGTATCCCCTCAATCAGATCTCATTGCAACAACCATGGCATCTTCCATTCAGGGTCTTCCGACACTCCCCGAGATTGGAGTCACGCCTCCCTCGTCGCCTCTTGCACTCAAGACTTTCGAGTATGCAAAGCAACACTGCACAGAGACCGTCTACAACCATGCTATCCGTTCGGGGTACTGGGCTACTATAATTGCTAAGAAACTTCCCGAGTTCAGTGACAACACCAATCTCAACTTAGAGATGGTGTTCATCAGTTGCATTCTCCACGACATGGGATGGGCAAATACTCCAGATCTGTTGTCAAAGGATAAACGCTTCGAGGTCGATGGCGCCAACATCGCACGAGACTTCCTCTTGAAGCAAAAGCGAGACACAAATGACGAGAACTTGAACGAGGCCACTATACAGCGTGTCTGGGATTCTATCGCTCTTCACACAACGACTTCCATCGCTCGGTATGCCGCACCCGAGGTCGCTCTTACTCATTTGGGTATTACAGCAGACTTCTTTGGCCCAAAGCTTCCTGGACCCGACGGCACGCCTTTGATCTCATCCAAGGAGTACTCCGCCGTTATGAAGGTGTTTCCTCGTGCTGGGTTTAATACAGAGGGGTTCAAGAAAATCATGTGTGGACTGTGTCGCACAAAACCCACAACCACTTTCGACAATTTTGTGAGTGCGATAGGACGGAAATATGGCCTCGATGGGAATGGAGAAGGGAAAGAGGAGTTTACCAAGGCATGGGAGGAGTCACAGAATCAGCTCAATGGCTTTTTGGTGCTCGGATTGGATGCACTGGAAGAAGCGCACGACCCTAAGTGATCTATTGAGGGACGTATAGTCTTTGAGGCGTTCACTAGTCAGTCTAAAGTTAAATTGTCTCATGTACGGAAGTACCGTCAAGATAGCGCAATGGTATGAATTGATCTCGTGAATGTCCCTATTCGATCTTCTTAGTGGCTTCCCATCCGGTCGATTGGACATCCAATCTCATTTCCCCAATGCAATCCCCCATTTATCGAAATGAGTAGCCTCGCCGAGGTGATTGCCTTGCGCAGAGGGCAAGCCCAGGTAGACAGGGGTGGCGTTTCTAGATATCACGGCGATATGTCCGTTTTTCTCAGCCAAGCCCGGTACTGCCTATGCATGAAATAGAAGCGGATTTAAGTTTTCACGGAGTACATGGCCCGTATGGATGGGCGTGTCTTTATTACAAAGATGAACATGCTTTGTCTCTGGGAGATCACGCCTGATCCATGAGGTTGTAGATGACTGGGACCGGGACATTCTCAACATATGTGCGCAGCAATATATATCGTGGTCTTAACGGCTCTACATAACTGGGACTGAGCAAAAGGATGGGAAAGCTTATAACAGGAGCCCGTTATGGGAGCCTCTCACAAAGTGTCGGATCATTCCAAAAAGATGATATATTCCTTAGAGCTAGGAACTTGATAGGTTGTACTTCCCGCAAACGATTGCGGGGCCTCGATGGATGAGGGTGGCTGGAGGCCAATCTGCGGTACCCGCGGGGCCGAGTCAAGCCACGGCCAAGTGTAACCCAGATCCTACTTTATTTCAATCATCTCGCACAATCGAGGTTTCAGGACTTTATTGTCTCTATAGCACACCAAATTCGGACTTGGCTTTCACCTCTAGACCCCACTGTGACATTCCCCGACGTTACTGATGCACACAATGACTGCGTCCAAGAACGTGTACGACGTGATCGTCGTTGGTGCTGGCCTTAGTGGTCTACAAGCAGCCCAAGTAATCCAGGCTGCGGGGTTCACCGTCTGTGTTCTCGAGGCCACTAATCGGGTCGGTGGTAAAACCCTGACTGTCAAATCCTCCGAGAAGGGATACAATGATCTCGGTGCGGCGTGGATCAACGACACGAACCAGAGTGAGATGTTCAAGCTCTTCCAAAAGTACGGCTTGGATACCGAGGTTCAATATGCTTCTGGAGACACGATTTTCCATCTTGCTGATGGTTCGTTGGACAAGGTACCCTATGGACAGATCTCAGTGAGTTATTCCAAGCAATAAATAAAGTGTGATGGACCTGACCAGCTCTGAAGGGAGATCCAGAATTGTTTTTGGAGCTTGTAGGAATTCTGAGAACCGAATCCTCGAGCGTAGATCTGGACGATCCCCTTAAATCGCACAATTCTGTCGAAATCGACCAATTGACGTTCAAAGACCTTTGTGTTCAGAGAACGCACAATGAACAGGCGCGCAGAATCGCTGATCTGATTTCCACTGCGTTACTTGGGGTCGACAGTAATGAAGTTAGTGCTCTGTATATGCTGCATTATTTCAAGAGTGGTTGCGGCATCGACAATCTTTTGTCGGACGGGAAAGATGGGGGCCAATACTTGAGGAATCGACAGGGTATGATTTCACACTCCATACCTGTTGCTGGCTGAACGCCTTTATACCATGTTTAAACCATGCTAATGGGGCAGGTAACCAAACAATTTCGAAGAAACTGGCAGAGGAGCTTGGATCAAGATCCGTCTTCCTATCAAAGCCGGTTGCCTCAGTTGATCAATTAGGAGGCTGCCATGGCGTTGTTGCCGTCACGCAATCTGGAGAGTCTTTCTACGGTCGGAAGGCCATAATTTCCGTTCCCACCACCCTTTACCCTAGCATCACCTTCAGCCCTCCATTGCCCGCGAAGAAAACAGCCCTCAGTGACAACACTGTCATGGGCTACTATAGCAAGACTGTGTTTGTCTTCAAAGATCCTTGGTGGCGAACTGCCGGGCTATCAGGCATCATCGATTCGGAAGTCGGCCCGATCAGCTTCACAAGGGATACCAGTATACCGGCAGATGACCAATGGTCTATAACCTGTTTTATCGTCGGAGAAAGAGGAAGACAATGGTCGAAGTTATCCAAAGCCGCTCGTCACAAGCAAGCCTGGGAGCAGTTCAGCCATACTTTTGGCAAGTATGTAAAGGGTATCCCTGAGCCGACAAATTCGCTGGAAATGGAGTGGGCTAAGCAGGCCTATTTCTTGGGAGCCCCTTGCCCTGTCATGACACCCGGAATATTGACGACGGTGGGTACCGAGCTCACAACCCCCTTTGGAGATGTTCACTTTGTGGGCACTGAGACGGCAACTGTGTGGCGAGGGTATATGGAAGGTGCCATGAGATCTGGACAGCGAGGAGGTGCCGAAGTTGTCAAAAAGCTTGCGGATGAGCTGTCCACCAGGTAGAAAGCCATTGAGAACAGGTCTAAAGGCATGGTAGAAGGGACCGATGTGTATCCTCCCTTTGTTTTCTGAATATTTGAAGATATATATGTGTGTCTCTTGCTGGGACATAGCGAGGGCCTAGGACATTGCCACTGAACAGTCTTCTGATACTCTCCAAGTAATAACCTCTATGTAGATAGTTAAACACACGATCCACAAAAGAAGCGAAAGATTGTTGAGACACCCTCATTCTCCTTGAAAGGGGCAAACCATTAACAAATCTCTTATTGAAAGACGAAAATTAAGTGCAATGTTCCTATTTTAGAAGATGGAAAGGCCCTTTGAGTGGTACCTAGGGTTGGACCTCATCTAGACGTCATCCCATTCATTCGCCTCTACTAGAATATCAATCTCGTCAATCTGACGTTCTACAAGACCACAGAAGCAATTCCATCCCTTTCTAGTTATCACTCCAAGACTGAACATATCTTACATCTTACTCTGATCAAACAGCTCTGCCATCAATATGCCCACCAAATTCAAGCTCAACACCGGCGCGGAGATTCCAGCCATTGGCTTCGGTACATGGCAAGATGAAAATGCCCAGGAAGAAGCCGTGATCGAAGCACTCAAAGCCGGTTATAGGCACATTGATACCGCAAGAGTGTGAGTAATAAAACAATAAAACATCAATCCCTAACCATCGCAAACTCACCCAATCAAACAATAGATACCTCACCGAGAAAGCCGTCGGTAAAGCAATCAAGAAAAGTGGTATTCCACGTCAAGAGCTTTTTATCACGACCAAGTTGTGGAACAACAAGCACCATCCAGATGATGTAGCGCCCGCATTAGAGCAATCACTTGATGATCTGCAGCTGGATTATGTCGACCTATATCTGATACATTGGCCGGTTGCCTGGAAACGCGGAGAGGACCTTTTCCCCAAGCAGAACGGTAACATGATATTAGAGAATATCGATATCGTCGATGTAAGAGATACCGGAGTTGCCTGAGCCTCTCTGTGACATGCGCTGACTTCCCTTTAGACGTACAAGGCCATGGAAAAGCTCCTCGGCACCGGAAAAGTCAAAGCCATTGGCGTCTCCAACTTTTCCAAAGCCGAGATGGAGCGGCTCCTACAAGACACCTCGGTCGTCCCGGCCGTTCACCAAATGGAGTGTCATCCGTGGCTGCAGCAGCGCAGCTTTACAGCATGGCACCGTGAGAAAGGGATTCATGTCACACACTACTCACCCTTCGGAAATCAAAATCAGTTTTACGGTGAGAAAGGCTCGATTGGAAAGTTGATCGACGAGCCTATTCTTGCGGAGATTGGCAAGCAATATGACAAGAGTGCACCTCAAGTTACACTCGGTGCGTGCAATAGCTTCATGTTTTGGAAACCTGCTAACTCGAGGACTTGTTACAGCCTGGGCCGTTACCCAGGGCCATTCCGCTCTTCCAAAGTCGAAAACTCCTTCGCGGATTCAGTCCAATCTTGGGGGCGACTTTCGACTGGGGCCCCATGATATGGAGAAGATCCAGTACATTGACAAGAAGATTCGTTTCAATGATAGCAGTGGGGAGTTTGGGCGAGATTTCTTTACTGACCTGGATGGCAAATAAGGCTGAGAGTTAGAAGTCGCCTTCCTTCGCGCCCTCATGTCTCCTAGTCTAATCAAGAGCATCGTTTCTAGAAAAATTTCAGGTCTCGTAACATGATTTAAGACTTTGTATGAGAAGACAGAAGTAGCCTTTGAAGAAGTATAAGGCATGTAGAGAATGATCATGCATCAGGTCGACGTATTGACTTTCTATTATGTACAGTCCACCCTGTTTCAAAAATTATAATAACATCTAATCCAATCCTATCTATGCTTTCCAACCACCCAACTCCAACCTCTAATCCCAAGCGTCACCCCATCCATCATCAGCATCCTCATCCTTGGGTTTCGTATCAATTTTCTTTGCTGGCGCGACAACCCTCGGCTTGGCCGCCGTCTTAGCCGCCGTCTTAGCCGCAGGCGTACTCTTAGTTAATCCCTTAGGCAGAGGGTTCTTCGTCTTAGCTTGACTCTTAGCAGCCAACCAGCCAGCAAAATCGGGCTCGCCGCCGTCGTCGTAGGGAACAGCGGATGCTTTGGTTGCGGTAGGGTCTGGCGATGAGGGGTTGGGAGAAGTCACGGCTGCGGTGAAAGGGTCTACGCCTTTGTCGTCTTCGTCCTCAATGGCACCCCACGCGTCGAAGACGTCGTCTCCTTCTTCCGCATCGTGCCATTCATCCTGGACAACAGGGACGGGTCTATCGGATTGGGATCTGGAGAGAGGGTGCGCTGCGGGGCGGAGGGCTTTGTTGGATGGTTCGGGTTGGATGGAGGGGGAGGATGTGGTGGGACGTGGGACGGAGGCTGGACGGAGAATGTTTTCCGATGGCTTGTTGGCGGCCGCTGTGGGTGCGATCTCGCCATCTGCGGCGGCGAGTTTGTTGGTGAAGGAGGAGATGGCCCATCCGGCCCAAGATTTGTCGTTGGAGTTGCCGATGCGAGCATCTGATTTGTTGGGTTCGGGGTTAGAGCTGGTGGGTGGTTGGAGAACTGTATCGGCCATCGTGCTGCCGAATTTGCGCACTCGTTGAATGTAAAGGTCAAGTGTTTTATTCGCTTGGTCGCGGACCAGCCTGTGATGGTTAGGACTGGCGGTTGAAGTCATGTCAAAGAATTAACTTACTTCTCCTTATCCAAAAGTGCCGGACAAATGGCTGGCAAGATCTTGCCAGCACAATCCTCTTCCGTAAATGAGTCGATCGTGGCAGACAATGCGAGCAGACCAGCATTGCGAGCGTGCACGAACGGATCTCTGATAGATCTCGTAAAGGCAGCAATAAGGACCTTGGAGCGAGTCTAAACGGATATCAGCATCGATACACATTACTACTGGCAAATTTATACTCACACTCTCTCCCAGGTTCTTCGCAATCTTGCCCAGGCAGATGGTGGTGTTAGTACGAATGCCAGGTTGCTCGTCATTCGCTGTACGGGCTAGGAATCTGAGCAGCTCTCCGTTGACAACTCTGTCACTAAGTTTGCCAATAACGGACAGAACAGCCTTGACCGTCTGTTCTCGAACCATGGGAGCAATGTCTGTAAAGCCAGAGGTCTAAAAAAAATCAATTAGACACTCGGAACAAAAAGGATCCCAGGTTCCGATTCACTTACCATCTGCGGGAAGATCTTATCATTGACAATCTTCTGGGGCAGATTGTCAATCATCAATGGCAGGTTGTCCAACAAACAAACTCGCAGCGCACGGTCAGGATTGCCAAAGAGCCGTACGATCACAGGCGTTAATTTAGCATTAAACTCGTCTGCTGATAGCTTTGAACCAATTTTCAAGGTCGCACTGAGGACCTTGGGTCCACCGCCGCCAAACTCAACAGACTTGAGAAGCTCAGGGAGGACCTTCATTTTGAAGAAGTCTTCGGGGAAGTCGTCGGACAAATTATCAAGTTCACTTTACAAGTGGTTAGCAATCAAAGAAAGGACCCGTGAGACTGTACCAATAGCACCGCAATCGACATACTTAATAAATTCCTCGCGCTCCGTATCATCCTTAAGCCCCAAGCTCTCCATATCTTCCGTCAAGCGAATCAAAGATGTTTGGAAGAAGCCACCATGCTTCTTACCCTGCTCGACAAAATGCGCCGCACTGAGTCGCAGCTTGGGATTCGCTGTACACAGACGTTTATAGCTCTGCTGCATGCTGTGTGGGATATTCGTCGTCTTGCCAACTTGATCACCGCCAGAAAAGCTTCCATTAAAGACCTCGTAGATCAAAATGCCGAGTCCATACGCATCGACTGCTGCCAGTGGGTGGCGCTTAATAGCATCCCAGCCACCCTTAACAACTTCCGGGGGAGTGTAGCGAGCTGCGTCTGGGACTAAGCTTCCATAGGTCTGATTTTCTGTTTAGTATATTCCAAGTGGGCCGAGACGTTGTCACCGATAACTCACATATATGATAGCATCATCCTCTTTCATGGAGCTCAAAATATCAAATCCGCCTAGCTTCCACTCGCCGCTTTCACTAGTGTAGACGGAGGATGCGCGCACCGCGCCGTGGACGGAAGATGCATCTTCGTTGATGAATTTGAGAGTAGACTAGACATATTCGCTCGGTTAGGAACTATCATATACAGAAGTGCGCAGGTATTCAGTATTCTTACCGACACTGTATATATACCCCATTTCGCAGTTTCCTCGCTTAAGCTCCGCCGCTTGACATGCCACTCGAGTGGAACGACTCGTTCAGTCACGATATAGAGATTCGTCTCATTCTGACGGAAATCAGCTTCAATGGTCCAACTTATAGCACCTCATATAACATCTCAGCATCGCTGCGCATACCTCGATCGTGTCCAAGACCTTGATCACACCAGGGTGCCTTAACGTCCGCGACTTGCGCACTGCATTCTTCGCTAGGGGGAGCCGTGACTTGTTCGCTGCAATATCGAATGTGAATACACTACAAGCCGAGCCGTCTTCCTAAGGGTTGCAAAATAGCTGATTAGCATTGTGTTAACGTGTCAACTAAGCATCCGCACCCGAACCGTAACACCTAACAGTCAAACACATGAAATAGTCATCACCTACCCTTCTCGTCCCGTTATGAAGTGTCCATAGAGAATCGCCAATATCCACTCTATCACCTAGAGAAAAGGGGAACGAGCTTCCCTTTGCGATGGCGGACGCGACGGCCGACTTGAGGAAGTCCATCGTGGCGCTGCGCTGGCCACTTCGACTCCAGGGTTTGTTTGTGAAAACCTGGCGAGGGCTAGACAGCGGCCAATTGCCGGATGGTTGGACTGAAAAGAAAGAATATCAAGGTAGAAATCACTGAATACTGCCCAGGAATTTGCGTCTTGCTCGGAGTCGATCCTTTGATGTTGTTTGGGGCGAAGCTGAGGGGGAATCTTGCGGTGATTGATGCGGCCCCGCCTTATCGCGGAAAGCCCTGGGCGGCCTCAGGCCCAAGAGGGTCCACCGCATTTATTTGGGTTTCAGCTGTTGCTGGACTCTCTCCACTTCACACACCTCGGCTCGTCGCGGTCAGAATGTGGACTCGCAACTAACTGGAGAATTCGAGTCCTTTTCATATTGTATAGCTTCTCTGGAGCTGTACCTAAAATCACTCACAGTGTAAGTACTTTGCTTTTTCCTATTCCACACTCCATCCACCAAACAGCTGCGCGAAACGCGCTCTCTCCGATGATGCGAACCTGGTAAAAGGTCAGACCGCGCACCCCGAAAGCCAACAACCCCCTCGCCTACCAAAGCCGAAGGTACTCGTCCCTCCTGCGACAGCTTCTCTCAACCAGCACCGGCTTAGCCGGACATGGCCTGGAGCAACCCGTTTCCATGCTCCCATCTCTTTCAACCCAACCATGTCCAAGTTCCCAACTTGACCTCCACCTTCTTACAAGGCCGGGGCACTCAACACCCATCCACTCGTTTCTCATATCCAGTCTACATAGACACCCCGTCGACAACTCGGACCTGATTCACCCCTCCTTCCACGCAGACACACGGCCAAGGCAAGAAGGTCTAAGCCCAAGACTATGGCTTTCCCACCAGCGGGCACGGTTTTCTATTCCATACCCACGGAATCGAACGCCGTGATGACCTTGGGACGAAAGATGCGGATGGCTTCGGTAATCTGTATCACCCGTGTGCACATCTACGCAGGATCCGCGGCAAGCTCACCATGGCTTGCTGCGGGTTCTGTGCGGCCGTCTTCTGGGGTTCCTGGGCTCGCTTTGCCTCCATGAGGGCCTAGTAGGAACTAATGGCTACGGTCGAAAGTGGGAAAATTGTCTGCCACCGCGCTGGAATGGAGTTGTGTTCAGGGTCGGGGGCGGGGTTCGGATTAGAGAGACTTTCATGGGTGGATTGGGCTTGTTGGGTGTGGATGGGTGGGGAGAGCTGGGTTTGGTGTGGATAGGGGGCTTTGGGGTCATGTTGAGTGCGGTTGGTGTGGAGATTTGATGTCGTTGGAGGGTTTAAAGCACCGCGGTTGGGCGGGCGTGGGCGTACTTTTGGGGTTTGGATGACGACCAATTTGAAACTGAAAAGACCTGAGGAGGTGGACTTGGCTATTGGCGCTTCGTTCAGACAATTTCTACTGGATTTATTGCTGATTATTGTTATTCGCAGAGGCATCGAACTTCAACCGGAGCGCACGGTACACTCCTGGCTGATCGGTTTGATTCATACTCCACGTCGTGATTCAGAGGCTGTCCAAGTCTAGGCCGATAATCATGAGAAGGAATGGCTGTATACTCTATTCAAGCTCAAAATACACAACTACGTGGCGAATTGGAAATTTAATATTTAGTATAATCATTCATTGCATCCCGTAGGACTGTAGCAACCATCATCCAGACCACTCAGATATCAGCCACGGCAGCATGCACCCGCACTCGCAACAGCCTCTGCACCCTCTCCACTCCTAACAGTATCCGATCATCCGATGATTCACTCATGTCTGTTTCCGAAGCGTAGCTCAACACGATCCCATGCCACCCGGAGGAGGCAGTTGGAGAAGAGAAAGAGGAGAAAAGAGACACAGATAGCTGGTCTGCAGCCTCTCGAAGGTTTAATATCCACAATTGAAAGAAGGCCAAGAAATCACAAGCAAGGGCAGTTGAAGAAACCCGGGAAGAAACTGGAGAATTCTGACGGAGAGCCTCAAGTCCAAATGCTTATCATATGTTTGCAAGTGGACGTTAAATAGACCTTTCGAGGAAGCTCCATTGGGGACGTGTAACGGGCGTGGCAGCTCATGAGACGGCAGGGACAGCGGCAAACCCTTTTGGAAATCCAAGGAGTATGTTTGTCTTGTATATCGCCAGACCATACCGGAGTGATGAATAGACGGTGCTTCATATGTCCCCTCGAACAATGTGCTATATCATTTGGTAAGTGAATTGAAAGATCAGTAACAGGACGATCCGAGTCTTACCTGCCAAGTATCGTGCCGACATGTAGTTGAACAAACGGTACAACGGGGGATGAATACCCATTGACGACAGGCAGATGAAGGCCGAGATACGTCGCGAACTCAGGAGATCAGACAAATGAAGAGTCCACACCCAGAACTGCTAATCTTCAGTCACGACACGGCTCAGCAATAGGCATCTACAGCGTGAGCAAAACAAGACGCCCGCTCCGAAGACACAATCATGGATTTTTCGTGGCTCATTTGCTTTCGTCGGTAGGCTCAGGGCCGTGAGAGCCGGCTCCCGTGTTAGCGGGGGCGTTGGACGACATTTGAGGGGGCATCTGAGGTGTTTGGTTATAGCCGTTGCTTGGCGTCCGGTGGTTAGGTGGGAAATGGTGTGCCTGGTGAGGGCTAGACGAGAAGTGAGGTTGCTGTTGGGGGTAACCACCACGGCCAGCGGGCACTAAGTGAGGAGAATGAGCGTCCAAGTCGATCTATACTGGGCGGGGAGACTTACTGTGACCCGGCTGAGCCCCGAATCCAGGTTGTCCTGGCTGACCCTGGGGCATAAACATCATTTGCTGTGAAGGCTGACCAGACTGCGAATTCTGGTGCATCATCATTGGCGCACCGCGGCTGGGGCTAGGATAGCCGCTGTGGGGTTGGGGCGGGGGCGCATGCTGGGGATAAGCATGGCCAGGGGAAGGCGAGTACATTTGCATCTGGGGATTATAAGGCGGCATACCCTGAGGAACACCCATGTAGGGCCCGTTGGATGGATTCTGCACCATCATGGGAGCTCCCATGCTACCTTGTGGGCCAGAAAATTGAGGACCATTCTGATAATGCCTCATGTGTCCCGGTTGAGGGCCCCCGTAGAATTGCGGCATCGGCTGGCCGAAAGCGAGCTGAGCATGAGGAGCCATGGGTGAAGGATAGCCGACGTGGCTCTGGCTCATGCGAGGCGAAGGGAAGACCTGTGACGAGGACGCGGACAGCTGCATGCGGTGATGATCTTCCATGTGCGGACCAGGGCCATGGGGCACTTGGTGGACGTGAGGACCATTGGGAGGGCCTGAGGAAGGAGGCATACCGGGGTTGCCCTGCTGGAAGTGGAAGGGTAACTGGTGTTGCTGGGGGAGGTTCGGGTTGTTAGAAACAGACCGACCCTGAGGCGAGACCGAAGGCACTCCACCCGGCTGCTTAAACATCGCCTCGAAATTTTTCTCTTCATTGCCCGGGGGGAAATCCCAGGTAGGGGCAGTCTTGTAAGGAGGGGGGATGCCTCCGTTGGACGGGTAAGGCTTGTTCTCCGCCGACTCAGCGCTCTCCTTCTTCATCCGCTTGATCGGGTTGAATTGATCGTCAATCGAGGGGCGTTCCGAGGCTGGCACTGGCTTCTTGATACCGAAGAATGCCGACGGAGTGGTCGCACGGGACACGGAGCGGTTTCGCGAGAAAGGACGAGGGCTTGCAGCGCTGGCAGCGCTTGCAGCCGCGGTGGGGGCAGTAGGAGGAGGAGGAGCAGCAGCAGCAGCAGCCGCAGGAGCAGCACCACCGGGAGTAAAAGTGCTGGCAGCGGGGTTAGGCTTGAACTCCATGGCGCGAACATTGAATTTCGAGGCCGCAGTAGTCGTGGGGGCTTGAGTCTTGACAGGGCTTGTCACACGAGGCTGCTCGCTAGCAGGGCCAGTAGGAGGCACACGAGCATCTTGAACGGGCAGTGGAGCAGGAGCAGGAGCCATGCCGGCGCCCTTGCGCTGCTGAAGATTGTCTGCGAGTCGGTGGCTGAGCATACCTGTTCCTGGGCGACCTGCCTGCATGGGCTGCTGGGGGTACCGACCACTTGGTCCTGCGAGGGGACCGGTCGGCAGATAACCCGGACGGCCGCGGGGGTAATTCTGGCGATCAGATGGAGCAGAGGGGGGAATTGCACCGGTGGGCCCAGTAGCACGCACCGCGGGCTTCTGTTCGGTGACCTGCGCGGCAGCTTTCGGCGAAGCTTTATCGTCCGACTGCTGGGCGCGGCTGATGATGGCTTCTTGCTTGTGAGGATCCTTGGCTAGAATGGGTACCAAGTCCTTGGGCACTGGAGTCGACAGCTTGAAATTCTTGGAGAATTTCATCAGTTCGTTCAATTTGACCGTCCGATCATAAGACGCCTGATTACGTCGGCGCTCCTGCATCTTCAACTTCTCACTGTTGGCGAACTGACGGAAGTGATCAAGCACCTCTGTCTCGACATTGGCAGTGGCATTCTCGGGAATGGGACGCTGTTGCTTGGCGAGGGGAGCAGCAGCAACAGCAGCAGAAACGGAAGCAGCAACGGGGACAGCCTTGCTAGGTTCAACCTTTTGGTCGATCTCTGTGGCGGCTTTGGGGGCTGCAGCAGGCTGAGCCTCCTCGTTTTGAGCTGTAGCTGGAATAGGAGGTGTAGGGGCTTGCTTGGCCGGAACAGCAGGTTGAGCTCCGGCTTGGCGACGACCAGGAGGGGTATATTTGTTGGGTTGTCCAGAGACCAGGGGTGGGAAGGACTTGTTCTCACGTTGCACTCCACTGTACTTGTCTTCCTCGTCTTGATCACCAGTGTCTGGAGCTATCAGACCTCGCTCCTCACGCATGTGGACATTGTCTACCTCAGTGCCCTCGATTTCGGCCGCAATCCTGGCGGCTTCGACCTGCTTTTGGCGGTAGGTTGGGTCTGAGCGATCAATGCGTGTCGTGTAGATGTTCTCGTCATAACTGGTTTTTGCGCCGAAAAGGCGCTCGTTCGTCTCGAATTGATCCCAGCCTTTGTGGTCGCCAGCCGCACTATCCAATGACATATCCACCTCATGCTCGGCGGGCTCCCAGCGCTTCAGAGTACGCTCCCGCATGGCAAGGTTTCCAGAGATATCAGCATCGGTTCTGAAACCACCAGCGCCTGCAATACAAAATATTGTTAGACCATGGCTCTCTTCGAGGATACCGAAATAATGGGCACAAATCTTACCATTTGATTCCTTGACCGAAACCTCGGCCGGAGACACGTTCGGTACAGAGATATCGGCCACGTCCTTAATGTCAAATGCCATGCTGTGTTCCGGGGCAGATCCAACATATGGAGTTGCCGTGTCACTCACACCATTGGCCTTGCCCTGGTTCTCTTGAGCGGCGTGCTGCACCATCTTGAGAAGGAACGAGGATTCACTCGCTTCCAAGTTCGAGGAGGAGAAGATACCAGTGAACTTCTCCCCGCTCTTGGTAGTAATGGTAGTGCGTAGGCCCTGTATATCAAGAAAAGCGCATCAGCACTTGAATTTCACTCGGTACACCTTCTCGGATGGTTCTTACAATAAAGCTGGCAAATAGGAATACTAGTCGGTCGTGAGCATGGCTATCCGAGGTGTTGGATTCTTTCTGGCCCGGCCGAGGGGAGCCAGACTGTCGAGTCGCATTGCCATTCGGAGAAGCATATGAGGAGCGTTGGGTAATGGGGTTGGTCCCCGGGGTCCAAGCCTTGTGGTTGTTTGTGCGCCTATGCAGTATCACATTGCGTGGGTCAGTGAGGGGTACAGTTGACTATCATGGAGCAGAGATGGAAAGAGGAATCGCAGCGATCAATTCCGAGGAAACCAATTGGTGCTCTATGAGCACACAACTCCATGCGCAGCTTGAAGGCACGTGCACCAAGTTTACACATTGGCTGGAGAGGAGTGCCGAAAGGACAAAAGGAATCCATCGCCCGAATCGAATGTGAGGCACCTCGCATCACTCCGGGCAATAAGAATTTGATATGACTGGGGGGCTAGAGGAAGACAAGATGCAAGATCGAGGGGGATAAGAACGTTGTAGTTGAGACGTACCGTTGACCACCATCCACAGGACTGCCAGATTGTCGGCGACCATCCCCCTTTGTGTTGCCGCTCGATCTTAGAGAAGGTCTGCTAGAGTTCTGTGCTGAGCTGTTGACAGCATTGCCAGAGGCGCTGTTTGCAGCTGGCACAGAGTTCAAAGTTGAAGCCATTGATTGACTTGGGGTGTGCGTCAGTCAGGGCAGACTGGTGTCGTGGAACTTACACGGCGGAAAGCCGCGAGTGATGGGCACTACCACAACACACCGCCTGCACAAACAGGACGTGGAAGAGTAAGGAGGGGTGGGAGGAGCCGTCAACTATCGCCACGCCGATGGACAGCTCGAGAGTCCCAAGATGAGAGAAATGGGACGTAGGGAAAGGGGAAAACAAAAGGAGAAGGAGAAGGAGCGAGATAGAGGCGGAGAAGGGAAACTTTTTGGAAGAGTTGAGGTTGCGAAATGGGGGGATTTGTTTGGGGAAAGGTGGAAGTCACGGGGAAATGGAGGAGTGGTAATTCATTGTACGGTACCGTGTGCGACCCTTGGCTGGCAGGCGGTTGGCCTGCGCCTGGACTATTCGATCTGCTCCAACTTGACAAGACTACTGGACTCACCCTCTGATCAGCAGGAACACCTGATTCTTAAGAGTGGTGTTCAATCTTTGATTGGCTTTTCTTCCGATTGAATATCTCTACTAAGTATGTGATCTTACACATATAATATAGAATCCAGGTGGTCTTGGGCCCCCAACCCTGCCCGCAGCCCCGTTGTAAATGTATCATCGATACGACTGCGCCCATCGATCGAGATATGCATTCTACTTGCCCTACGTAGGCGATTTAGTATATTGTTGCATTACTATCCCTCGAATTGAGTAACTACTATGATAGTCACTAGGTTCCTCGATGATTAGTGGGGCATTTATTATCCAAAAACGGATAGATCCAGGGTCTTCCAAGTACACAGACCTTGTCGACGGTTTTCCTATTATGTATCAGATCCAGAGAGAATAGTGGAGAGAGAAAAAAGAAAATAAAGAACGCAAATTCCCGAGATAGCACTAATTATACGGGTAAGCCTCAAAGTACTTTCTGTGTCGAGTGTTAAGTACTCCGTAGGTAACTGCAGTCGCTCACCAATCGGATCGATAGCGGACTTTCAGGATATACATATAAGCTGTGCAGTAGAGGCTAGCAATGGTCTGCCTCATTACCACATTACCGCCAAAGTCGCAATGCTACATATAGAAGAATGATTTGTGTGCGAAAAAATAATTGTCGGTCTAGCCAGGAGGTTTGCTTGAGTGGCTTATGGGCACTAGTAACGGTGACGCCCAACGGCTCTGGGTCGAAGCTTGAGTTGATCAAGGATACCCTGAGTTCGTATTAGGGCACTACGGGAGTAGTTGGCTAGGGGCCCGGTGTACCTCTAACTGTGTTGCTGTAGTAGACTAGCCGTAAGTACCCCGTACAGCAACGAAAGATGCAATCGCGAGATTACGTCGATCACTCACAAAGCGGAGGCGGGTACAGCCGAGAATTGGCGGGCAACAAAGGGTCGCAAAGGCGCTAGAGATTGAAGGGGCAATTGAACAGGAGCGGAAGAGTGGTACGGGGGTCAAATAGCGCTGGTCCCGTGCTTCCTGCAGTCAGTAGTCCCCTCAGGCTTGAAGGCTTCAATTCTTCAGGCCTCAGGCTGAAAGTGACAAGACAGTAATCTGATTACTGCAGATCCCCGGCCTCCCTTCGTTTCCAGCTCAATTGGCTGTCAGTCCTGATAATTTAGGCCATGTATTGACGGTCAGGCCTATACGAGTCCAATACGACACCTCAGAGCGTGGTTCGCTACCTTACCACACTTTAGGCTACTCACTAATTAACGCGCTCGGGAGGCTGGGCGTCATCTGTTTGCTTGGCACGCAACTCTTTCCCCCCCATCGCCTTCGCTTATCCAAGCGTACATGCAGTCCCCAACTACTGCGCGGCCTCATCCCCCCTTCGGAGACCCGGCCCTTTCTCCTCAACGTTCTCCCACTGTCGCCAACGCTACTATGGCCTCTGCTTCCGGTCGCAGTTCCTCCGCCGCCTCGGGGCGCTCGCAATCCGCTAAGAGTGTGGTAAGTAATTTATCAGTGAATTATGAATCCGCTCCCTGTTCGGGTATCCTCCTTTGCAAGCCAGTGCGGACACTAATGTGTTGGCCTCCTTTTAGCCCGATAAGCAAATCTCTCAGATCGAAAAGAGCGTCACGCATCTCCTGGTAGCGACGAAACAACTGCTCGAAACGTTGACCCAGTGGTCTCGAAAACAGGCCTCTGAGACCGACGTATCCGATGTTTATGTCCGCCTAGGGTATGAGTTTAACCTGGCATGCCGAGCCTTTAATGCTATCGGGGTGGAAACATCCGACCTCGGCCCCGTGCCCGACGTTCTGCGCAGTATCCTCGAGGACACCCTGAGCCAGGATGCATCCTCACAGAGCCTCGACCGATACCTTCCGCAAATCCGTGATATTATCATCAACCTCTTACATGGCCTGAAGAAGAAACAGGCTCGTTTACGGTCCAGACATCAGCGGGAGGAAGGCCGGGCAGGTATGCCGGGTCGCCAAGCGAGCGCTGGAAGCTTGCCCAGCGGCCCATCGAATATTGGACAATTATACGACGAGGCGGCTGCTTCAACGATGCCTCAGGACACGATGACTTCGCCGAGGCGGTCGGCCCGTCGATATGGGAGTAATGGATCTCTTGAGGACACGCCGGCGGGTCAACGCGCCTCTCCCACTCGTGGCGAGCTGCCACGGGGCACGAGTTACTCAGAGCGAGAGGCGTCTAGGCGGGAGACCCAGCAGATTCTTACTCAGCCACCTCAAGAAAGCGAATCGACTCCAAGGCCGGCCGCGTCTTCAGCCTCGACAACTCCCACCAACTTCCCAGCTCCACCGCCACCACCGAAGGAGGAGGACGCCTTAGGCGCCCTGCAGCGGAGCGGCGAGCTGGAACGACGCGCATCCCGCCGATTTTCAGCTTATCAGATTCAGAAACACCTAGGTACTTCGACCAACGGAGTCCCCGTTCTCCCTACCCAGAACTCTCCGATTCCCAACCGGGGACGAGATGTTCGTGAGTCTCTGAACGCCGTTCGCCTGCGAGGTTCGTATACCCACACGAGGCAACGCTCGTCGAACCGGCCCCAGGAAATACCGAAAAGTGGCCCGGCGCAAGCGGCCGCAAATATCCCTCAGGCGGTGGAAGAGGAACAAAGCAATCAAACCAAGGCCCCCGCGGTGGAATTAGAGAGCGTCAAACCACCAGCACCGTTGGCTGATCAACCTCCTCCGCCTATTGAAAAGGAGTTGCCGGATGCTCCAGCTACTATTGAGCCAGCACCCGTCTTCCCACAGCCGCCGAAACGCCCGTCTCTTGGCGACGCCTTTGATCCCGAGAAAAGTACAACGCAAGTGCCTGTACCAGCCCCAGGAACACCGAGAGGGGATCGCTTTAGCTCTGCCAATATTTCTACTCCCCCTTCCATTCCTCATTTCCCCGTCGACCAGCCATCCCCTGGTAAAGAGTTGACCCTGTTCTTGCAATATAAGAGCAAGATCAAGAAGTATGTGCTCCACGAGGGTACGGCAGAGCTGACCATTGGACGGCTGCAACTGGCTTTTATCGAGAAGTTTGCCTGGAATACTCACAACAATGGCGTTGACCTGCCTGAAATCTACATTCAAGATCCCATTTCCGGGATCCGCCACGAACTGGAGGATTTGAATGATGTTAAGGACCGTTCAGTTCTCGTTCTAAATGTCGATACCTTGGATGAGGTCAAGAAGCACTTTGACGACAGCTTTGGTGGTATGCGCAGTCTGGTGGAGGGTGTCAAGGAGGCACTCTTAGGTCAAGGTACGGCTATTCAACGGGTGTCAGATCGTCAACTTGAGGCCGCCAAGGAAATGGCTCGCCTTGCTGCCTCTCCAGCCACGTCTATCGCAGGTTCTGCCAGCGTCAGTGGTACCCCGAAGACGGCGGTTGCCGGAAATCCAACACAAATCGCCGAGCTTCAGAGTTTGCGCCGCGACCTTGCTGTGCTAAGGCAGACCTATTCCAACTTTACATCGGATATTACCAGTTCGATGACTGCCGTGCGCGCCAAGGCAACCAATGTCAAGACTGCCGCCGACAACGCTGCTAATGCCACCTACGAGGGGGATGCCGGCCGTGCGCGTGTGAACAAGGGCAAGAAGGAGCTTGCCGATGAGTCGGAGCGCCTTGTTTCCCGAGTCGATGATTTGCAGGATCTTGTTGAGGATCTCCGCAAGGATGTGGTCCAGCGCGGTGTCCGACCCCTGCCACGACAGCTGGAGGGTGTCAACCGGGATATCAGCACCGCTTTGAAGGAGATCAAGAAAATGCAAGACTTCCTGGGTCGCGAGAAGCCCATCTGGACGAAGATCTGGGAGAAGGAGCTCCAGCTGGTCTGTGAAGAGCGAGATCAGCTCACCATGCAAGAAGATCTCGCAGCCGATCTTCAGGACGATCTCGAGAAAGCTGCTCAGACATTTGCACTAGTCGAGCAAGCCACCAAGGAGCAAGCATTGGAGAAGGCTGCCAACCCAGGAGGCACTTTGCGCGCTACCTCCCGCACGCTGGGTATCGACCCAACTATTGACCCGGTCAAAGCCAAGGACAGCGTTCTCGGTGAGGTCCGCGCGCTGCAGCCTAACCACGAAAGCCGCCTTGAAGCCATCGAGCGAGCCGAAAAGAATCGCAAGAAAGAGCTTGAGACGCGGCGAATCGGCCTTTTCCAGAAGGAGCTTGGCTCATTCGTCCAAGAGGGAAAGCTGAAGAAGAGTGGTGGTGTGGAGGAGGCGGAGCGATTGCGCAATGCTAAGGATGATCGTATCCGAAAGGAGGTTTGGGAACGACAGCAAGCTCGCAACGCCGAGATGGAGAAGGCTGAGGCGGAAGCTGCTGCTGCCGCCGAGGAGAAGCCCAATGGGGAGGATGCCGGTGACTCTGCAGCAGCGCCCGATAGCGAAGCCGTCGCCACTTCTAGCGAACAGGACGCTCCTCAATCTGAGGCTGCACCGACAGAAGATGCTGAGAAGAAGGACACCACCCCGGAAGAAGCCAGCTGATCAAACTGGCTCAGCCAGGCTCCATCTCTTACCGGAATCTTCCCCCTCGAGACGTTCCTCTACACTCTCATGATGAAAGATTGACTGTTTTTGCTTTGTACGGTTGCGATCTCTGTTTCCGATCTTGCTTTCCGCGCACATGTTTCCCCTATACCAATGTCCTGTTTTTCTATACCATTTGCGTGTCTTTTGCCGGTCTCCGACTCCGACTCCATATTCCATGTCACTTATTGACGATACCCTGCCACCATCGTTGCGGTGGCTTGTTTCCAATTCCAACACATTCTGTTTTGTCGCATCCTACCATTTCTGATCTGGTCTCTCGTCGTGATTTGATTATTTGCTCGCGTATGTAGCATGGAGTTGGCCCTGGTCGGGTTGGACTTCTAGGCAGTTGATAGCGATTTAGTCATTTTCCCCCATCGTTGCTTAATTGCACTTATAAGCGGTTCTTAGAAGCTAAAAGCCTCTTGGATTATTAGAGATGATAGAATATCTGGAAGTACCTCGTACGGTCCACCAAACTGGCGGGGTTCAATCAAAATCAAGGACGCTTCGTTTGTCTCACGCGCCTATCCCCAGCCATCACATTTAATCCCAGCACTCATTTTCCCACTTTTCCACGCAGCCATCCCTTTTCATTTCGATCATTTATGATCATAGCAATCGAACTGCTTTCAAGAGTACACACCCCTCGGTTTTCCTTAATTTTGGTCGAGCCCAGACAGTCTGAGATCACTGGCGCCTCGCCTCACCTACTCGACTACCTAGACCCAAGACATTCCGGTTGAAGACACTCTCTGTACGACACGGCCCGTACTTTTCATAAAATTTGTCCTAATGACGCATCTCATACTAATCGAGTTACAGACTATTATTCAGTCCGTCTGAGTTTAGCTTGGGACGATAACACGCCACTTACGGCATTCTCCAACCCCAAGATGAGGCTGTATCCAGCACTCGGGGCCTTGTTCCTAGCCTCAATCTCGACGGCCAGCGATGATCAAAATACAAACCCCGCATCATCACTCAACATTCTACGCCGCAATGCCGAGATCGAAACGCGCCTAGCGGATGAACCCGTCCACGGCGTGCGCAAGATGAGCACTGACGAAGGGGAGAAGTTTTTCCTCGATTATTGGCAGTTTGAAGATACCGCTCAGGGTGGACTAGCAGAAAGAGATCTCGCAGAAATTAACGCTACCGCGAGCGACGATGCGAAGAACCAGAAGGTATTCCTTCGGGATACCGGGACTGGAATGTCCCCGACGCAATTCCTGGCGAGATCATACGCCTTTAGTCCATCTTTCGATCCCGAATCTAGGCTTCGCGGGAGTTTGTTGAAGGCGCGGGATTTCAAGTGTCCTGGCGGCACGACCGCATGTACATCTATCAACCGGTCTGATCGGTGCTGCAGTACCGGCGATACTTGCGTCATTGTCACGGACACGGGGTCTGGAGATGTCGGTTGCTGTCCTAGTGGACAGATCTGCTCTGGCACGATAGGGTCTTGCCAGAGCGGGTACACGACGTGCTCCACCGCATTGGGTGGTGGATGTTGTATTCCTGGTTACGAATGTGTTGAAGGCGGATGTAGGTTCATCCTTTTCTCAGACTAACCTTCCTCCATCAACTAATGCAAATCAATACAGGCGCATACATCTCCGTGGTTACGGTAACCATAGAATCAACCGTGACCGTCTCGACAGTAACCCACACGACATCCCAACAAACAAGCCACTCCACCTCATCCAGCACAAGCACACGCTCAACCAGCTCCACATCAAGCACGAAAAGCACCAGCACGGAGAGTCTCACCCCGCCAGCCCGCGGAACAAGCATAACGACAACAACCCACTCAGCAACAACCCGTATCGACGTCTGTCCAACAGGCTTCTACGCCTGCTCCGCCGTCTACGACGGAGGCTGCTGCCAAACGAACCGCGACTGCGACACGACCTCCTGCCCAACAACATCCTCGACGACTTTCACCTCCGACGGGAAAACGATAGTCATACCCGTCACTACGGCATCATCGGGATCTTCACGCACAACAGGCAAATGTCCCGGTGGTTGGTTTAGCTGTGCCGATACGGCGGGTGGCGATTGTTGTCCGAGTGGGTATGCTTGTGGTGCGAGTATTTGTACTGCGACGGGCTCGGTGGCTACAACTGTTGCTAAAGAGGCGCCGACTAGCAATGGCGCTGGTGTTCAACGTGTTTCGGGGGTTTTTCTCGGGGTTGGTTTGGCTGGTTGGGCCTGGATCTTGTGATTTGCATATACACCGAGTTTGGTCCGGCATTGACGCGAAAAAGAGAAGATGCCATTGAGGGCAAGACCTCTATCGGGGAAAAGATATCAGAGGAGAGTGTAGTGTCTGATACAATGATGTTGGGAAATGGATAAGGTAATGACGATTTGTTAAGATTAACTTTCATGAAATGAATCTATATCGGAACTTAACCACGAGTGCCACTCCGCAGCAACAACTGTATGACTAAATAATCATCAGGAGACCATCGATTCCACCTCGTCCATCCACTTCGGCAGGGCCATATGCATGCCAGTAACCAGCTTCTCCATGATCCGGGCCAAGTTACTTACCATGATCTTAGCCGTCTCCAAGGCCATGAGATGAGTGTTGGCCCACAACTCGATGCCGACGTTTTCACCCCGCGAGACCGATACAACAAAAATGAATGGAGAAATGAGCGGGTTTTCGAACATCTTCATGCGCGAAATGCCGGCTGGGGTTTGAATCACAGGTTCTGCGTCAACGTTTCGGTGGTGGAGAACCGTGTCGAAACTCGAACCAGCTGGCCAGTCTGTGCAATACTCAACGATGTCCTTGAAGTCGAGTGAGTCTGCGTCTCCAATTGAAAGGTATTGCTCTTGAACGGCGTGAACGAGCTCCGCAACAGTATTAACAGACGAGAAGTCAACGCGCTCGGGGAGGATGTTCAGACAGCACCCAACAATCTTCTCCACGGCTGGAATTGCGGCGTTACGACCGGCAACTACCTGGCCGTAGATAACATCAGACTCTCCTGTCATGTTTGAGAGAAGGACTGCCCACGCTGCCCGGACGAGAGTGGCGTGAGTAATCTTGCCCGGACGGTGGGCCAAACGCGCCTCCTCTGCGCCGCAAACCCGTTCAGGCATGGCATTTGTAGAATTGCCCGAGCGAACATGGGGCCCGATTGGAGTCAGATGCGACCCTTGAAGCAAATGACTCCAGTAGGAAAGTGACTGAGGGCGCTGGTCGGCGGCATAGGAAAGATACATGGGGAAGGTTGGCTTCGCAGGAATTTCCCCTTGATCACCATCGAAGATCGACTGGAAAAGAAGAGGTGCGCTGAAGGCATCATACTGGGCGTGTGACCACCGCACGGTCAACCGCATTCCCTTGTCATGTTTGAAGAGAATGAATGCGGCAGGCGGTTGGGTTGGTTGAATGGATTTCACGTTCTGGAGGCAAAAGTTCCGGAAGTAGTCCTCGAGATCCCCCACGACGTTATAAACGCTAAAGCCATTGTCGAGCTGCTGGGGTACAACTTGCCAGAATTTGCCCTGAAGCTGCAGAAAGCGAGCGCGAAGAATGGGGAACTTTTCAAGCGCCCTCATGCAGCCATGTTCCAAGTCTGATACATCCTGGGCGGGATCAAGATCGAGGTAAAAGTAATCGGCCAACTGTCCAGATGCCACGCCGGCAGCCAGAAGCGTTTGCTGGACGCTAGTCAGAGGGTAGATATCCACAACAGCTGCGGGGCTGATGCTGAATTTTGACTCGAGATCCTCTAGCAAAGTGGATTTGATGGAAGGTTCGACAAGAACATCCCCAGCAAGTTGCTTGGGGGAGTCTTCAGCATTCAAGGACTGCTGCTGAGCCAACTCTACCAGTGTATCCCGGCGGAAAATGTCTGCCACTTTCATGTTCATGCCTAAGGTGCGAGCCTCGCTCACGACCTTTAAGGCGCTAACAGAATCGCCACCAAGTTGGAAGAAACTAACATCAAGACCGATGGTAGCGGGGTCGACCTTGAGCACTTTTGACCAGATCTTCTGCAGCTTTTTTTCGGTCTGGGTAATTGGCTGTCGCTTCTCCCCTCCTGAATTCGGCTGCAGATCCAGTATTTGTTGCGCCATGAGCGACGAGCCCATATGGCGAAGGATTCTCCTGTCGGTCTTTCCAGAGGCCGTAAGAGGAAGGCTTGGAATAGGAAGAAGCACGGATGGAACCATGTAAGGAGGCAGTACACTCTCCAGTCGACTTTTAACAGCATGAATAAGTGACTTAACCGGATCGTCAAGAATTACACCATCGCCATTTGCTTGGCTGTTCCTGAGAACCAGGAAGCCGACCAACCTGGGACCGCTGTCGCCAAGAGAAGTCAGCTCTACAGCAACTTCCTTCAATTCTGGAGAAGTCTGTCTCGCTTGGTGCTCAATCTCTCCGAGCTCGATCCGCTGTCCACGTAGCTTGACCTGGGTATCCTTTCTTCCTAGCAGCTCAATGGATCCGTCGCTTCTGTATAATGCGATGTCGCCAGTGCGGTAGAACCGCGACGAGGAAGCAACAGGACCGAGCGCAGCTCTCCAGGATGGTGCCTTGATAAAGGCCTCAGCTGTCTTCTGCGAATTGCCAATGTAATGCCGTCCGATCACTGGTCCTTCAAAGACGACCTCACCAGGTGCGCCGATTGGCACAAGCTGGTTGGTGTCTGTTGGACTGGTGAGCCAGCATCTGCATGTAGTCGCCTTTCCAACACTCGTTACCACAGAGGATGGATCGAGTGCGGCCGAAGAGACAACAGCAGCAGTCTCTGCACTACCGTAGGTCTGCCGCAGACGAACCTTCGGGGCCCACTCCCTGATCTGAGAGCTCCGAATGGGCTCACCGCCGATGCAGATTGTGCGCAGCGAAGGGACGTCGTCAGGGTGAAGGAGGGCCAGCACAGTCGAGGTCAAAAAGGCCCAATTCGCGTTCAGCTTGTCAATCGTCTGGGCCAGGTTGACGCTGCGGTCCTCTTCCGAGGGAATGCAAATACAGCCTCCGTAGATCATGGTCATAACCATCTCCATTATAGCCCCGGCAAAGTTGTAGGAGCCAAACTGCAGAGCACGTGTGTCTTTGCTGAAGCCCAAAATCTTTCCATGGCCGTTCGCAGCTGAGCAGTATGATCGGTGCTCGACAACGCAGCCCTTTGGGTCTCCAGTACTACCCGATGTAAAAATGATATAAGCAGAGTTGCTAGGAACGGCCTTTGGCACCTGCGACAGCAATCCCTGGCTTTGTGATTTCAACGATTGCATTGCTTCATGGGAAAGCACGACCGTTTCATGCACGAAGCTGGATAGTCGGTTTTGGCAGGATTTGGATGTAATTCCAGTTTCAGCCTGCACTTTCTCGATGATATTGCGAATTCGGCCTTCAGGGAGACTGGGATCCAGAAGGATGAAGGTGCCACTGGCCTTGAGAACGGAAAGCATGGCCACAACAGTCCACATCGACTTCTCGAAGCATAGCGGTACGACCTTCTCGGGGCCAACACCGAGATGCACGAGGTGAGAGGCCACCCTGGATGAGAGATCATCCAGCTCGCCATATGTCAGCTCGCCATCCCATGCGCAGACTGCCTGTGCTCCGGGGTCAGCCTGTGCACGCTCCTGGACGATGTCATGAATACATCGCTCAACCACTGGCGGAACACCGCTATTCCACTCGCGGATCTGGTCTAATTCCAGGGGCGGGACAATCTCAAGCTCCTTGAGTGTCTTTTCCGGGGTTGCGCTATTTAGTTGATGCATCACAAATTCGAGGCGACGTAGCAGCTTGAAAACCAGTAATGGCTCAATCACTCTTGAGTCAAAGGAGGCCTTGGCGTTGATCTGGCTTTCGACCAGCTGAATCTGTATCGCAAGACCATATCTACTGAACTGCTTCAGTACGCCATCACCCTGTGACTGGACAAGGACCGTTTGGAACGGGCAAGCCTTTCGGTAGTCAATGGATGACTCGGCTATTTGATCCAATTCCACCGGCTCGTAAGGAATCGCCTCAATGGCTTGCTGTTGGGCCTCGCTTAGGTATCCTTGAACGTTCTGATTGAAGTTCAGCTTTACGCGCACCGGAATTGTTGTGTCTCCTCCAAATGATGTCGAGCCAAACACAACATCATCCGAGTCTGTCATGGAACTGGTGATCAAGGCCCATGCTGCACGGACTAGTGTCGATACTGAAACATCTCCAAAGAGTCCCCGAGGCTTGGAGAATTGGTATTCTACCTCTTTGTCTGCTTCTGGCTGATCGACAAACGGTGGTAGGGTCGGATATGGTGAACTTTCGCCTTCTGCAAGGACGTTTTGCCAATGTTCCACAGTTGCTGAAAATTCGTTGGATGTAACCTCCTTTGCAGTTGCATGGTTTTCGTCCTTCTCACTCGTCGTTACTCCATTCACCGTTGGCTGTTTCGTCGCTCCCTCAACCGTGTTCACGGTAGTAGTAGGTTGGTCTGCAGATCGCCCCCTTGCGCAGTTCCCAGAGGACTTGGGAAGCCATGTGGGAACATTCCGATCATCAATCGTCATATTTGGCAACTTCAGGAGATGGAATAAAGGCTATGCATGCGTCAGAAGTTAGAAACTGGTTCTTTTGCAATTAACTGGTATGAGTTCACCAATATACCTAGAAACAAGGCCGGAGGTTCGATTGAGGAGATAACCGGAGCAGAGCCGAAATGCAGGATTGACAGCGAACTTGGGTCCAATCGCCGCCTCATTTGCGTCCGATAAAGAATAAGCCGTCACATGTGATTATAGTCCTTCAATACTCCGAATATCGCGCAATTTGTCCTAATCTGACATCGGTTAAATCCCCTTAGGTTTTCGCGGTCGGAGGGCTCCAGAGCATCGTTATTTGGTTCAGCGAGGATGTGGCGTTCAGGCCCACCGGACGATCGAGTGGACTTAAGGTTTGACCCAATTATTTAGCTTACGGTAATTTGCAGCTAACTATCAGCTCCACGAAACCTGCCGGATCCACTGGTGTGATAGCTTGCAGAGTGGAGGTATGGAGTCAACCAGGTGAGATCAGGGACGCAGTGAAGGAAAGTAAGTTGCGGCCTCATGGAGCTTTGCGTGGGATTATCCCGTAGGCTTCTATGGACCCGGGTCTCACTATCTCATACATAGTTTTCATCGCTCGTCGTTAGACTCCTGCTATGGTGTTCGTGTGTCCACTTCCATCATCGAGATCGGCAGTGACTCAAGACTGCCAGCGACTTAGATCGGCAGTGGGCAAAGATCGGCGCGGCTAGCCCAATATCTGGTTTCTCCCATTCTGCGTATCCACACCTTTCAAGAGGTATCTCAGATGTCGACTACGGAGAGGAAATACTTACGACTAACTCCATTCGGTTGTTTACGCAAACTCATCTTTCGTTAAATTTGTATGTAATACAGGGACTACAGCTCCAGCCGCGACCAGTTCCTCTCATCCCGTCCCTGATGGGTGTCTGAGAGTTTATATTCATTAGTTTTAAATTAATTCAGACTTTTCCATTTAATTCTATTGGTTATACAAAAACCTCCATCAAATACATACTAGCGTATACTGTTGTGGCTTGCTCCAACATCATACACTTACGGCGTAGGCCGAATGACAATCAGGTATTTACCGATAAAATAAAGGCAAATCTTTTGTAATCAAATGGCATTATTGAGAGATCACGTAATAAGGCTTCTATTGTATCAAGCCTCACAGCATGTGCCAAGCATGTCACCCCTGAATCACTCCGGCGCACGGAGGAAATGAGTTATTCTCACGGAATCTATACAGACATCAGTCTGACCGTCTCCCAAATTTTCCCCAAGAAGAAGATACCAGCATATTTCCAATAGCAAGTGCTCGGAGCCATAAATATGGATTTGAACACAACGTCCCCAGAGCCTAAGTTCCGGATTCTATTGATTCATGGTGAGTGTGATACCTATGTATATACCATGTGCATGCGTGCATGAGTCTTTGCTTACCAATGGATCCTTCCTTCAAGGTTTCGCTGCCACTGGATCCGACATCACGGCAAAAACGGCACCCATAACGAGGCGCATCGCCGAGTTGATCACCCCCGACATTCTCACTGAGTTCCCAGGTGGCATTGAGTTCTTGACTCCTGATGCACCCTTGGCACTTGAACCTCCATTAGGCTTTGGGTGGAACACCGACGATTATGTTGACGATGAGCATGATAAGCAAACTATAATAGCGGAAAAGAAACAACAACAGACAGCTAAAGGCTGGTGGTATGGCCGAGACACCGTCAACGGTTACAAGGGCATCGAAGTCTCGCTCTCGTTTTTGGCCAAATATATCCGTGGACGACCCATTCATGGAGTCATTGGATTTTCGCAAGGCGGGGCTTTGGCGGGGATGGTCTGCTCTCTGGTCGACTGCTACTATAACCCGCAAAAGGTCGCTGCCATCCGCGCGCAAGGTCTCCCTGTCGACGACTATCTATGTCTTCCTGGCCAGGAGCGGTTGAGATTCATGATGGCGATCGGAGGATACCAGGGTACGTTGAAGTACTATGGAAGTCTCTACCAGTGGCCAATGCACACACCAAGCATCCACACTCTCGCCAGCATGGACGCTATCGTGGAACACCGCCTGTCCATGGACTTAGCGCACTCATTTACTTCATACGAGATTGTCGAATATTTTGGTTCGCATTTCGTCCCTCGAGATCCCACAAGTGTCAATGCCTTGGCACGCTTTGCTGTGAAAGCCTCTCTGCGCTCCGATTCGCATAGTTCACCAATCGCAACTCCGCCACTGAGTCAATCTGTTGATACAAGTGAGGATGAGGACTTTAATACGGCAACTTCCAGTTCTGGACGATCTGATGGATCGATGCGATTGACAACGGTCTGGAAGCGGAAGAGAAAAACGTGCGTTACCTGGGCTCGACGCGTGCACGTCGGGGCCCCTCCCGCATATTTGCGGAAGCAGCCTCAATACAAAACTTTCAGCCCGCAACAGGCTTATCTATGATTTTGAGTATCAAGGTCCTGTTGCAATAGTCGCTATCGATGGGCGGGGATGCGGGCGCAGAATTGGGAGTTAGGGAACTTGGCCAATACGGAAGTCCGAGAGTTGACCAGTGTTTGTTCATCAGTGCGTTTAGATTTTGTCCATTATTGTATTTATTTCACATTGTAGTCTTGTTTCCCAATGACATTTGATGTTTGCTTATTTTTTGATTGTTTTTTGTTTTCCCAAGTATATCATTGGGATCGAGAACAACATGTCCTTGAAAATCACTGACATTGAACAGTGGCACTGAACCTTTATTTTCGTTATTCATATACAGAAAGCCATTTAATTACACAAATCCTGGATCTATACTCAACTCTACCGGGCAATATTGAGTAATCGCTCAGTATCAAAAACAAAAGAAAAATGTACACACTATACATGGTAAATTCACGTGATGCGCAATTTTGTCCTGATTTATTCATGCCCTTGGATGGCTCTGGGAAGATATAATTCTTCCAAGTAGCGCTCTTCCTTCTCCGTAAGCTCCTTTCCACGAGCAGCCAGAGCCTCATCTATGCGCTCACTCGAGCTAAACCCAATAATGGGTGCGGTGACCCGCCGATTAAGCCAAGCCAAGCTGACATGGCTCATTGGCCACCCTCGATGGAGAGCAATCTCTTTTACCCTCGAGATAATTCCATCAATATTCTCAACACCATTGTCATATAATGACCCACGAGCGCTCCATCTGGCCCGTTCTGAGCTTGACTTCTCAATGGGATCACGGGCGAGGCTGCCTGATGCCAATGGAGCCCACTATCGAAGAATCGTTAGGTTCTGTAAGTCTTTTTCCGGAGTAATCACAAGTTCTTACTGGTATGAGACCAACACCAGTGAGGTTGCAATAAGAGTTCATCTCTCGCTCCTCTTCGCGGTACAACAAATTGTAGTGGTTTTGCATAGAGTTGAATTTGGTCCATCCGTTCTTCTCTGCAATATGCTGCAACGTAGCGAATTGATACGTCCACATTGAGCTGGCACCAATGTAGCGAACCATTCCTGACCTCACCAAATCATCCAAGGCGCGCATAGTTTCTTCTGGCGGTACGGTTGGGTCAAATCGGTGTATCTGAAGGACGTCAATATAACTGGTATTCAGACGTTTCAGTGACCCTTCGACTGCCTTGAAGATGGCAGTACGTGATAACCCTTAGTAAAAAGAATAAGCAAGTGAAGGTCATAGATTGGGAGAAAAGCTTGAAATACCCCACTGATTCACGTAATCCATGCTTGAATCTGCCAATGCATGGTGCATGGTGACTGTCGACCCCGGATCATGGTTTTCAGGGTCGCAAAGGACCCGATAACATTTAGTCATGATAATGACCTTCTGACGAGGGATATTGTACTTCTGTAGGGCTTTCCCGATGATCCTTTCAGACTCGCCATTTGAGTAGACATTTGCAGTGTCCCACTGTACTTGTGTTAGCCATGAAAAGACCAGGGTAGGGGGGATGTCAACTTACGGTGTTTATGCCCCTATCATAAGCCGACTTCAAGATATGCAAGGCCTAGAAAAAAGTAAGTACAGCTCCTACATAGTGTCTAAAAGGGTCCACAGCTAATATGTACCTTGTCTTCATCCAGGACCCATGGAAGCCAGCGAGAACTGCCCAAAGTCAGTCCGCCGAGGATAGGATTGGAAACTCTCAGGCCTGAGTTCCCCAGCCTTCGATACTCCGCTTTCGAGCGTGTTATAGATTCGCTCAGACATCGAGGCACTTTTGCCAGATTGTCAATTACAATCTTTCCCATGTTTCAATCAAAGGCTGAATGAGTCAGTCTTTCTCTGGTAGGGAGTGTAGCAAATTCGACCTACGCGATTCGGCGATTAATTAGCCCTCATGCAGCACCAAAGAAGCCGAGGTCTCGTTCACCGAAGGAATCCCGGATCGGCAGGAACGAGAGTGGTTGCGGCCAGCTCTGCCAGGTAAAAGCCAAATAATGATACCATTTTCCACCATTGGACGAACCAGCGGATGTCAAAGTGGCAAGGTAATCAATCGTAACATGCTTTTTCGCACTTTGTGGGCCGAGCGTATCATCTAAATCCCCGAGGGAATTGACTTAGTGGCAAATGAGGACCCGCAAAAATTTAGGCCCTCTCCATGACCAATTGTTTCCCGAGAAAGTGCTTGGGAATCGAACATGCACATTGCAGTTCGACGATCATGATTTCTATTAAGGTTGCAGGTGGAGGTCTCTTTGCTAATCTTACTAGTAGTTCCAAGGGTCGAAATCTGGATTTCAAGTCCTTGCTAGTGCGGCCACGTAGCTTCTCATCAATGGGGAAATACGGGCTACAGTATGTGGCATTGAGATTGTAGGGAAGCTTGGTGCGAAGTAGAAGCAGATGCGTAGATTTTGTATACTCCGTTGCCTTAAGTTTGGGTACCATTGTCAATTATTTGCATCCAAGGGCAGAACGTATCGTGCTGTTTTCAAGGAAGACGTGTACCCTCCCTCGCAAAATCGGAAGAGGGCGACTATTTACCGCCACAATTGACTATGCGCTCTACAGTATAAGACCAGCCTGTTCCTACAAGAAATACGGCATTTTGGATTCTGATTAAAGTTCCAAGGGGGTGTAATCTAACAGGTTTGGTGGATCTTTAAAAATAGCTAATTTTTATACAGAATTCATCGACCTCGTAAATAGTCTTCCGATCTTGCCGCGCAAAGGTAGATAAGGTGCAAATCATAGTTCGGAAACCGATCACAAAGTTTAAAATAAGCTAAATCTGTAGTTCGGATGGCGTGACCCACACACTAGGGGTTCTGGCTGCTCCACTCCCATGCCGCTCTCCACTGAGCATCTTGACAAAATTCCCCTCCGGCTTCGCGCGCACTGCCGGAGAGAGCTCTCCTGTCCGTCTCCACGGTGAGCCCCCGATCGATGCAAAGATCAGTTGAGATCCCATCCAGGCGATCCATGTTTCTACACTGAGTACGACCATTTGGACAGCTAGTTGAAATCAGAATGTTTCAGAAATTGCCTACTGTGATGAGCTGACACATTGAACTATAGATGACATGTGATCCATCGGAAGGATAGTATTTCCTCTCTCCACACACACACTGCTTTTTGTTCATGTTGGGTTTCTTGATGTGGCAAGTGGCTGGCTATCAGCTCGATAGTCCGTCTTCAGCTGAACGATATCGCCCAGTGTTGACGTCATAAAGTAAAAACTAGTAGGTGATCGACAGGAGTTGGCATTTTTCACACCTCGTATAGGGGTTCCCAAATTTCCCGTCATCTTGGTTGATCACTGTGGGCCGAGGAGGGGGAGTACTTTCTTTTCCCGAACAATTGTACCTGATAGGGCCCGCTCTAGCCATAATCCGAGAGGAAATTTTCTGGATTGTGCTCCATGGAAGTGCATTTTGTTATCATCAATCCGTTCATGCTCCATATCTCCCCCAACCGGCTTAGGACAATAATTAATTTGAGCCCATTATCAAGCCGAAGATGGTCACAAAGGCTTTGCGACAGCGAGCTGTCGCGGAGACCAAAGACGAACGTCAACGCAAGCCGGCAAATGATATCGTATCGATATTCGACAAAGTTGCTCAACGCCAGCCCAATGATATCGCCCTGGTGTCTCTTCACCAGAAAGACCATCTTGGCGTCGGTGCCATACGCTGGACTTATTCGCAGCTCCGCGATGGCAGTATCCGCCTGGCGCATAGGCTCGCAGCTGCAGGCATGCGAAAGGGGAGCCGCATCGCTACCTTCTTGTATAATGAAATAGAATGGGCTCTCCTATTCCTTGCCAGTGCACGCTTGGGAGGTCATTTTATCCCCTTGGATCCTCGATTGCTCAAAACCCCGTCCGATGCAGTCTATCTGCTGAGAAAGGTCTGGGCGGAGGGAATCTTTGTATCTAATCTCGGCATGGCCGAATCAATGGAGAAGATACTCGACAAAGAACTGATGCCCCAGATGCGATTAAAGGGCATTGTCGCGCCCGTAATGGCCGGGCGCCAACCAGAGGCCATGCCGCGCGGTTGGAGGACTTTATCTGCAATCATGAATGATCCTGATCCATTCGGGATAGTGTTGTATGAACTGAATCGCGATGATACAATCCTTATGCTGGGAACTAGTGGCACCACGTCTCGCCCGAAGATCTGCCCTCATACATCTGTTACCATCGTGACCCCAGCGCTCGGTCTTGCAGATCATTGGTTACTCACCCGTGAGGATAGTATCTGCCAGCACTTGCCATCTTTCCACGTTTTCAACATTGCTATGAACCTCGCCTTCTGGGTTGCTGGTGGAACCGTTGTGATTCCAAGCCCCGAATTCAACCCTGCTGCAACCTTTGAAGGTCTTACTTCTGGTCCGCGCGTTTGGATCGCCGCAGTAACGACAATGATCCATGCCATGCACACATACTCGACGGTCACCGAAGAGGACCTTGCGTCACCATACGGAATTTGTCTCGGAGGAGGGCCGATTACCCCGCAGGCTCTGCGGGAGTGCAGACTGCTCGGCGCAAGCAAGATTGTCGCGGGCTATGGGACGACCGAAGGAGTTGCGACCTTATATAATGTTATGGATGTGAATGATCCGCGAGTGACGGATGTACAAGACGGCGATGAGATATGTCTGGGATCTGCTGTGGCCGGGTCTCACCTTCGTATTTGCGCGCCCGGTAGCAAGACACCCTTACAGCGAACAGAAATTGGTGAGCTCCACCAGGGAGGATACCCCATCTTCGACGGGTATTACCAAGGCAGCGAAGAGGATAATGCAGCTTGTTACAAGGAGGGAACAGTGCCTTGGTTTGCGACGGGAGACCGGGGGTACATGGACGATGACGGCAATATCTATCTCTTGGGAAGATTCAAGGACCTGATCATTCGTGCCGGAGAGAATATCTCCCCATTGAAGATGGAGCAATGTATTTCTGCCCAGCCGGGTGTTGCAAGTGTCGTCGTGGTGGGAGCGCCCGATGACATTGTGGGCGAAGTGCCAGTGGCCGTCATCGAGACATTTCATCAACAAGATCGAAGCTTTTACCAGGGGCTCCAATCTGCGGTGGTTCGAGCGATGGGTCAATCATTTGCGCCCAAGTTAATACTCCACCTCCAACGTGATCTTGGCCGCGAGAAATATCCCACTACCACCTCAGGCAAGATTAAGAAGAACATCGTCAAGGAATGGGTGGCAGACCACCTTGAAAGATCCACTACACAGATTTTGCCCCGCACACAGTCCCCGAGCATTTCGGAGTCTACTACCGTTCTCACTACCCCGTCTATCTCCAATGCAACCAAGGATGATATCGTCGGGGAACTCACGGCATGCTGGTCCTCCGTCTCCGGGTTAGGTCACCATGAAATCAAGCCAGATATGCCCATTCGCACCTTTACCGACAGCGCCATGGTGATCCAATTCCTTCAATTGGCCAAGAAGAAGGGATGGAAGCTCACACTGAAGGAGCTATTGACCGCCAACACCATTGAAAAACAAGCCGAGATGCTCAGTGGGACTCAATTCCCTCGCCCAATACTTCCGGTGCCGGCTGAATCAAAGAGTACAACGTCAATGGCTATCAAGAAAAAGAAGGTAGCCGGCCACTTGGGATTACACGTGGATGATATCGACGAGCTTGTCCCGATGACTGATCTCTTCCGCATGCTTTCGGTCGATCGGCCCTTCCCGGGAGTCTGGGATTGTCGTATCGACTTCTCTGTCCGACGTGATCTGAGTGCAGACAAGGTCGGGGCCATTTTGGAAACATGGATACGACGACACGAGCTTCTGCGTAGTGTGATCTCTACTGTTCAGAATGAGCACCCCGTTTACGCGGTCATGCATCCCCATGAAGCGTGGCTCAGGCAACAGATCATCTTTGGCCCGGAGGTTGATGACCTGCATGGACTCGCCGACTACCAACCTGATAATTTCGTTGATTCTAGCTATGGTCCCCTTTGCAAGATGATCATTTTGCCCATCCGTGACACGGTGCGATGTGGAATAATCATGCACATCCATCATGTTCTCTTCGACGGAATGGTGATGGAACGCTGGATCCGCGATCTTAATCATCTTTTCGACGGAAAACCCCAGCTGGACTGGTATCCTTACCGCGAGTTTGCCGCAAACTACGAAGCCTACCGATCTACAAGCGACGCAGAGGAGGCTATCCAATATTTTGTCAACAAACTAAGCGGTATTGCCTCCGCAAAGGATGCGGTTTGGGATATCCACCGCGTCTTTCAGAAGCTTGATAAGAGCTACGTCCCCCCAAAGAACCCCGGTACCAACATCACCCCTGCGAGAGCCAACCCCGCTACTCTACCAAAGCGGTTTATCCAATTGCCCGAACTTCCACAGATGCGCTCGCGGTTCGGAATTTCCGCCCCAATCATTGCCCTAGCTGCCTGTGCATTGATCAATGTCCGATACACCGGAGCACAAGAAGCCATCATCACCAATCTCCAGTCGGGCCGATCATGGCCTACTGAGGATGGTCCGGGCAGTGCCAATATCTCTGTACTCGAAATAGCTGGGCCGACACTACAGAACCTCCCCGCACGAATCCCAGTCGCACCTGAAGACACAGTTCTCGATCTGCTGAACCGAGTGAGACAGGAACAGGATGAAATGATGCTCCGAGAGCACGTCCCCATCCAACGAGTTCATGAACTGGTGTCACAGGGACCCAATGGAGCTGAAGATGCTGCCGTCCTCTGGGACCTTCTGACTACCCAGCTCTTTGATTGGCTGCTGGAGACATATAGCCAAGGCACCGATGATGCACTGCAGCTGCTCCGCGATACCAGTCTGTCGCGCACACGCTGGGTGTGGCTCCCACGTCTCTCGGACGGCAATGTGATCCATTGCAACATCTACCACGCAGATGCAGACTTGCCCGTGGACAAGACCAACTTTATTGTGGAGGAGTACCTGTGCGCAGTGGCTTGGCTGGCTGACCCTGCGAATGTGCAGAAGCCTCTCTCAGAATGCCGGTTTGAGGGATATACAGTCGGATCTGCTGATTTCATGTATGATACGCGTGAGAATGCTTAAGTCGGGATGGAGCCTTGGTATTTCCTGGAGCTAACGATCGCTGCCTAAGGGTCATAGTAAGCCAAATTGACAGATATCGTTGCAGGAACATCCGAATATAATGTCATATCCATGCACTTCATTTCCTTAACTCTTTCCGAAGGGGGCCTGAATGAAGGGGGAAAGCCACACTGCCGCGTTTCTAAGGGCTGAGTAATTGACAGGCTTCAAAATGTTCTGTATAGTAAACGTTTGGATACAATCATTGTTTCCCATCGCTATAGCGCCAGCTTTTACTGTGCTTGTGGTATAAGAACCTAGATTCGGCAAAATATGTTGGGGCCTCAGTCCTTCTACCTGAGTCCCTAAAAGCACCAAGACCCGAAAGAGCTCAGCCCGGAAGCTAGAGTAGAGCAGATAATCAGGTTTACCTCCTAAAGCACAGAGATTTGGCCGTGCGAGATACACAAGCGTAATCGCAGAACATTGTGCCTTGACATGAGGCTAAGCGAGCCTTCAGACTCTACACTCTTGAGGCTCAATGACCACCTCATTTCCAAGAAACAATAAAAACTCGACTAGAATGATTTGTAAGCCAGGTGATTTGACCTAACTGACAGAGCAAAGTGGCACCTTTTTCGATTCTCATCTTAGCTACGGGTGTACGAAGCGAAATCTACCCGAGAATATGTCATTGCATCCCAACCCGTATCTACAACGCAGATCTTATCTTCCACTCGCTCTGTGCACAGTTGAAAATGATCTACCTGGAGACATGCTCCACAATACAACGGCAATTAGACTTCCTCTCAGGAAAATACAGCCCAAGTCAACCCCCTACCCCTGGACGGCCCCGACTACCCTGTCCTCAAAGATCTTTTCTCAAAGCAGCTAATCTACTACCTCCCCACAACGAGCGTAGCTATGATGCTGCGCGCGAGAATTATTCACATCCAAGAGATGTGCTCGGGGGATCCGCACGATGGCGTGGCGAGTTTTCCGTCGATTGTCGCGGTGCATTTTTGCGTTGCAGCAGTTGGGAAGGAGGTATGAGACTGCGTTCTTTTTGGAGACCTCGTTAGGGGCGCCGAAGCCCAGGGCGCGTCTCATATGTCTGCTTCGTCGGAGGAGATCTTGGATATTACGGATTGTACTTTGGAATAAAATAAAAATGACAAAAAGTGATCAGATTGCGAGCTCGGGGTCCCATTTAGCACCTTACGCCAGGCAGCACGAATAATGTATAATAGGGGCTAGGACCAGCTGCATATATCGGCGCCACCATGCAAGAACGCAGTAGTCTACATTGTATTCTTAGAACGGAAGCAGATCCGTATTATATGAGGAAAGGTGGCACTGCCGGTGAATTGCTATCTGCATTGCCAAAAGTCCAACCAAAAAAGACCGCCAAACATAATGCAAGAACACGGTGGAAAAAGGGGAGATATTAGTGTAGGAAGTGGTCCACGAGGGGAAAGAAAAATCCCGAAACCAGAATAAGTGCCGCGGATACAGGAGAGGAGAAAAGTCCAAGTGGATTGAGGCAGTCTCGGACCAAGATCACCAAGCAGACAAGGTATTCCGAAGTTGCATGAACAGAAGCATAGAAAGATAGCAATTGTAAAAACCAAGAGCTGTGTGTGACTAGATGAAAACGAAGTCAAATTGAATCAGACAGACGGAAAAGAAAACCAAAAGGGAAGACGGGGTATCGATGAAATATGAGAAAAGTGAATAAATGAAAAAAAGGCAGCATAGAAATCCAAATGATATCAGTAAAAGAAACCCGAGTAAACCACAAGAAAAATCGAGTCGTGAGAGGACGAGGGAATAAAAGACCTCCAATCCGCCAAGTCCAGCCGCGACAACGAATTGCAGAGCACGATAGAACGGGTAGAAGACAGCAAATGACGATTCAAATGACGGTTCAAATGACAACCAATGCAAAAAACTATGAAAGAGCCCTATGATCAAGAGGCGACATCCTTCTCACTCCCAATACGCCGATTAATCGGTTCCTCCAGACGCCAAGTATGCAAAACGAAATCATTCCATAATGCAAGCCAAATGGAACCCAACCGGCCACAGCACAACACAACACAGGCTTAGTATGACCCGAACCAGACGTCTAGCTCATCTCCATGCCATACTCATCCTCCTCCTTGAAGCTCATGGCCGCATGGCCCGCGCTATTCCAGTATTGCGGTTGACCAGCACCATTAGCGCTGCTGCCGCCGCTGTGGAATGAGGGGCTCAGACCCGGAGGCGTCAAGCCATCACTGCCACCCTGAACGGGGTCACCGGCCAAATTAGTGTGCTTGGGAACGCGCAGACCGCTGCCCGGCCCGCGAGTGTAGCTGAAGGAGGTGGGATCGTTCTTCTCGAGAGCATCGAGGATCTCACTGCGCATGCGTTTCTCTTCCTCTGTAGGCTCGAATGGCCAAGTTCCGCCTAGACTGCTGATCATCTCGGCAAGCTCCGCTTCTTGCTGATACTTGACGTGTAATGCCCACATCAAGTCGCGCATCCAACTGACTGCACCGTTGAGAATGTCACCCTTGTTCGGGCCCTTCTCTTTCTCTTCGATGGGCAGGCCCATTGTGATGTTGCCGGGTGTGGCACGGCGGCCATTACCACCAGCTAGAAGAGAGGTCGCAGCGTTGCTGCCGGCGCCAGCCATGGAGAGAGCGGTGTTATTGACGAGTTGCTTGCGGACTTTATCATCTTCCAGTCGGTGTTGCGGTACCAAATGGGAGAGATCCTGGATACGCTCGTTGATGTTGTCGCGACGGCGGCGCTCGACTAGGTTGTGCGAGGCACGTCGTCGTCGGCGCTTGGCCTCTTGAGACTCGAGGTCCTGTGCGCTACCGGGGAGGTGGGTGTCAACCTTGGCGGGTAATGATGCATGCTTGCCCGACTTGAAGACCTCGGAAATGCCAAGCTGCTGTGAATGGTGGTTGGGTGACCCAATCGGGGACTCGACGTAGGAGTGTGCACTGCCGGGAGTTCCGTCCCATTGATTGGAGAGTGTCTTCTGGTGGCGGTGCTGAAGTCCGGAAGTGCGGATCGGTTGGCCGGGGAAGCTGCCGGAATCCGGCGTACCCAGCGTCAAAGAACCCAAGGCGGGTGTCTTCGGGGTCATCGGGCTGCGCGCATCGGATGAAGTACGATCCATGGCCTGCAAGCTCGGGCGAGACTTGGCATTTAGATAACTCTGGTCGAAGGAGCTCGCATTGTGCAAGTGATGGTTCTGCTGGTTCATCCGAAATTGTTCGTAGTTGAAGCTGCTGTTGACGAAGGGGCTGGCCATCGGGGCGTTGTCCGGGGTATTCGAGTACATGTGGGACATTTGGCTTTGGTGACTCATGGCGATGCCCCCGGAGTGGTCCTGAAGATAGTTGACATTGTTGTCGCGCTGGACCCCGTTCTGTCCGCTAATCTCCAAATCCAGCAGTTCATCGGTGTCGATTCCGGAGTTGCCAAAGTTGAAGCTCGAGGACATGTTCTGCTGTGAGCCGTAGGAGAAAGGCATGAAACCGCCCTGCTGCATCGTCAAGTCGGACGGGTCGACCCCCTCGTTGGGGTTCCCGAAGTGATTACCCATGTAGCCGGAGTGAGACATCATGAAGGGGTTGCTGTGATCGTTAGATTCGTGTTTGATGAAAAGACTTGCTTCTACCATTGCGTAGACTAGCCTTGGACCCAGTAGATAGTGTAGGGGACGAAAGTGGGGGGTTGCCGAGGAAGGGAGAAGCGGTTGTCGAGCCGAATAGTTACTGACCCTCTCTCTTTCTCGCAGTGATGATCGGCCCAAGTCAGGCAGCCGTCAATGCGCGATGAAAACAAAGCAAGTATGTGGCGGAATGGAGATAAGATAATATCTGCGAGAGTTGACAAGACATGTTAGACTGACATACAACGGAAAGGAGGAGGAGAGAGGAGAGAAAGTGCGTGGCAGAGAGAAACCAAATCGGCAAATGAAGATGCGTTGTTCCGCATCGTTGAGCCCGATGCGACAAGGCAACCGAGGTGGCCCGCCACGAATGGATGCAAAGAATGGTTTGATAAATTACCTTCCAAGTTGGCAGTTTGTCAGTAGTGACGAGATGTCTTAGGTTGATCTGTGCGTTTGTTGACAGGAGGGAGAAACGCTTGAGGGCCGGTGGGATGAGTCGACGGCCTCGGGGGACAATTGTCCGGGGATGAATGGATGGTCAAGCGCGCCGAGAGGGTCGCGCAAGAGGTAAAAAGGAAGAATAAGATAGCGCAATCTAGAAAGAATAAAGGAACACCAATTGTAAGCAATCAAAGCCCCGGGAAAGCTGGGGAGAAAGATGCGGAAACGTGGCGGAGTCAGAAAAGAAAGGGAGAGAGAGAGGGGGGGAAGAAAGGGCGGGTGCCGATAAGCGCGGGCCTCTCAAGAATCAGAACCAGGGTGTTGAAGCGCCAGAGTCGCAAACGGCAGAGGAGGTAGGCCAGATGAGATGGGACAAGCGGTTCAGACGAAGAGAGAGATCTGTCGTGCTTCTTCTGAACAAAGCCTCGGTTCAATTCTGCGCCAGCGAGGAAAAGTCCCGATACTCGATCGTCGAGGAATCAAGAGTGGAGATGGAGAGGGCGGGGGAACAAGCGGTGGAGAGGGAGAAAAGGGCGGGCGGTGAGTTTTGGTGGCGATCGAATGTTGGCCAGTTGGTTCAGTTGGTTCAGTTGGACCAGTTGGCACAGTTGGCACGGCACTGGTGACTAGGCAGTAGCTCAACTGAACTCTGTCAACCGCCCAAGCTGATCTGGCCAAGTGTGTTCCGTTTCTTGTCGGCTGGATTTGTCCTTTGCGCCCGTCGCGTGCGCCTTGACCCTGTCGATTCAGCCTCTCCACAGCTCTGTTCGGCGCCCCCCCCAAACCCTCGTCTTGCAGAGGAGGCCCCACCGTTCGCTTCGCGATGCAAAACACGAAGCCGCACACGTAATCTCTCTCTGCTTTGATGCTCTCGGGGTCTCTTTGACATCCCCGATAGGTGATGACCAGGAAAATAGATAGAAATGGTGCTCGGGTAGAACGCAAAGTGTAAACGGAAAGTAAATAAATATAGAGCTTACCAGTCTGCGTAACCTTTGGTCTCAAGACGCACTGAAGGTCCGAGCAGGGTCTTCTGCCAGGAGGAGCTGAGTCTGGAACAGTGTTAGAGTTGTTTCCCAGTCTTTGAAAATCAAGAACCGAAGTATATCGAGGTAGAGAGTGGATGGACATGTATGAAGGACGTAAAGACAACACCAACGCAGACGACATTCAGCCTCAAAGAGTATGAACGTAAGAAGCAAGATATACTCCATCCATAGATCACCACGTCAACAACCGCAGAGCCCCAGCACGTGGCAGCTAGCTGGTGCAGGCAGAAAAGATCCATGCAGGAACGAAAAAAAACCAAAAGAAAAAGGGAAAGACCGAAGGAGAGGGTGAAGGGCAAGGGTAGTCCAACAAAGATAGCCACCTACCTACAGTACTGGGATCGGGAAACCGATCTCAACGTAAAAGCCACCCTATAAGATGATGATCCACAGGCCAAGCAGCGCGAATCATGGGGCGCGACAAATTCAACACCGTGACGTGGAACGAGTCAAGTCAAGGGAAGCAGTAGCACTTGCAATCCTGCTAGTCAACGGTTTCCGATACAGTTTCAGTTTCTCCAGTCGAGCCAGTGATGCAGTGCCAACACAGCAAGCGAGGATGAGGGGAAAGAGGAATCTAAAAAGAAGCACTTGCAGATGAGAGGAAAGGAGACTTTAAGAACTTTCTCCCACCACTACCGTGCTGCAGCTCTCATTTGATATATTACAACATCGGTCATGCAGCCCGTCGATCGGTGGAATCGATGAGGCTTGCCGGCCTTCGGCATCGGACATACTACGCTCGTTTTGGGGGGGGGGGGGGGGAAAGGAGATAGGGCGGGATTATTTTTTAATTTTTGATTTATTGGAATTGTATTTTACATGGGGATTTGATTGTGGCTCTTTGGGGGCTTATTTTAGGTTTTTATTTCCTTGCCATGACGTTGATCAGATGGTGGTGTTTAGTGTAGGTCTAGGTGTTGGGTGTGTGAGTGGTGTGGTGTGGGTTGGATAGTCCGTTTTGGGGTAAGCGTGATTTATTCTAGATAATTCAGAATACTTCACTGGGGATATATGGCTAGGTATTTTGGGGGGAATCTCTGGAGTCTATTTTAGGGTCTTGGGGTGGATAGGTGGGGGGTGGGGAAGTATAGGTGTGTAGAGCCAATGGTAAACATATAGACCATGCTGGCTTGGCTGAGGGTTGAAGTGGCAGAAGATGGGAAATGGGGTCCGGTTAATCCCCGGGCCTCTGTTCAAAGTGATCACAAAGAAAAATGATCATAATCATAGAATATCAACAAGAGTCAGAAACATGTTAAGAATTTTCCTCTGATGATAGGGTAAATGATCAAAAAAAAGAAAATATAAATCAACTCTGTATAATCCGGAAAGATCATTTCAAACAAAACCCACCCAAGAAATGACCCAAGGCTCCAAAATGACCCGGGCCGTGAAAGATCCAAACGGTCAGAAAGGGGGGAAGGGTGATACAGCCGGATTTGGCAAAAACGGTCACCTATCCCATGATACCGTGTGTTTGTCACCCGTGCACGAGTCATGATTCAAATAGCAGAGACAGAAAAAAACTAGGGCGTAGACACTAAGCCCTCAAGGCAGCACAGGCCAAAGGAATGTATCAGATGGTCCCTCCTGTGCCCCTCCAACATCTCACCCCGCGCGTCGAGGACTGGTTTAGGGTTACAGACATACCAGAGAAACACGACGCGAGAGAGACATAAGACAGCGGCGAGAGAGAGTAGGTTACAAGTGTACATTCTCTCTTTTGTTTTTACATTTTTTACCACGTCTTCCGGTCTTTTCGTTCCATTGCGCATTACCCATTACAAATCTTACACACTCAGACCCAACGGTAGCCCATCATCCGGAACGGAAACGAAACCCTATTTGGATCCATTCAGCGGAATCGAGGTGCATTAGCTTCTCCGAAGGGTCCAGGGTTGACATGGGTGATGAGCCTGCAAGAGGGGTGGAGGGATGTTGACCGTATTGTCGTTGTCGAACAGCAGTGAGATCCACCAATAAGACCATATGGGTTGATAAAGATGGATGGGCGATCGCCCGCAGGCATGCAGAAGATGTACCCGTACCGAGGGGCACTAGAGAACGCTAGAGCCCGAAAGGAGTCTGGATGAAGACGAGTTGGTAGTGGATGATAGCGAGCGGAGGCAGGCGAGGGCACCGGAGCTGGTGCAGATCGACAAGTCTTTGGTTAGAAGAGTGACTGCGGGATATAAAAGTGTTCAGATGCCGAAATGAGATGAGGTATCATGATCTTGTCTTGCATTTCCAGTGCCCACCGTATCTGGGACCGGGGGCAGAATATTTATCGTCGAATACGCGGAATACGGAGCACGGGGCATATATCGACCGGGGAATATCAATGAAACGGGGATATCGGGGCCTTGTTCAAGATTTCGGGGAGAGAAAGGAAGACGGAGCGTATACACCGTCGTGGGTTGCCAGTGCGCAAGTCTGTTGGAAAATGTCATGCATAGTGCAGCGTGCAGAGTGCAGAGCTGTGGCGATCATGTCAAGGGAGGGGGAGACGATCGACGAGAGCTTGGACCGTGCAGCCCGGCACAGAAACCCTTGAGCTTTGATGGGGATTCAAGGAGGGGGGGTTTGGATACTTCAACCCCGCCAACCCCGTTTGTCGATTTCAACCCGTTTCGCTCCATCTGGGGCTGTAGTCTCGACCCTCGCGAAGCCCGGTGCCACAGGATGGTGGTCCGTGACCTGCAGGCTCCAGCGACAGACATCCCGGCGTCTCCCACGATGGTGGGCCTAAATGGCTGATCCTATATCAGAGCGATGACGCAGTTGACGCCTCACCGTTGGGTTTTACGGATTTGATAGATACATATCCCAAGGTGTGTATGGGTGTGGGTGTCTGTCGGGCACGACGGATCTTGAGAATGTGGCGGCGTGATAGAAAAGACTAACGAGAGGGGGGGATGGGGGATGGAATGTGTCTGAGACGAGCGACCAATAGATAGCGTGTATCAACCACACCTTTTTCATCAGGTTCACCGTTGCACAGCTGCATCTCAATACCAAAACCGGCTGGTTGGCTTTTATTTCCTTGCAAAGGCTGAGCCACAGGAGAGGATGATAAACGAGAGAACGTTTCCATGCACCAGGCGCATCATCGGAATGTGTCTAAGCCACCCTATGGCCCAATCTGGGAACGATGATAATATAACTTGGCAGCAGGGCACATAACGACAGAACCCGTGGCATCCGAGAGTGTATACTGGCTAGTAGAGGTCTCAACGCTAGCCTAAATACTAACATACTTGATACATCTGTAGTAGGTCATCATGTTTTATCTGTATTGCAACCAATTCGCCGACATGCATGAAAGACCCGGCGAATCTCCGTGTTTGCAAGTGGAAAGGCCGTGAATTGCTGACGTCCCGTCCCGTCAAGGTTCGGAGGGTATCGCCGATACTTCCATGGTAATGCAAGGAGGTGCTCGGGTGCTCGACCGTGGATGCGAAAGAAGAAAGTGTATGGAAATGATATCCACTTTACGGCACATGCATGTATACCACTTTATTAGTGAGTACTATAGTCGACATATTACCCTTCACCCCAATGGAAACTCCACACCCACATACTTCTAAACGCGGCCGTATCGGATAAATCAGCCTTTTGATGACGTCGAAGTTATTCGAGTCCTGCCCCGTATACAGCGGACAAAATACTATTTTTGATATTTCATGATTTTCTATAGTAAGTATTAACGATCATATAAAGTTCTCAGAAAAATGTAAGCAGGTCTATCCTCTCCTGCTGAGAGCATCCCACGCACTGCCTGCCCGTATGTGCCATCGAACATACTACTGAGGAATATCGCCGTTTCCCCACTCCCCGGGACCCCCCACCCGCTACCCTCAGAAAAGCAAAAATAGCCAGAAGCAAGAAATCAAGAATGAGGCTAGCGAGCAACGGAGAGGGTAGGATGTTACCTCAGGGCGGCGCGGCGCGGCGGGCAAGCCCTATTCGGCTATCGGACAATTCGTCAGTGTCGTACAGCCGGGTGGCCACAGGACGGGCGCTATTGCAACAATGCATTCGACTAAAGACTTAGTTTCCTGCGTCTAGATAAAATCATGAGTGAGCTAGGCAGGACCAGGGAGTGTTTGGGATACGAAGGCGGGGGGTGCGAGCGGAGGGAGCCACGGGGAGTAGAGCACTACTGTAAAAGGGGCGAGGTAAAATAAATCCTGCTAAATGATTTGGAATAATTTTTTTGCTGCAATATATTGATAAGATGGACTTCTGCAGACTAACGGAAGTCGATCGCATCGGTGGAGTGATTCTTCCACCGATCGCTACAGGGTGTGCACCGGCCAGAGGATCGACATGGTGAAGAGGGTGTGGAAGGTTTGGAGTCGACGGTGGCTCATATTTGCAGAACTAGGTATATTCTAGTACCCTTTACGATTATTATCTACACCTCCCGGTATGATTGGTATGTTGTTATTCAATGGAGTGCATGGGAAGTCCCAGCTGGGCATATCGCCTGAGCACCTCGAGCAAGTTGACCATGAACCGTGGACACTGGATTGGAATGAGACCAATAGACAGAAAGGAAGACTGTTCCTGTGATGAGAACCCTAGTAGCAGTACATCGCTGGCCCGTAAATGAGCGGTCATGAGCAATG